AAAATCTTGGACCTAGATTTCCTATTATCTAGCACTTACTTATATCTTTTAGATAACTGATGATCTCTAGAGGACAAGACCTATTGTCGCTTAGCTTAACAATCTTGATATTGCCAAAGAGCTTTTCGGACTAGACAATAAGGATATCGGTCACTACTCAATGGTTTATCAATTGTACGTATAATATTAGATATTTCATGTAGTTTATCTAATCACCATTACACAAGAAATATTCTGCCATTCTGTCTGACTTCATAATCTGTAGAGAATTACTTGTTCTGATCGATTCACTCTGCATTATTTTTTCGTTTGACGATCCGTTCGAAAATCAAATAATCGCTCTTACAATTTCTTATGCAAAATATTTTAATTGAAATATTAAGTGCTACTTTAAAGATTATAAGTAGCTAAGGTAGACAGTTGTAAATAATGGTTGATGAATGAACGTTTATCAAGTAGAAATTTTTTATCTTAATTCCTTCAGTCAGACGACAGTGTTTATCTGAAATATTTAATGCATAGAAATAAACAGTTTTCTAAATTCTTGTCTCAAAATTGTGCATTAAGCGATATGTGGGTAAAATGTTGGACATTGGTAATAGAAAGAAAAGGGTAGAGAATTGGTTTACAATAAATGAATATACAGACTATTTTCAAACTTATCAAGGCAGCTTGAAGTGTCATACGAATAAGCCACATATTCGCAACAGTCGAAATTTAGATGTGTATAGTTATCGTGACGAATTTAAAATGAGGTTAGGTTATTGTTTGAAATGGACTTCTATCCTCGAACATTTAATAGACTTTGATTATTCGACTGATTTACTGGTTGATTTTAAGGTTGCTTAGAAGTTCATCTAAGTCTAGCAACATTTTTTGTGTTAAATTCTATAAAACAACAAAAGCCATTGACATCTATGAAACAGAGGATGATCTGAGTGTATAATGAAGCATGTCTTGTTATTGTCTTTTCAGTATCTTAAACTGTTATAATTAGTTTTATTGTTGCAACCATTACATTTTATTGATTCTGCATTCAAAGATGCCCCTCCCTTTTCTATTATTTCTTACATTCACATCATTTAATTTGCATTTCTGACTGATATTATTTCATTTCACTGAATTTCTCTAATACATGCAATTATTGTGGCGAAAACATTTTAATTATCTTACATTGTGCGCACAGTAATCCAGTGATAGCTTACAAGTATTACAATATTTTATCTACACACGTACAAGTTTGACAATAAACTTGATGGCAAGAGAGAGCTTTGCTGAATCTTGTGTTTTTCTTCTTTAAAAAAATACCATACATGCAATAATTATCTATTTCTGTATTTTCAAGTTAATTACTCCTATTTTGTAGACAAAATGATCACTTCCAAACTGCATATAGTTTATTCTAACATTTCAAGCTTCATCGTTTCATTACCATTACAGTTTAGCATCCTAATTGAAAACTTATTATCTATTTGCGTAGACAGACCTCGAAAAATTCAAATTTTTTGGATTTTAAGTTGATCACAGCATCTTGATGATTCAAGTTCTCTCTATTTTGGTGCATCAACAAAGTTAACTAGCGATTTTCCGAACAGTTTGCTGTTTTTCTTTACAAAAATCAATTGTCACTTTGTAATTTATGCATTTAAAATGCATGAAATCAGTATAACATTTTTATCCCATTTCTCGAACTCTCTGGTTATTTGATGCTCTCTACTCTGGAGAAAATTTAAAATATTATTCCATATCTTAATGATTACACGCCTTTTTATTTGTACACTTACAAAATTTTGTTGTAATTATTTTCATGATGTAATCTAGTATCATCATCTTTCCATTACATTCATAAATCTTCAAGTAATCAATATACACATAAGAACTATGGATGTTGTTTGCAATCTAATGTCTTGGATACGCATTGAGCATTGAGTTGATTTAGTAAATGTATGCATTAACATTTGCAAAAAATTTCTAGAAGAAAAAAAATCAATCATTGTAGATAAGTCACATTTTATAACTGATTTTTCAATAGTTGAGAAAGGATAACAAGTATTTTTGAATCAAACTTCAAGGCGTAACAAAAATACGAATACAAGAGAAGCAGAATTAAAGATTTTTGAAAACATATGTTTCCAACACTTAGGAAAATAAGGAGTTTTGTTGGAAAATTTCAGCAATGTTTAATGTGTTCATTATTTCGTGTTAAATTAATTAATATTTAAAGATTTAAGAAAAATCCTGTAAACATAAACAAATTAGTAGGTGTAATTAAAAACAATACAGAGGTAAAATGAAAATAAATTGTATATTTATTGTAAAGAAGGTGATACGAAGTTAAATATTACGAAAGGATACATACAACACGACTATTGAGACTATTTGTAATAGGTGTAGCACACAAACCTACAGAATCACTTCAAACAATCCTGTGTAGACCAAAGGACAAAATGACAAATGAAGAAAAACTAAATATCATCTACAAAATAAATTGCTCAGATTTTGAAAAACTCTACATAGGACAAATTGGACGATCTCTTCAGCTTCGTTTATGTGAACACCAATCGGCAGTCAACCATCACAACAATTCTTCGTTTCAATCTATACAAATGGACAATTATGGACATACGTTTGATTGGAACTGTGTGGAAATACTGGATAGGTGGAGGACAAAGAACACTAGAGAATTTGTGGATGCTTGGCACTCATGTCAATCCGCAGTCAACAAACACATCGACATTGACCCAATTAATCAACCAGTCAGAAAAATCATGGGTGACATAGGATTAAGAAACAGATCAAAAGGAGTATGCAATCACAGCAAATGTGCGACTAACGATTGGTTTAAGATCCAAAACAACCAATCAAAATCGAGATTAACGGAACAAGCTACAGGTGAAACGTGGAGAAATTCAAAAGCTTCACTTCTATCTGAAGTTTGTACTGATGATGTTGTTCAGAAGAACAATGAAATTCCCACAACCAAATCATCCAGCTCAGAGAACGAAACTCCACCACAATACATACAAAAGCAACTTCGTTAGTTAAAATTATTTTGTAATTAATTAAAGTCTGTAAGGATATATAAACACTATTCTCTTACAAAAATATGTACTTTCGCACTAAATTATGCATGTCAATTAGAAAAGATCAGTAAATTTATTTAAGTATCTTTATTTCAAATGGAAATTTAATCATGAATAATTTTCAGTTTAATCAGTAGTGTTTTGATAAAGTTAATTTATCTCTCATCATATGAAGCTATCAATTATCTAGGATTATAAAACTCTACTTATTCTGCAAACCAATATTAAATATATTGCTGTTGATTTAGAATTTCAGCCTTAGACTAATAGGCTGACAAGAAACGGTTCACATTTCTCGCTCACATCAACCCATGATACGTCACGATGATGATTATACATCATCGGTCAAGAGATGTATATTTCCTGCGGTAGATTAACTTTATCAGTTAGCGATTATTACAACTTCAAAAATCTTTCTTGTAACCATTGACTGGTGAACATTGAATTAGTATTCGATTCGGTGTTTTGTGAAGTTTGGTCTAAGAATAATTTGTATATTAATCAAAATATCAATATGATCATTTATGCTGAATATGTTGACTTCAACATTGTACTAATTTGTTAGTTAAACAAGTAGATATGTAAAATATAATGTAATTATTCTTTGAGAACACAAAAGTAATTATGAATACAGTCAGTTTAAAATAAAAATTAAAAACTATACAGTATAGATCATTGTTCAGGATCATTACTACAAAATACTATGATTATGAGTAGAAAAGGAAACTTGAGTCAATAATATGTAACAAATATAAACTGTGATCAAATTAAGTAGCGTAATCTAACAACCTGTATTATGTGTACATCACTTCAACTTAAAATTTCAATTGTCAGTCAGTCAGTCAGTTGCAACGTAGAACTTTGTACGTATGTACATAAGCTCAGGTTGTACAGAGACGTAAATGTAAATCAAATTCACCTTCCTTTTCAGGTTCCTCAAGAAACACCCTTTCATGGTGTGGGCAGCCTGGAAGTGACAACCGCCCTCATGCACGTAACAGCACGCGAGACCAAATTGGTCAAAATCATAATTTCAATCAACTTACTGTTTTATAACATGGAGTAATTCAAAGGTAGGGCATCTGCTAATATTTAACTATCATGAATGTAATTACTAAGAAAAATAATCAAATCTGAGATAAACGAAGAAATATCATCCAAAAAATAACACTTTGATTTCATTCTTTCAAACAAATAACAAATTTATATAACTATTATGTTGACTGTGTAATTAAATTAATATAATGTAAAAAAAAGAATTATTGATGACACTAATTCATTAGATTTACTTTCAATCATCAATCATAATCAAGAAACTGAAAAGTTATGATTTTTAAGAAGAAAGTTTCAAATAATTTTCATAGATTGATCAGACAAACATTTCACTGATGGATATTTTAAAAACATTTTGTAGGTTTACTGTGAAGGATCTTTCGATTACTGATTACACTACTAGCTATGCATGTTTTCCTTTACACATAATTAGGTAGTAAAAGTTATTTGATGGCACACGATTTATTCGTTAATAAAAGATAACACTGAATAAACTTCGCTGATGACATGTGATAATCTTCTAAAAATTAATTGACGACTAGGAATAATCAATTTATTTACCTAGAAAATATCTGATTTAATAAGAATTTTGTCAATAACAAATGATTTTGGATTCTACTGTTTAAAATAAGTAGTTTTTCACAGTTGATTTGTGCACATTTAGGTGGCGTATGTACAAAACACATACATAAGAGGGATATATATATATATATATATATATATATATATATATATATACCTATCTAATCAATTATATCTACTGATCTGCGCATTCATTGAACTATCTACTTATCTAGATGCCTCACTTACTTACTCATCATTTCTTATATGTATGTGCTGTGTACATACCTCACTTAAATTTGCACAAATTAACTGAGAGAACTAATTATTTTAAACAGTAGAATCCAAGATCATTTGTTATTGACAAAATTCTTATTTAATCAGACATTTCATAGGTAAATAAATTGATTCCCACGTCTCTCTCTATATATATATATGTATATATATATTTAAATGCACATTGGAGATTTGATTTATTTAGCTTCTTGACTATAGAATTCTCTTCATTTTGGTAAATTGTAATAAATCACTGTTGTTGTTGTTATTGTGTGATCGGATTGATGAAAGGAAAAGTGATTAAAATACACAGAGAAAAATACACAAAGAGGGCATCACTTTCTTCAATATCTGCATAAAAATCAACTATGACAACAGAGACGAAATTGAGTTCGATGGAAGAGTTTATTCGAACATTTTTAGAAATGGATACAGATAATAATGAAATGGTCGATAAACAAGAACTGGTTAAATACTGTCAAAAACACCGTTTGGATATGAAATTGATCGATGTAAGTATTGTCTTTCGCTTGTTTCCTTCATATCACTAAGGTTGTGTTTTATTCTGTATTTTGAAGCCGCTTGTTGTTATTGTAGCTCACTATGAGTATTTCGTTAGTATTATATTCTTTGGGTTGAATAGTTAATTCGTGAAACTTTCATTGCCTTTTGCTAGTTATTAATGATCACCATTATCGATAAACATATATTCACTAATAACTAGTTTTTTTGGTGGGGGGGGGGTAAATCCTAGAGTTCTGAGAGAAGCCATGACCCGTTTAGCTTAGCCATATCAACTGTGAGGTTATTACACACCAATAGTGTTGGAAGGCGATCGAACCATATTGCAAATTATTTTTAGTTAAAAATGTAAACCATTAAACGCAGGCTCAAGAGTGATCACGTTAGGAATTCTCTTCGAGGGCTGAAGGTTCTAGATTCTGTCCCCAGTGTCAGGATCGTAGGAAGTCAGTCTTAAAAGCTGGAATAACTACTCAATACTTTAAGATTTCCAGCAGTTGTTTAATTAATAATTACCTGAGACATGAGATATAAAACTGACTGATTACTTATAAGAAATATGAGGAAAATAAGAAGTGATCATCTCAGAGGAAATCACAACCTAGATATACTTGTACAAATCATAAAAAACGGAATAATTAGTAACCTACAGTCATATTCTTTTGATAGTCTGACAAGCTTTTAGCTAACTGTGTTTTATTGTTTACACTAATTTTACTGATTTGAAAGTTAGGAAAACTCATATAAACCAACCATTAAATAACTTATTATTCATGGCATAACATTACTTTTTTAAATATTATCAATAATATTTGGAGACATTTATTTTTGGATACATTCTATCTTACTTTGATTGTTTAAGTGAAACAATTTCTGTACAATAATGTTATAAAACAAAATAGATTTCATTGGAAATCATCATTTATTAAGTTCAGTTTTTTCTTTTATCCACTGAAGATCTGGTTATTATAAACTAAAAAGAGTTATATTAAATTAAAGTAACTTTTTGGACAGTGTTCATTTTTCAATTGATAACACAATTAGGTGCCGAATTTAACTCTAATAATCTGAGAGATTGTTTAAAATAAGAAAACAGAATTCGAATTTAATGACTGATTCATAGAAAGAAGTGTGCAGATTGTATAACAATGTTATTCAGTTCATATACTGTTAATTCTGCTCAATATATGTATAACTGGTTTTTTTATTATTTTAACGAAAACAATGTAGTGGTCATTTTTCTTTTGTACTTAGCAAAATTCATGCTTGTGACGAAATCGTTATGAATATTAATTTCGATGTTATTGATTGTCTAGTGAAGGCAACAAAAAACTAAAAATCAATTAATCTGTAAGGATTTTGTATAAATCAAACAGGAATGACGTGTTGAATACAAATTAGTATATTACATAATATTACTCTGGCTTATACACGAGTTAAACTCGATCAATTTCTTTAAAAAGCAAATAATCAACCTTTCATTGATAAATATAAAATACACGATATGGTGTAATGGTGTTCATAAATTTGGTGACGGTTTTCTGGGTTTTTTCTGAGTTTTTCACATTGTGAACAATAAATCCTTTATAATTTAATTGAATCTTATTATGATTATTTTTAAGAACTAGCTAGGACAATCAATAATATGGAATCAAAAAAATACTATTCAGCTCGTTCTTTCGACAAGAAAATGTCATTTATAGAAGTCAGCAGATGTTGAAATATTTACTAATGTCTCTAATTTGAGTCTTATCCAGGGTTCCTGTGAATTTCATACGTTTACTTGTTTATACTAGGATCAATAAAAAGGAATAGCTCATTCAGAACTTTACACTGATTTATCACTAATATCACGTTTGTCTAGTCATTAGTGATATTCAAATTCTACGTGTTAAGTTCTATTGCAGTCACAAACTAGGGTTTTTTCAGGCTGTTGAATGACAATCTTCACTAAAGCTCTAGGTTTAAAGTTTCTTGTTAGTTGACACCTACCATCAACTCTTATCTAAAGTATTGAGATAAACATCAGTTCCGTGAAGATCGCAAATACATACCTTCACTCCTCCCAATATGATACGACTTCATAAGTAAAATTAAATTAAATTAAATTAAAATGGTTCATTACTAATGAGTAGTGTATATATCCTTATAGTTTTACCCATAATCAATCAGTAAAAAAGATTAGAAACAAATATTTATTAGAGAATAACCTTAAAAGGTAAGTTTGTTCAAACTAAGTACATTTTCTTAGGTGACCACTATGGATAATTACTAAACTATCCGGAATATTGTTTGATGTAATATCTGTAACGTGTTTTTGTTAGGAGTATTTTTTTTATCCTATATTTTCATTTCTATTCATTTACTTTTGTGTTTCTCTCAGCCATGGATAGCAAGATTTGATACTGATAAAGACAATAAAGTCAGTTTAGATGAGTTCTGTCGTGTATTTGGTCTGAAGGCATTCGAAATGTAAGCATTAATCTGATTATATTATTTTGTTAACGAACATTTTAACTAATAGTAATGATGAAGAATAGTCATTTAGATAATTTTTTGATATTGCAAAAGTTGACGAATGGCAAATGTAACTAAAAAAAAGAACAACTATTTAGGATTTCATTAATGTTAGACAAGATTTAACGCTGCGAATTATGTTTGAATTATATTGACACATGGTTGATTTTCGAAATAAGTATGATTGAAATGCAAACATTTCACTTGTGGTGGACTTTTACATTTATAATTTCTACAGCGATGTAATCCAAATATATGGTAAGCGGTTTATGAAGGCGGTTGCAACATGGATCGCCAGCAACAGATGTCTGTGTGTTTTCATTTGATCGTGTAACTGACTACTTTAAACTATGAAATAATTATGCGTTTGCTATGCACTTGTTTATTAAATACTTCAAGAACTCTTAGGATGTTAGTAAGACCAGAATAAGAGTTATCTAAGATTGTTGTTCTAGCTTTGTGAAAATTAATAGTAAAGATGAACTATTTAAAATTTATTACGTTAACCGATTAACGATGCATTTTATCTAGTATTGCGATCAGAAAGGTTACTACTGAATGATGCAGAAAAAAAGTGCACAGAATTATTGAACACCGAAATGCCACATTGTAGATTAGATTTTTAGGCTTGTTTTATGAATTTCATACTTTCAAATACATTATTGTTTACTTTTTTCTGCCTTAGTCGACGTGAAAAAGAAGAATTGAAAAGAGAAAAAGATGGCAAAGTACCTAGACTTCCAGCAGATATTGAAATAATTGCAGCAACAATGTCAAAAACAAAACAATATGATATATGTTGTAAATTTAAAGAATATCTTGATAGTAGTACCAGACGAACAGATAGTGAAGTGAAGGAGGTGACCAATAAATTGAAATCATTATTAGACAATGTTTATGGTCGTGTTTGGCAAGTTGTCGTATTAACTGGTTCATATTGGATGAATTTTTCACATGAACCATTTTTATCAATACAATTTAAGTATAGTAATTATGTTTGTTTGGTATGGAGGACACCGGCTTAATTAATGAGTGTGAATTCAAAAAAAAATACATGGATGAACATATTGAAACTATAGGAGGAATGAAAATTTTTAAGTGATTTTGAATTTGTCCATTATTTCTCAACTAGTATTTTTTTGTAAATCTGAACACTGATTACTCGGTAATGATTGTTTAGTAATTGAGTCAAATATTATTATTTGTTACTTTTGAAATGAATAAAAATGAAGTTTTATAAAAGGATCATTAAAAATTTGTTACTGTTTTTCCATTCGGCCAAGAAAAGACGTAATAAAATTTAAACAAAAGTCTACATTGGTAATCTGTGAGTTTACTGATATTGTAGTAAAGTTAAAGACCCTTAAGGGATAACACAGGTTATTTATTGTTGGTAATTTATCCTCGAAGTGATCAAAATGAAAGCATTTCGACCTGCCACAGCTACCAAATCCACAGTTTACTTAAATTCTTATGATCGTCATACAAAATGTCCATATTGGAAACCCACCTACCTAATACCTTTATTGCCTTAGAGACAATTGTGGAGATGGTTTTCATCACGAAATAGCACAAGATGGAGGAATACCGAAGGCTGTAAGTAATGGACAACTGTTTCATCTCGACACGTAACCCATCAATAGTGATCATTTATGATCTCAGAAGAGGAAAAATCACGAACTACCGCATACAGTAGCAAGCTTATTCCATTTAGATCACCGATACAAAACCAAATGGTTTGTATTTTCGGATTTTGTCGAATTTAGTGGTATACTTCAACTATCATTCAATGTCACTTGTGGATAACTGAATATTCTCTGATACAACTAAATTCCACAAGTCATGATGATAATAGTTGCATTAAATAGAAGAGCAAGATTATTTAGAAAGTTTCGTTTATTTATCTTCATAAGCATTTATATGCGAGTAAACTGAACTTTGAAAAATGATCAAAACATTCGTCATTTTCAAATCTATTTTCAGTGAATTAATTTAGGTATTCAATAATCTTTCAAGAAACTACTCATTAAACAGTAAATATCTAAAGGAAATAATACAGAATATTATTATACAGCTTGATTATTCTGCGTAAACTTAACCATTAGTCTGGATTATACACTGGACCAAGGTTCATTATATAAGGAGTTTTCAAATAGAAACTGTATTGAAAACCACCTTTTAAAAGTAAATGTAGGACTGCTTTATAACTAATATGACTACATCATTTAATTGAATAGGTACATCCAATGCAGTTAAATGAAAAACAACCTTTTATTAATGTAACTGTAAATTTTAAATTTTTCGCTGAAAAATTTCTGCAAAGAGTAAACAAAATTGGGCAACAGCATAATTTACGTATCAAAAAAAGTAAAGAATTATAATTATATTCTTGTGTCTAATTTAAACTTATTTAGCAATAATCCATGAGATGACCGCATTGAGTTTATCAATGACGTGTTTCCAAATTTACCTACTGGTCATTCACTTGTTCATTTCATTAAGCATTCAAATTTACTTTTCATACTTTATGCCGATAAACAGGAAAGAAAAGATCAAACTATCGAAGCATCTTAAATTTAGTAAAGGAAAAAAAAGAGAACACTTTCAGTTTATCCGCACTAATCGTAATTGAATTAAGCTAATGATGTTCTGATAGCTTATAAATCCTATTATTAGAATTGAATTGAAATGGGATTTCGTTTAATTTTTCAAAAACGCAAAAATTAAGGCGTGAATTAAAAAATTCTACAGAATAAATTAAAATTTTCATAGTAAGAAATTTTTCTTTCGTCAAGCATTCAATATGCCGAAGTAGAATCTCTGCAGAGGTATGCTTGATATCGAATTTCTTTGAAATTGACATTTATAAATTTTTCATACTTTATAGTACTTTGTTACTACTATGAAAAGTGATGGATTATTTAAATGTATAATGAAATTGAAACAAGTTCAAAGAAAAACGTTTTTCATGGGAAATCGAATTTTTTTCAAGATTTTGCAAACAAATGACTGGTCATTTTAATGCCTTATTATATATTTATTAATTTTGTTGCGTTTCGCTTGCAGAAACATCTATGCATTACTATATCCGCTTACATATAATATAGTCTACCTGCGCAAATAAGTCAAAAAGTTTCTATCAGAATGCTAAGCTGGTGAAATGATTAAACTTGAAACGATAGAATACATTGTATACAGTTTGGTAGTGACCATTTTGTCAACAAAATAGGAGTCTTTACACATTCGAAATCATCAATCAGTCATAGTTAGACCACTATTAGAAACCTGGAAGCACTGGACGGCCATTTCATCCTGGTGTTGTGCGCAAATGCCTAACCACTGCTGATGAGTCCCATACCAGGACGAAACGGCCGTCCAGTTCTTCCAGGTTTCTAATGCTGGTCTAACAATGATTGATTGATGATTTCAAATGTGTAAAAACACTAATCTCCATTACTCTAATTGAAAAAGTAGGAGTCATAAGCCTGAAAATGCAGAAATACATAATTACTGTAGTAGATAGGAAATTTTCATTTGAAGAAGAAAAACACAAGATTCAGAAAAGGTCTCTTTCCACCGAGTTTATTGTTAAGTTATATATATTTACTTCAAACATTTCGAGTAATTAGGCCAGACAGATACCTATCAAAATATTCATAAATGATAGCTGGACCTTATTTATTGATCGATTGTTTTTAGCATCTGCATCACATTTTTATGAACAAATCATTATTGTCATTGGATTATTTTAAAAGTTTAGAAGTTTCATTGGTTTTTTGATAGCTTAGAATACAATTTTTATCATGTAATTTAATTATTCTAGACAAATAAATATTGCCTAGTAAAAAAATTTATGCTACAAGATTGAGCAAGACATTGAATTTTGAAGGTATTCATGTTTTACGATGTTGTCCATCATAGTTTTTGGTAAAAAGATTAAATACTAGGCAGTGGTAATGGGTGCATAGATAACATAAGAAGAAGCACAGACATTTTAAGGTAAGGTAAGATAACTTGCCCATTTTCTTTGAGTAAATAATTTTTAAATATGTAGATACTTCTTCGTAAATTGTATGACTTGATAAAGAAAAATTATTCAGCAAATCAGTCCATTTGCTTTTCTGTGTTTTATTCACTAACGAGTTTGGTCATGTTAAGGTATTCTCCATAAGACAAAATGCAATATTACAGAAAACTCCTTGCTGTTAATTACTCAAACAAAAGAAATCCAAGGTAATCTATAAATCATCAATAGTTATAACGTTTTAGTCGTAATCATGGAGATATTTAAGATGTGCTTTAAACAAATGGTTTTTGCTAATGGACAATATACATGATACATGAATTCCAATTTCATCACCTCTCTTGTTCTGCAAAAGACAGAATAGAAATATAAACAAACTGTAATATAGGTTCTATTTGTATTCTGTTTTAAATAGGGAATGTATTGTGAAAACACTTTTAAATTAAGTGATCGTATAAGACGAATGCATACAAAAATGATGAAAATGAATGAAGAATAGGAAATCTTACATCAATGTTCATACAGTTATAAATGCGTAAATTATGAATAAATGCTTACAAAGTACATTGTTCAGTGTGCAAACAGAATTAAGGGTTAATATGTAAGAATAGCATATATATAAGCAAACAAGATTGTTTTCAATTAGATACTTACCAGGCTTTATGATAATATTTGGTGATGTTTGTTGAGTATAAGTCAAAATATTGAACTAATCAAGGTAATTTATGAGTAATCGATATCAGCGAAATGGATTACGTGCATAAATGGAACAGGGAAAATTGTACAAATTGAATTTGTGACACAACAAGTATACTGTTTGTGATAAGAATAATAAAGTCTCTAATGAATGTTTCATAAGAGAAGGTAGATTAAAAAGGCTAGGAAAACAAAAATGAAAGTAACGTTTGTTAAAAATTTATTAAAATTATTTGATCATTTGATTAGCATTGGAATAATGATAAAGTTAAGTTTAAATTGTTAATTTTTCTGAAACATTTTCTTCAGAAACTTTGAAACATTTTTCAAAATTACTAAAGCTTCAGTTCTCATTGGTTTTAGTAGAATAAACAAACTGATAGAATGTAAAATAAATATAATTGAACGTAATAATTCTAAACAATGATGGGTTATGTCACATATTGATTCATATTCTACATGATCTTCACATATATGTTGACATATATCCAATATAGATATTAAAATTTCTGGTATAGACCATAAAACCAATAATAAAATAAAATGGTTTTCTACTGGTTTAATTTGACTTGCATCTGTTGAAACAAATTTGATTTTATATTCATGCGAGATTATCAATATTAACATGATGATCATCATTGATAATGGTATAATATCACCAAGTATCAATGAAGCATTATTGAAAATAATCAACTCTGATCGATCACTACTACTGATCGACATTTTAGAAATGACTAAACATTGACCAGTTTGATCTAATTTCACTAATAGAATTAAATATAAATTACTAGCTATATTATATGCTACTGAAAAACAATATAATCCACACAATAGTTTCGGATAATTTAACAAGTTTATATTTGGTAAATATATAAGTATACAACGTTCAATTAACATGGTCAGCATAGATTGTTTACAAAATGTATTAAATAAACTATTTAAAAATTCACTTGTCCATATATGACAGCCTAAAATATTGATCCACATTTCTGAGGTGATTAGAAAAAATGGGCAAAATTTATTACCGATTTGTGATATACAAACTAATGTGTCAAATGTTATTTGAATCATAATTAGAATACTTATTAAATGAGATGATAGAAATATTTGAAATATTAAATATAATATGAAATAATTCATGAGAATGATACAAAATGAAAATAAAATAACTGCAATATCAATTTGTGTGGCAGTATTAGTAACATTTTGATATTGATAAACCAATCCACTTTGATAATCGCACATTTTTTGATGTAAAAAAAAATCAATTCGTTTTTCTTTTAGTTGAAAATTTGTAGAAGGATTTATTTTTTTTTGCTAAAAGTAGAACGATGACAGTATTATGTAAGTGAAGAATCAAATGAAATTTGGTTCGGTTTCGTTTCGTTTCGTTTTTCATTTCATGTATCATCCAATACTTTTTTTAGTTGTTTATTATTTATCGAATGTATCCATTGATTGGTTGAATAATATAATAATTTCGGTAGATTGTTTTCATTAGCTTAGTCAATTGGCTTTTTAAGAGAAATTATAGACATTGTCTTGATGTATATTTTAAGAGCGTTTTTTTGATGAACTATGATCAACTAGAAACCTATTGAAATTAATCAGGGAGTGATGGTTAGCTGGCCGGTTATCATTTGGAAATATGTGATGTCGAGCATTAATGACCTCATTAGAAATCAAATCTAGAGATTTCATCTGTCATACTAAGAACACTATCTTCATTACTCTGATTCAAAATTTAATGATCCTTGTTTCTTACATTGTAAAATTATTTCTTTCTGTTCAGTAAATCTTTTTTCGCTGTTCATATTTTCAAGTTTATTATCGAATGAATAGTGCTTAGGCATTTTTAAAGTTTCATTTTATATGATATATGAAATACTATTAACTGACAACGTGGTAGCGAATTTCCTAAGTTTCATCATCACTGATATTGATATCGTTGTATGTTGTAACCGATAGCCTGATAAAATTAGGATCGTAGTACACTTAACTGAATATTCAGTAGTTGAATGGAATCGAATAAATTTAAACTATGCCAATTTCTTTTATAAAATTTATTTCTTCTTTAGGCTTTATTATTATTTTTTGGCTCTTTTGGGTTTTTAGTACACTTCTTCAAATGCTTAAAGGTGATTAGAAAGGTAAATAGACCATGATACGAATTGCAATATTAAGGAAACCACGAATGGTTGAGGTAGGAGCACAAAGGCTTCACTTACTGCTATTAGTAATAGTATGGGAATCATGTGTCTATCATTTACAGGAATAGGGGCACAACCTATTCATGGACTGTTAGTCTGGGTGTTCAATGGACCATACAAATTACCTTGAGATTTGGTGTGAGTAATGGGAGTGGTGGATAAACCTCTTTAGAACCTAAAAACAACTTTACCAGTTTCATGAACCTGGTGATTTTCAAAAATAGAAATATAAATTGTTAGTCTGTCCCGGAACATAGTGTATTGTGTTATAAGGAAACTATGAAGCAGTGACCTTTCGTGTTTGACCGACAGTAATGTATAAGAGTTGTTTCTGATTCATTCATCGGGTTGTGATTCATAACTGGGTCAGGCATTATAGACGGGAAGCTTTATATTAATTTTTGAGAGAGTACTTCGTTGTTTTTCAAACGAAGGCATCATAAAGGTCCAACTATAGAAGTTAGGATCTGATTGTATAGTCGAAAGTGTGTTCACATCCTAGTAGTCACTGTGTGAAGCTTCTTTCGATTTTTCTTCTAACATCTTGTCCATGATATTCATTTTTGAAAAGATACATGAGCAGTATTGAAGGGATTGTTTTATGCACATTTCGAAAAGTGTAGGCTTCGCCTCATCCTTCAAAAACTCCTTATTTATGAACCCTATGGCACTCAAGAATTAGGGATGATAGAAAAGGAATGTTCTTGCAATTCTAGGCTTCCTGCGTGATGAATGGTAAAATCATGCGCTGATATGAGTGTCTGAATCCGAAATTTTTGTATTTAGAGTGATGTTTCTTAGTGATGCTTACTAATATGCGTGATGTGTTGTCTCTCATGGTAAATTGGTGACTGCCAAGCTTTCTCCAAGTAGGTAAACAGTCAAGGTCATTTTGAATTCTGGCCACATTTTCGTTCAGATTTACAGGGCTAAAGATGGACATTATTGTGAGGTCATCAGTATGCAGGCATGACCATTCAAATTTTATGTTTGTACATGTACATGTACATGAATAGAGAGTGGATTTATTACTCTCACCTCAGAAAGTCGACTGGTTATTCGTAACACGCCTCAACGGGTTATGCTGTAATTATTTTAAGGAGCATAACACACAGATCATCGCTTCCAGCTTTTAACATGCTAGCTGGGATACCATTTGATCCTTCAATGGTGGCGTGTTTCAGTGTACTGTTTGGTGGCTGTGATAAATTAAGTGGGTTTTCATTTGCTATTCAGGCACAAAAGTGTTGGCCGAATAACTTTATGGTACATTTAGGCTGCTTTTACTCTTGATCGTCCTTAAGAAATAACCACCTCCCTTTCACTTGAGATCATTAAATTTTATTTCGAAGGATTTCCATGGGCACGAAATATGCTTTATTCCGTTTGATAGCGTCTATCTCCTGTGCGATTGTCTTTTACGTGCTCATTACCTGTGCATCGACAAGTATTCCCATGAACGGAACTAGGATGCATGTAAAGTAATTATATTACTCTCGCAGTCCGCTCTGAACCCGAAAGGTGTAGGTTCACACGCGTCTCTCCCAGTCCAAGTCCAAAACGATAATTCTGGGAGAGAAAGGTTCTGTATTTCATCAAAAAAGGGAATTCAGACAATTACCAAAACAATATTACACCTTCGAGTTTCTAATCACCACAACAGGTTCCGTTACTGGTAGAATAAGTGCTTCCAGTCAGTTACTGCTAGAGTATCAAATCCAAATATGGCTGTAGCCATATTAAATATCAATTTTAAACAACACACATATAGTTCAGAAGGAAATATGGAAACTTCAATATGAGTACAAGATATAGAAATATTAACAATATACAAATGATAAATTCTCAAATGGAATCAAATAAACTACCAAAATATCGAACAGAAGAGTCAGTCAGATCATAACACAAATATATATACATGGAGGGATTTTCCAAAAACAAAGCCTTCAAAATAGATTCTACACTGCCCCGCAAAATTCCTCCATGCAAAACAAGCTCTTTCTGACACTTTAACTTCGGGTTCACTCTAATCCCCTAATCCACACCAAAAAAAAGCAATAGGACTTACAGCAGAACGCCTACCCGCCCTCCAACATGGATATGACCTATCAGGCTAACTATGTACCTGTACCTTCACATCCGGTTTTTGATTCTCCTATCTATCGTAGCATAACCTAAAAGTAGTAAAAACTTAATCCAATTAACCCAAGCCGCTTTAGTTTTTGCTAGGACCTTTAACGTACTGAATCGACCTTCGTAACTTAAGTCCTCTAACAAATGGCTCAAAAAGTTTGGGTTCTTTAACTAGAAAATAATAGATTTCGAGTGTGTTGCAATTCTGACAAGTGGCCTTGCCTGGGAACGGTAGTGACGAAGCAAATGTGTCCTACAATATTGCTAGATCCCCTGTTCTTGCGTTAGGCTTGGAGTAAACACAACTTAACAGCAAGAAAACTGAATTTGAGGGTTGATGTTCTAAAAGGTGTTGCATAAAATTAAGTCACTAAAAATAATTTACCAAACCTGTTAACACTAGATGGTGATAAAAGTATCATACTTTGGCGGTTCGTATCTATCTAGAACAAATAGCAAAAATAGAGATGGGCCGAAGACTTAGTAAACGCATAAGATGCAGTTACTTTAGATAAAAATAGCAGTGAATAACTATCAGTGATTATGAAGAGTGCAGAGACGCGCAACGAAACATGCGATGGGGTTGAAGAATAAAACTCACAAAAATAGAATCCAGCATTTGGGACTATGCTCTCTGAATTACAGGTGGATCACGGGTGATTTGATTATGGTGTACAACAGATTAGAAACGTCAAATCTTCCCAACGTGAGCATCTTGCCGAAGCATCACCAACACTCACCTTAAAATAATCCTCAAAACATTGCGCATCAGAGAGCAAACACTCAGGTTCGCGCACACTTGTTCTCAATAAAGGTCGTTGCAACTTGGAATGCTCTTCCAGCCGACGTGGTCATAGCTCCTTCAAAGGACAGCTTTATTAAAAGACTCGATAAACTCGGACTCACTGTCGGATAATCATCTCCCTCATGGACAAGCTGTGCCTGATACATGTCTTCAGACTTGCTAGTCGTTATTATTGCCATCTCCTCAGGTGAATAACCTAATCTATCTCCCCTATTATCTCTATTTTCTCTTCGTTGCCTACATTTCGGTCCACTAGCACAATCTTCACTACCGATTAATAAACTAAATTATCTATTTTCCTAATTAGTCCTGAAGTCCTCTTATTAACATTATAATTTTTTCTTCATTATTCTCGAGATCGCAGCTTACTGATCTCCAGTCTGGTAATGTGATAGCTGCTGATATCCAGAAACCCTATTGCCCTGAAACAAACGTTTTCATTCAAATCAGGGGACATACCATCTAACAGGCAACTGCCAGCCGACTATAATTAGTACGGTCATCTACTAGACTACCAAATACCTGGAACCGTACCGTTGGAACAAGAATCGAGAGCAAAGTAATCAGTTGGTTTATACTAGCTCGTGAAAAATACATTGTCTATTGGCGCAATTTTACATTGTTACGTCACTCGGTGCTTATGAGGTCGTTCGTTGGTTCGATATAAGCCCAGAAAATACAAACTGCGATAATCAGTAGTAAGCAAAGTCTTTTGGCCGTTTTTTATTTGGTCCACTACAGACACCGACTGATTGCTCCGATTACGGGGCAAATAAGTATGAGTTTGTGTACTCACCATATTTTTGACGAACAAATCTGTACGAACTCTCACTTGCATTATAGACGATGTCATTTGGTTATGCGAAACGGTAATGAGTCCATTTAGGTTATTTTGACTTCGCCTTTATTTCTCTATACTAAATAGTAAGCCGGGAATTCCAACTTAAGCTTAAAATAAATTAAAGCTCCAGCTTGTGAAAAGGTTGTTCAGCATCTAGTATATAGATTCATTTGTTGGAGAAGGTATCAGTGTGCAACTGCAATTTTAGTTGCAGGATAGGAATATTCCCATTTTTGCTTGAGAATCTCTTGTGTAGATTAATCATATTGTTTATTAGTGGTAATAATATCACATCACATTGTCCTCTTTTTGCTTCCACCTATGTTTTTGCTCGTAATTTCTCCGTGTAAGTAAATCCCATCTCACAGCAAAACAAGCTACTGTTGTTATGCATATTGTTATCATGCGATGAAGATTTAGAGTTGTACTATTATGTAAAATATTTTTCCTGAGCCATTGTAAATCTCAGATGCTGCCTTCTTTCCTTATGAAATAAGGGGCTCGAAATGTGGATCTTCAAAAGATTTTACATTGTATCAACTTCGATTTTCTTTAAATAAGCGAATAAACCCTCTGACTATCACCAAACTGTAAATATCCATATGACTATTCCCTAAGACATGGTCTACGGGTTGTTTAATTTTGTAGCATTCCCGTTTTCCGTTAGCTATTTCATTACATTATATGGGTGTCTCAGGTTATAACTTGTCTGCACACTTTACAACATCTCATCCCCTTATGTTCATCGCTTTCCGTCAACAGATTTCACTATCACATTTGATAGTCGAAAGACAAAAGCAATAGAAAAGTCAAAATTCTCTAGTAGTAGGCAATTGCTGAGGCTTATTAAAACTACTGGCTCAATAAAAGAGATGATTGCGATTACTAAGACGGACATGAGAATACGACTGGTAGCCTCTCAGAATAACGGAATGAACACTGTAAAATCGTTCACCTGGTATACATCTGCCCAAGTTGCCCAAAACGTAATTGCAACCGAGAAGCATTACAACTATATTTTTAAACCTTTCGAGATCTAAAAATCTGACGAACCTAACTCATATCAAGGTGACATAACTAATCAGTCTACTGTAAAGTCGGCTGAGAGGAATCACTAACTTACCTGGCGTTAGGAAAGCTTTTCGAACTTCCTTCCAACTTTGGGTGTTAGGTTGTATAGGGAAACAGATAAATAGGCTTAAGGAAATAGACCTAAGATAATTCCTGAAATTTCGCTGTACATTGCAGTTCAGTGTTCAGATATTAGCATAGTGACGAAATCTTCACTGTACAGATTCCTCAGCGAGACTGTACTCACAACTTAATAATCCAAATGTACATTTGTTTGCCTATCACTTTTCAGCAGAGGATGTTGGTGTAGGCAATCTCGAAATGTTCAGATAGACCATCAGTTCATAATCTTGTCATAACAGTGTAGTTTCGTTACAAAGTGGGTTACATACATCAAATATGTTGTGGATGGAGTAATTAAAAACTACTTATTTACTAATTAAGTGGCTCAACTTTTAACTGTAGGGTGAAATTTCATCTACCAACGTCTGAGCAGCCTGTTCGTTACTGTTTAAAGAAAAACGTCTTCAACTGATGTGATAATTTTAGATGTTTTAAGTATTCGTATTTATTAGTTTCTTGAAAAACTTTATAAAAATTACTTCAAAGTTTTTATGGCTTTTTAGAAAATGGCTTCTCGGGCAGCTGGAAAAGTGGCTCGCAAAGCAAAGGTAGCGGCTGATTCTATAGTTCATTCGCCATTTTTAAAAATACTCATACCAGCACAGCAAGCTCGGCCAGCCCCGCCTTTAGGACCACAGTTAGGTAGAGTAAGTCACTTAAGAATTTCAAATTGTTGCTTATTAGCGAAACGTAAATATTGCCAATTTCTGTAAAGATTTCAACGAAAGAACAAAAGATGTTGTGGAAGGAACTCCGATGCCATGCTATATATCTGTCAAAGTAATCAACGTTCTAATAGCTATTTATTCAGGCCGATCGATCATATGACTTAGTCATAAGTCATCCATCATCTATGCATTTACTAAGAATGGCTGCAGCGGCTAAAAAAGGTGCTTCTTCTCCAGGTTAGTCTTCATTCCAGTTACTCTACTTTTGAAACTCGGCTTTTATATAAGGCTATCCTAGTGACGTATCCATATCTTTAGGTAGCCTTATAAAAAGTCCGTTTGTTTTATGCCTACTTATAACACAGAGGTGTTATGCGAAGTATTTCTCGTTCTTTTATCCCACAGTAGTAAAATAAGGTCTACAAAGCTAAGGGTTTGACTGAATTGCAATCATTTGAACATTAGGGTTTTCAAAGAATGTTGCAACTACTAAGTAATAGTTAACAGTAGGGTCTCATAAATAGTCGATCGATTAAGCCATAAGCATGTACTAATCAGCGTTGTCATACATGTACAGACACAGACTATCATGTCGCACTAAATTAGCTTCAATGGGGAAATGTTAAGGGTAGGTGACTGGACCTTGGCAAATCATTTATATGTATAGGCGTTAATACATGTACAGACACAGACTATCATGTCGCACTAAATTAGCTTCAATGGGGAAATGTTAAGGGTAGGTGACTGGACCTTGGCAAATCATTTATATGTATAGGCGTTAATTGTTGAACTGAGTTATGTAGTACACAGCCAATCTCCAGGTTAACGTTAGGTTCACGAGATAATAATCAATGGTTGGAGACATAACCCAGTTGACCTATTATAATGGTCCAGTTGTTTTGGTTACCCTAATCCACAATGAGTGAGATGTTGTTTTCCCCCTCAAAATACAACATGTTGTTTCAAGATTGGGTTTCATCGGTATCTGAACTAGTGATAGGGGGTGAAGTAGTGGAATGTGTAAACCGCTTCACTTATCTCGGGAGTCTCATCAGTGCCGATGGCCTGGTGACTGACGAAACCTCAGCACGGATCCAGAAGGCTCAATTGGCTTTTGCCAACTTGCTTCACTTATGGCGTAGGTGAGATATCCGTTTGCTGACTAAAGTACGAGTGTACCGCGCAGTAGTTTGCTCCGTCCTACTTTATGGCTGTGGCACATGGTCAGTCAGAGTAGAAGATATTCATAGGTTACTGGTTTTCGATCATAGGTGCCTCCGCAGCATCGCTCGAGTATCGTGGGACAGCCGAGTAAGCAATGCTGTTGTTAGGAAACGGATGCTAGGTAAGGATGGCAGGTCAATAGATGAAGTGATAAAACTTCATTGGTTGAGGTGGTTGGAACATGTGTTACGTATGCTCAACCACCGACTGCCTTGTCGAGCTATGTTTTGCGATATAGGAGTAGCTTGGATGAAAGCTAGGGGCCACCAGACCAAAACATGTCACAAATCCATGAAGTCACTGACAAGTGGACTGATTCATGTCGGTAGGTGTCGACTACCTGGTTAGGGTCCGCGAGATGATAATAATCGATGGTTAAAGACCATGAGTGACATGGCTAAAAACCGTTCGGAATGGCGCAGGTGCATTTACTCTGTATTTTATGAAATTCCAACCTCCTGAATTCCTCATCACCTCTATCTTTCTCTTCCTAAATTTACCTCACTGAATTATATTCTTGAATAGCATCTTCGAACCCTAATCTTTCCGATTACTTCTAATACTTTTACTACCTCTACTACTATGTTATTTGAATTGACAATTATACCTCTGTGCTAATGTGGTATGGCAACTTGAATTGCTGTACTTACGTGCAAAATTCTACGTTGCTGATGATGATGTGTCTGACTTCCCATTGCAACTCTTACCTTATATCACGTTAATTTTCTCTTTTGAGTTGCCGATTTAAGAGTAACAGACTGGGCTCATACACACACTGCCCTACTTTATCGATATAATTATCAATATACGTGATCATATTAACTAGTTGTATATATAATGGTTTCATCACTTAGAGCATAAATGTGAACAGGAATATGCATGCAAATATATCGCACAGAAGTTAAATAAAATATTTTAGTTACCTAGTCATCGGCAGTTAAAAATGCTGGATCATTCAATGTGGTACTAAATAAAACGAATGTAAAGTCATTGGACTCGCTACAAAAAATCGGACATTTTTGTAGTCTTAAATGCTAATTGTGAATTTAAGGGATGTATCCTGAAATCCCTTCAGTCACCTTAATCTATATTTTAAAACTGCAAGTTGTTTCATATATGCATCCTTTCTCGATTGTACATAATTGCACTTTTCTTTAATTTTAGGTACTGAAGTATGTGGACGTCTTACGCTAAAACATATATATCACATTGCTGAACTCAAAAAACAAGATCCGAACTTATTAAGGAAGAGTTTGCAAGACATTTGTAAAATGTTAATTGGTACAGCACATCGTTTGGGTATTGAGATTGTAACACAAGATGATATAAAATCTGGGAAAGTTGATTACACACCAAGTGGATATGCAGATTTTCTTAAAAATCGTGAAGAATATCTCAAACAGAAAAAACTAGAAATCGAGACTACAAAACAGAGTAAAATGATGAGATTGTGATCCATTATCTTGTACATAACAGAAGCATTGTTACTGATTTTTCATAGTTATGTAAGCACTTGACTTTCAACCGATTGTTCGCATATTTTGTACAGTATCTATTTAGTGGGTAGGATTGCATCACTAACCCTCACACACCACTAGGTTCAGTTTTACAAAACCTGCATGTAGTAAATAATTTATGGTTGTTATAACTATTGCATACATAAGTGTATTGCGTTTTACTAAAATAGACACTTCGTACCAATTAACTTATGGATTTTATTTAATGATGTTTAGCACTATATTATAAGGATTAACAATGAGTCAAATAAAATTAAATTATCAGAAGCTAATACCAAGTAATTTGGATGATTCCAACTCCGAAATCTTGAATGGAATAGAAGAGCTAAGTTATCTGCAAAGGGAAAATCGCCGAGCTCCCCACTGTTTCTCGTGATTTTCCTGAGGTCTTGAGGTCTCCCTAATCCAGTCAACCACTAGAAGAAAGAGAAAGGGTGAGAGTAAGCAGCCTTATCTGATACTGATCTTCACTCGGAATGGTTGTCAGCTACCCTCCATGCACAACTTCGCAGTATGGCCCGTCGTGAGGATTCCAAATGATGTTGACCATCTCAGGTACAAAATATTATCGAAGGGGACCCAGTCAGTCAGCAACAACGTAGGACATGGTACGTACATACACCATACCACAGCACAGAGAGATGGAACTGTCAATTCAAATCCCATAGTAGTAGAGGTTGTAGCAATCTGAGCGGTAATCGAAAAGATTAAGGATCGGCGATATGATATAAGAAATATATCCCAGTGAAATAAATTGAAAAAAGAGAAAAAAACGTTCATGAGGAATCCAGATTAAAATTTAAGGTTGAAAAAACCCTATAATATCCTCCTGTCCACGCTGTCAATCCCTTTTCATAGTCAATGAAGTTGATTTTGGTGAGTTCCATTCAATTAATTGTTCTACAATGATCTGTATAGTAGGTGGGTACATGATCGATCCCTACGGAATCCAGCCTGCCGACCGCCGAGTTGGGCGTTTACTTAATCTTTCATTCGGTTTTACAACACTTTAAGACTTTCTGGCACTAATTGTATAGTGATACCTCTGTTGTCACTTGCTGAGACCTTTTTCTGGTACTTTGGTGAAGTGTGCTTTTTCCCAGTTAGTTGGTACTTGTTCTTCTTCCCGAATCTTTCTGAATAGAGAGTGATACATCTTAGCAGTTACTGCTATGTCTGATCCTGCTTCTTTCTCACTCTCGATTTGTTCAATGTCCATGCTCATTGGTGGGTTGACATCGATTAGGAGGTCTGTAATGCTGCTGCGATGTTGGGTGTGTCTGGTCTATTCAGGAGTTATTCAAAGTGCTCCACCCACCTATTTCGTTGTTCTTGAATGTCGGTTTTCGTTCTACCTTCCTTATTCTTCATTGGTCTTTCTGGTTTACGATATTTTCCTGCGAACTGCTTTGTCGAATCGCATAGTTGTCTGATGTTTCCTTGTAGCATTTTCTGCTTTTGTTGCTAGATCTCCCTGATATTTTAGCTTATCAGCTCTGATTCTCCCCTTCACTTGCTTGTTTGCTTTCGTGTAATCGACCTGTGCCATGGCTATCTCTGCTCTAGTTCTGATATTGATTGCTTCCTTCTTGTTCTTCCCTTCTTAGCTCTTATCCAGTATTCCGACAGTGATCCATTCTCTATAGTGGTGCTTTTGGTAGTCCAAAACCGGACATATTGGAGTTATTGTTTCTTTTATTCCTTCTCAGTTGTTCTCCACGGTAGTTTCCTCTCTGAGTAAATCTCGTAAGGCTACGAGCTCGTTGATGAAATATATCTTGAATTCGTCCGTATTCAGAATAAAGGCTGTACTGAACTTTTGTAATGCTGTTCGCCCAGTTGTATAATGCCTCTTTGTCTTCAATCTCACCTGATCCACCACTAGGTGATCTAAAGCTATATCAGCTACCGTCCTTGTTCTTACCTCTTCCATGAACCTCCTGAACTTTTTATTGTTGCAGATTTGGCCCTCCGTAGCGTCGTAGGAACATGGTGCCACCTATAACCATGTTGTTGAAAGCACATAGATTTGCAAATCATTATTCATATTCCTCTCCCTTGTCTATGTCGTCCCGTGATGTCTTTATATTCGGTGTTGTCAATTCCAACCTTGGCGATTAGATTTACCATTTGGGATGGTCAGGTCGTTTCCTAAGCATTTCTCTACGATTAATTGTAGCCTCACACAAAATCGGTCTCTATCGCTGGTGGGCGCATAGCACTGAATGGCATTCATTGCAATCCATTCTCTACTTGTTTCAGAGGATGCTTTGGTGATCCTAAATCCATGAGATTCTCAACCTGTTAGTGCTTTCCATCTTTATTTGGACACCAGTGGTACTCTGTGTTTACGAGAAATTTTCTTCATGATCAGAGTACAATAGCATGTTTTCGGAAGCTAACATTTTGTCAAGATTGCAACCAATTGGTCTGTTATCCCAAGCACCTCCAGTTTGTATCTTTACATTTCCTTAGCAACTTGAATGGTTCTCCTCGTCTCCTTACAGTGCGGAAATTCCATGTACTTATGTTAACCGTTGATATGGCCGTTAACAAAGGCATCGCCCTCTGACTTCCGAAGAAACTCAACATGAGGTACCGTACCTCTTTTAAATGAAGGTCCTCCAACTCCCAATGTTATGTATACTACTCTCAACGTTGCCTATAAGTAGCATGCAGTGGAGTGTCGCCCAGAAGTACCACTGAAGAGAAATATCGGATACATGGCGCGATCAGAACGTTTTGAATAACAGAAATGTGGCAAAAGACAGCTAACAATCTGATTGTGTTGCAAATGGAAGCCTAAAGGTGTACACATTTTGCTAGAAAACTGTGTTCTTCGAATAAATTACTGATTCCATCTATTCTTTCTTCTTGGTTCACCATAACCAGGACAATAACCTTAGAAATGTGCTAGGCGGAGCTTAAACAGCGTGTGCATTCTCCAAATCAACAGCACTATCTAATTGCATATAGCACAGGGTTCGAAATATTGGAAAATGGAGATACCCTTTATTTGAAAAGGAATTTAACGCGACTATACATGCACAACGACACTAACGAAAACGGGAGCTCTTATGCCTCAACTGAGTGACATCACATATATATATATTACTGTATATGGTGAGTGCTTTACTAGTACTGAGCAAATCTTCAAGGTAATGAGATGTATAACGGATTATTCGTCTGTATGAAGTGGTTTGGTTCTAATAGCTCGATAATCGGAATCCATTACGACATACAACAATCGACTAATGTCCATTAGTAAGACTGTCAAGTGATTCAGCTTTATTTAACAATGATGTGAGCAACTACCGTTGTTTGCAGGTATGTTTGATGATTGGTAAGAGATTAGAAATCAATGGGATTCCATGTAATAGCATTGTTGATCCTAAGAATTACTTATTGTTCAGAGCTACTAATTTATTGGCGCACCAACAAACTAAAGTATCGCATTAGTGTGGCTTAAAGCCCAGTACATAAGCATACATTCGACATTTATCAACAAATGAATTAGTGGGCCATGGTTCTTAATAATGCTGATGGTATCCAATGCCTGTACTCAACTTTCTTTTACGACTGACTTGGTGGCTGGTTCGAATCTCGATAAGTTTTGATTTTCTTACTTACTTACTTACGAAAATATTTCATATATTTGATAAATGAACACTGCTGACAATAGTAGATAGCAAGCTCTCTTAACCAATTATTGGTATGTAGCTTGATTCAATTCATTTGCACGATGAACCGATAAAATAATCGACTTGGATACTAAGTTATTATTCGGACGTACTGTATATCGTGTGAGCTAAAATACTTAATTTTCTTAGAACTTACGTTCACAAAATTAATGATACACAACTTGTTTGTATTATAAAAGTAGTGTAGTGTACGGGTACTATCTATTCAGTTTATTTACACCTAGAACACATTAAATTGTACAATGAGGTTGTTTTTACAAACGACAAGTAGTACTCATGATATCAAAAATAAAGAAATACAATTATTTATAAAATGGCCTGACAATGTTCGTGCTGGGGTTCCATAGATCGAGAATCATCTTTTCTCATTTGAGGATAACTACGCCAAAGTGGCAGTTCTACGCTTTGACCTAGAAGCTGACCACAACGACAGCAAGGGGCACTGAACAAGTCTCGATAACTATGAAGCCAAGTAAAAAACCCGCGAATGGCAGAAGGAGGTTTGTATTCATTAGAAAAATGAAGGAGCGCACATTGGGCTAGAGAAGTGATACGTCGAAACAACGGATGACGACTTGGTGTAAAAAGATCTAGATTTTGTTGATGAATACTACAAAAGCGAATAAATTTCGGGCCGCGTTGTTGTCTATGTTCTGAAAGTGATCGAGTTTTTGAGTCCGGACTCAGTAAGGAGACAACAGTATCACGAATGTTTGGCAATGAATCAAGACCTGAATCAGACAACAGTTCTTCTGCTGCTAAGGATAACGGCTTTTCCTCTACATTTAAATTGTCATTAGGAAAATCAGAATAGGTTTTTATGATCATTGGTTCCGATATTCCGCGAACAATAATTTTTTCTGGATTCAGCTGGCGAAAAGTCACATAGCATTGCATTACCTCACCAACCTTTAGAAAGACAATAATAATTTCCATAATAAAAGTGAAGTACTTTTGCATATAAAATAATGCCGTTAGTTTGCTTAAATTAAAATCACAAATATTTTTGACGTACAGTGAGAAAGTCTGTTTGCTTCCTAGTGTGTGGAGATAAATTCTTAAAAACATAGCAAAAAGTTTAGATACTAACCGTTGGCAAAAATTAATAAGTCATACCAAAAACAATAGTAAAACCAAACTGTTTACTACTTTAACTGTAACTTATACTTTCACGTGAAAATATGAGACTTAGCAACCACTCCGTAACTTCACATTTAACATTTATCCACAGGACAAATAATAAGTAATCTAACCTACAGTCTAGTTTTATGTAGCAGTTGTGAGCCGTACGCGCTGTATCTACGATACTATGCAGACTGACATGAAGTTCTTCGTATAACCAAACGGTTGATGTCATTGGCTTGCATCACTGAAGCTAAGATTCTTTTGTCAGCGTATACAAAACAGGCTATCCGACATCGGAAATACGTTGAATAAATACTTTTTGGAGATTTATATACATAGGTGGAGGTTTCTAGATTTAGTTAGTCAATAATTTACAACGTAGAACTTCGTTCGTAAGCACATCAGTTCAAGTTGCCATACCACATTAGCATAAAGACGCAACTGTCAGTTTAAATCCAAAAGTGGCAGAGATAGTAGAGGCATTAGCGGTAGTGAAAAAGATTAGGGTTCGAAGAAATTATTCAAGAAGTATAATTCAGTAAGATAAATTTCGAAACAACAACATTGCTTACTCGTCTGTCACAGGATAAGCGAGCAATGCTTCGAAGACATCTATAGCCGAATACTAGTGACTTACGAATATCTTCTATTCCTCCAGCGTAGATTACACAGCCATAAAGTAGGACGGAGCGAACTGCTGCACAATAAACTCTTTCTTTGGTTGGCAGATGGATATCTCAACTACGCCATAAGTGACACAAGTTGGCAAAAGCCAATTGAGCCTTCTGTATCCGTGCTGAGATTTCATCAGTCACCCGGCCATCACCAATGATGAAGCTCCCCAGATAAGTGAAGCGGTTAGCGCGCTCAACTGCTTCGGTTCTTATCACTAGTTCAAATACCGATGAAACCCATTTTGCATTTCGACTGGGAGAATCGCATCCCGAACATGCTTGCATTATTGCTTAGAGTAGTCACGAGACTGCATTCTGTCAGTGTCTTCACCAAGTAGAACTATGTCATCGGCATATTCTAAGTCAACAAACGAGCTCCAGTTAGGCGTCGAAGTACTATTGAGGCTAACAATTTAGACACTATATTAGTTAAACTGATTCATCTTTATCACAAGAGTACTTTTCTTCTTTCTTATAGACTGGGACAATCAGTGATTGAGACCAGTCGGATGGGATTACGTCCAGTTCCCAGATTCTACCCAAATTCTCAGTCAACCTAACTGCTAAAACTTGGCCACCATTCCTAAATCCTAGAACTTAGCTTGGTTCGATATTTGTGAACAATGAAAGCTGCAAGCAATTGGACGTAATCTATTTAGAATGAATAATTTGTTGACCACTGATTCGAAAAATGGTGTCGATACAAACCAAGGCATGACTAGAGTCCAAACAACGTATACACAACCACGCCAGTGGTAACTGGTCGCGATGTGGTCAGTCTGAGTTCAGGCTTGAAATCCTGAGAGAGCACCAGTTAGCATCTCGGCAATGACTGTGCTAATAGTTATTACTAAACAGAAACAGGTTCTAGTCTGCGGAAGAGACGGTCCTTGTTATTTGACCTGTGGCCACCCAGTCCCCATTGGCTACCCAAGTGACTCCCAGTGTGCCTAGATGTCCCACCAGCGAGTTCAAGTATCCAGTTAGCACTGAAATATCTGTTAAACTTAGCTGGTGATAAGACTCATCCTCGATTACATCCGAGTTTTAGTCTGTCGAAGAGTAGGGGGAGATATAAAGACATGTCAGATCAATTGATTCCGACTATAATGAAGCTTTTTAATCCGATAGCATAAAAATGGTTGTTAATGGAGATCTAATCGACTTGTGCTGCTTCCCTGGTTTGGCGCTCTGTATGATACCAACATCAGTAAAACCAAGGATGCCACGAAAATTTCTAAACGCAAATGAAACAAACTTTATGAATTGACAGACGGAGAGCGAGTTCTTAGTACTCTACTAGTCTTGAATAAAGGTTTTAGGCCTACAAAAAGCATCGATATTAATACCTTCCCAGCACAGCCAAATCTGCTGGTTTTTCGATCTGCACCAATGATAGTAAGTTGGCATAAGACATACTGAATGGTTTGTGCGATTTTAGAAAATCTGGAAAAGAATCTGTATTCATAAATGGCATCTAAAAGCCTTGTCAGTTAGTTAAGATGGAACAAAATTTTTACCACAGATAGGCTACTGTGTGAAACAGAAAACAAAAGTAAAAACAGGATGGATGTAAACGGAAGCAATATTGATAGGTATATTTGAAGATACAAGAGAGAATGAATAATAGGGTACAATTATTTCTCGAAAATTTGATCTTAATTTTCTCCAATAGCAGACAGACAGATACAATGCAGAACTACGTACTTAAGTACATCAGTTCAGGTTGCCATACCATATTAACACAGAGATGCAACTGTCAGTTCAAATCCAATAGTGGCAGCGGTAGTAGGAGTATTAGCAATAATGGAGATCAGAGCTCGAAGATATGACTCCAAAAGTACAATTTAGTGAGATAAAGAAAGAGAAAGATAGAGATGGACATCCCTGACGGACACCACTTGGAGTAAAGAATTCCGATGACTGTTCGCCATAAGCTCTTACTCGACCAGTGGTGTTCCAGTTGAGAGGTCTTATACGGTTAACGTACTTCTTTGGTACACCTTTTAATGATAGACACTACCACAGAACCTCACGATCGACAGAGTAAAATGCCACTTTAGAACGAGGTTTCAGAAGACTAGGAATGACGTTTCGTGAACTCGCATCGTTTGCATTAGCGGTGCAGTGTGATAAAGGAATGTGGGAAGAGTTAGTCGTGGAGATAAGAGAGATATTAAGGAGAGTAGGAAGGATATAATTGTGACCAATTCGGTCTCGTGTGCTGTTACGGGTTATGAGGGCGGTTGTCCATTCCCGGCTGCCCACACAGTGGGAAGGTGTTTCTTGGGAAACCTGAAAAGGAAGTTAGATTAGTGTCGGCCTTAGAGACGTGGGAGCGTGATCGCAGAGCCCAATGCAAAACTGCTTGAGGCCTTTTTATGAAAACCAAAAACGTTTTAAACAATAAGGTGATGTGAGAAATAGTAGTGTCATCAGCAACTAAAAACAAACTACCGAACGAGTAGAATTATCAGACATGTTTACGTAGATTGGAATGGAGTTGTTGAAGATTTAAGCATTATTAAATCATAGAGTGGAATTTTTATACTACAGTAATCGGAAAAGATAGCTAAATATTTTAATCGAAGCCAAATCGTCGTACTACCTTAGGTCGTTTTAGATAGTGTTACGTCAGCATTCCCATTTGGAGTTTGACTCACACCCAAGTTTCTAGTGAATGAGATAATAATATTATTCTAAACTTCGACTTGTTCACAGAGGTTTAGAAAGCGAAGCAATATTAGTATTCAAGCAGTTAGTGACTCAACTTAGTTTAAAAATCTATAGAAAGTAGATGAGTTGCGTTATTCTGAAAAAGGAAAAATGCTACCACTGAGATGTGCTCTACACTTTCTATGGTCCGTTTGTAATCCGAGATTAAATGCCTAAGAAAACACTAATAAAGACATGTTGCAGCGCCCAAAAAAAGTATAAGTTACTAAATAATTGTATTTGAATGCTTGCATAGGGAACTAAAAAAATATTGCTCCGTAAGATCATTGATGAAAATGGCTATACGAATGCAAATCTAATAATAAATTTTCCTATACTTACCCTCAAATGTACTATGGATACGATTGACGATGGTTCGATTAACGTTATAATAAGATCTGGTAAATTTACATTTAATTCATTGAGTATATGTTCCAGATCAGTACGATAATCTCGATTGATAATATTGAGGAAATCTTTTCGCCTACGGGAATGATCTGCATTTAAATGGGAACTATAAAATTATCAGAGAGATATAATCAGTTTACATTAACATAAACATGAATTAGGAATTATTTATCTGATTGATGATTACGGAGAGTAGACTAAGTTGGTGATAGTTTCTTGAAAAAAAGTCAACTATGGTGATGGATGATATGCAGATAGTCAAGTAATGCAACAAACTATATTATCTATGATAAATATGCGTTGTTTAGTACCAATAAAAATATGCGTTTATTTCTATTTCGTATATTATACAAGGATATTGTTCCATACTAAAAAGAATGTGGTATTTCAGCTATTAAAATAGATATTTACACTTTCTGTCAAATAGTTTTGTGATGGATACCAGTCACAATCTGTATTAATCATCCTATAATTCCACTTACTTTATTTTATGAATTATAACGTGTTTTAACAACCAATATTGCTCGTATATCTTGGGACAAACGAGTAAGCAATGTTGTTGTTAGGGAACGAGTACTAGGTAGGGGTGGCAAATCAATAGATGAAGTATTGAAACTTCATCCGTCGAGAGGGTTTGGACATGTGTTACGTATGCTCAACCACCGTCTTCCTCGACGAGCTGTTTTGTGGTGTAGGAGTAGGTTGGAAGAAAGCTAGGGGCGGCCAGATCAAAACATGGCAGAAATCCATGAAGTCACTGACAAGTAGACCGATATGTGTTGGTAGATGTAGACTACCTGTTTGAAGTCTGCGAGACGATAGTAACCGATGGTTAGAGGCCTTGAACGACATGGCTAGAAATCGTTGGCAGTTGCGTAAGTGCATCCGCTCCTTGTGTTCTATGAAATTGTAATTTTCTAGATTCATCATCATCTCTTTCGAAATTTATCTTACTGAATTATACTTCTTGAATAATTTCTTCGAACCCTAATCTTTTTCACTACCGCTAATGCCTCTACTATCTCTGCCACTTTTGGATTAAAACTGACAGTTGCGTCTTTATGCTGTGGTATGGCAACTTGAACTGATGCACTTACGAACGAAGTTCTCCGTTGTAACTGATTGACTGAGTGACCGATAATACCCACTGAATAGAGTAGTTCAAGAGTTAAGTTCAAATAATCTTTTATCGCAGCTACATTTTGACCGAGTAGTATATTTTGCTCAGCTTATTAGTATGAATCCCCAAAACTATTTACTCCGTAAATTTATCAACTAGTGTAAAAAGCTGAAGTTGTTAATGGGAGATACAACTGCATTCAATATTACTATACGTTAATATAAACTGGCTTTTTTCATGTCCTGGGGTTTGTCCATGAAGGTTGAGGAAAGTATAAGTTTTTTAAAATGTTCAATCTCATCATTATATGTTCAGTTCATTAGCTTATGTAGAGAACTACATAAATGAATTTCTAGAGAATGTCTTATGGAATTTGATTATCCACAAGTAAATCTTGATGCAGCAGTAGGTTATTGTAAGATAGCAAACAACGAAAACAAAATTCGGAGTAGGAAAAAAAGACACTAGTTATCAAGAACGAGTACACGGAGTAAAATGAAACGATTAAATGATTAAAATAAAATACACAGAATGAATGGATTTTAGTTAGTTCGATCACACGATTAACAATAGTTATTGTTGTATGAGTCCTAACATAAAGCATAAAATTCTTGATTTAGTCTAAGGTATCAATAAATGAGCGGAATTATGTGTTTATTTAGATACCACAGAACTTTTATTCTACCTCTAATCCAGTTAACATTGCTTAAAATTAAAAAATGATTTATGATTCATGCCTTTCATGTAAGAGTTAATTTTAGTAAGCTCTGAGTAATAGATAAAGGTAAACTCCATGTTTATTGATAAACATGCCGTTTACAGGAAGAAAAGTTGCAGTAAAGTTGACGTAGTGTATTTGCATAAGGGATTGTAATTATGGAAAACAGAAACCAAGTGTTTGAAAAACTAGATTATGTCAACGTTAATATACTATTAGGGACAAAAACTAGAACTACCGTCGGAATGCGGAACAAGCCAGTAAACCTTCAAGCACTGTACGGGTGCGTCCCCAATATCGATGACTCCAACGTTCTGCTTCTATTCTATCCATGAGCCAGTCAACACGACGCATATCAGATTCTTTCCCATGATCATCGATCACCATATACTGAGATAGCGAGGATTCATAAGGCCAACTATTACGACTAAATTCCAACTGTTCAACAGTGCTAAATAAAGATAAAGCGTTTTGCAAACCATGGTCACTAGGTCCGCCAGATAACCGATTGGTCTGCATTCGACTGGCCAGTTGGTCCAAATTATTAAAAACATCACTACAATAAAAGACAAGTAAGTACTTTAAATAAATGCTGGAAAAACATAAATGTTTAGAACGACTACCTGGCAATACAGGTACAAATTTTAAGAGGTCAGATTTTTCTCATTATTACCATATTCTTCCGATCATCTAATAACAAAATAAATGATTAAAACTAAGTCTTATCAAAAGGCGATGAGTATCTGCACATTCTAAATACAAACAAAGTACCTATCGGTTTCAAAAGCTTGTATACATAAGTGCCGTCATTGTACTGAAAAACGAAAACAACCAGTTCAAAAAGGAACATTGTCGTCATATAGAAACTGAGGTTGGAGTATTAAGGATTAATATGATCCAGTGTTTCTAGTTATGAACTGAAAACTAGAACTGAAGAACATAATGAGATTAGCATGATACTAACCAGGCTTTGTTAGGAAAGTCAGTTGTGTCGCTTTCTGGCACCAATTTACTTTATGGATTAAGTCTACGGCTTAGTTTTGCGAGTAACCAACCGTCATCTGAGTCACACGGTTCCGCGTGGTTCGTCGATCAACATTCATATCATTCTAATCTTGATTAAGGGTTTTAATAAAGCATACAAGACTACTGATCAAAGCAATTACAGAACCATCAAGTGTGATGGCAGAAAAATGAACGGTAATACCTACCTATTTTATTAACGCGTTTGTAATGTCACAGAACTATGCACTTTAGTGTGCATATTACATAAAAACATATAGATGTAACAACTTTTAAGGTATTTTGTTCACCTGATATGGTTGACTATTTTGTGTAGTGCTAGCTTTTCACGCGACATGATCTTCATACTAAGAGTTTGATAGAGGTTGTTACGACCTTCAATTGTACTTCCAGTAGCTTTTCCTTCTGCAATTGTGCAGACAGGACTAGGGATATTTCCACATCTTGTACTACCATTTTTATTGGATAGCATAAAGTTCTCGTCTGCAATCCGATTTAGTTCCTCGGAATCCTTTTCATCAGATTGTATAGAAGTCAGTAGATTAGTTAGTAGTAGTCTAAGTCGTTGAATTTCATATAAGCTATCCTGAGCAAGAGATGAAATGTTATTCTGTACGAAACTGCCTGGATAAAACGTCGGAAGATGCACATTCATGACTGCATGAGGTGCTGGTGGACATTCCATATTACGAGGAATATGCGTTGGTTTAACACGAAGAGCGTTTCATAGTTGAGGTTGAAACCTAAAACAATTAGAGAAGTTAGAAGAAAAACTTGGATACTCAGCACTACTACTATCAAACAAGATCTCAATGTGCGAAAACCAAAATATGGAGACATATTTGCCCAGCGAAATTACTTTGCACATTGCATGAACATCATTGAGAAATAAAAACGTCAAGATCAATTCACTAAAGCACATTACTATATGGTTAGCAAGGTAGTGGTACACACCTTTCATGTCTCAAACATTAAAAGACCAGACACTAGCGATCAATACGAATTTTAATCAAGCTGAAACGAAATTGTAAGATAAGCATTGTAAATTTAAACCTCCGGAAAACTTGGGATTTGGCTTCTTGCATGAGAAACAAATAAAAGTTGATATTCACTTTAAACGTAATGACCCGAATTCCAACAGCCGAAGTCAGGACTGGTGTTTTATTTCAAGTAGTTGTTTATTCTAATGATATCCACACAGTTGCATTTTATGAGCAGAGAAACTTTCCTACGAGTACCTATAGGAACTCTAGTAACTGTTAATTTACTATTGATGAAATAGGAAAAAAACATGTACTTTCGGGAAAAATAACAAAAAAATTTAAGGATAGTGAGGCACCAATCAATTTATATTCAACCCAGCTCAAGAACCAAGTAACTCCTCAAACTTGGGTCTAGTTTTTGAAGTTAGGCGCCAGAGGTTGCACAAGAAGAAACACATTAAGACTGTAGATAACGTAGTAAGGATAAATTAACCAGGCCACATTATCTTATGGTAACTGAGAGTCTAAAGACTACGGGCAGTGTAGTGGTTTGAGTCTGGTCAGAAAGTAATTTGTTTACTATGAGAGCGTGCAGAGAAGCGTAAATGGAGAGGACTTGGAAAAAAGATGAAGTACGTTGAGCCAACGAACCAGCAGGCGCACAAAACATGTTTTTCAGGGGTAGAAATAAACATCGGTTAACTATGAGGCAGGCCTTAGCTTATAATAATCTGAATCTAATAACTATACGCAGGCAGTGTGACATTTCAATACGCTACAATAATGAGATGTGTTATCAGCGTTTAGTGTCAGCCACGAAGAAGCTAAAACTATAGCTCACAAACGTTGATAAGGGAGTACATTAGAAATTAAAACATCCAGCGACCTCATATAATTCAAAATAAAGTAATGGTCTTAGTACCAAAAGGAAGGTTTATCTACGAAATAGTCTCATTCTTCGTTCATGGTCTTCCTGCGATAGAGAGAACAGATACAAACCACCAGACAATTATTTTGAAATCTCAACAAAAAAAACAAAACCTTTCGTCTTTGGTGAATTTACGTCTAGCCTAAAGGTACTTTTTGTGCTTGAGGAATGAAGAGCAGTATGCGAGGTTATCCGGGAGCAGAAACAATAGGCGAAATGAGCCAACGACTCAGTGGGCATATAGAATGCAATTAAATTCATGAGAAAAACAATCGAAAACAATAAAGGTAACACAAAAGTTAGTTAAAGACTGATAATCCAAACCAGAAGTCGGTAGCGCACGGTTTTAAATGCGTAATCGAAGGTCAAATGGTAGGTTGCAATATTCAATATATTTTTCACGAGCTAGTATAAACCAACTGATTACTTTGCGCTCGATTCTTGTTCCAACGGTACGGTTACAGGTATTTGGTAGTCTAGTAGATGACCGTACTAATTATAGTCAGCTGGCAGTTGCCTGTTAGATGGTATGTCCCCTGATTTGAATGAAAACGTTTGTTTCAGGGCAATAGGGTTTCTGGATATCAGCAGCTATCACATTACCAGACTGGAGATCAGTAGGCTGCAACGTGGAGAATAATGAAGAAAAAATTCTAATGTTAATAAGAGGACTTCAGGACTAATTAGGAAAATAGATAATTTAGTTTATTAATCGGTAGTGAAGATTGTGCTAGTGGACCGAAATGTAGGCAACGAAGAGAAAATAGAGATAATAGGGGAGATAGATTAGGTTATTCACCTGAGGAGATGGCAATAATAACGACTAGCAAGTCTGAAGACATGTATCAGGCACAGCTTGTCCATGAGGGAGATGATTATCCGACAGTGAGTCCGAGTTTATCGAGTCTTTTAATAAAGCTGTCCTTTGAAGGAGCTATGACCACGTCGGCTGGAAGAGCATTCCAAGTTGCAACGACCTTTATTGAGAACAAGTGTGCACGAACCTGAGTGTTTGCTCTCTGATGCGCAATGTTTTGAGGATTATTTTAAGGTGAGTGTTGGTGATGCTTCGGCAAGATGCTCACGTTGGGAAGATTTGACGTTTCTAATCTGTTGTACACCATAATCAAATCACCCGTGATCCACCTGTAACTCATAGGGAATAATTTGAGGTTCCGGAGTTTATATTTATAAGCTTTTTGCTTCAGCGCTATCACCCATTTCGTTGCTCGCCTCTGCATTCGATCCAAGAGATTTCGGCTCTTCTAAAAGGAAGGGGTGCCACGACGTCACGAGCCTCAATGCGTGAATGTTTTTATGTCCTAAATAACATTATGAATAACTTTGGGGTGAAAAGGCCGAATTTTCTCCGCGCAAAGTGAAAAGTCGCATTTGCCTTGGTTGCGTCCTCTTTATAATTCGTGCTTGTGTGGAGGCTTTCTGTGGTTATTAATTTGAGATCGCGCTCTGAGGAGACATTAGAGAGCGAACTTCCATTGAGGGCGTAAATCGTTAGCGTCTTATGGGACAGAACGTACATGACGTGACAGTTTGGCTGGTTTAATTTTAAACCGTTTATCACTGCTCATTCCTCAATGGATGTCAGGTCTTTTTGAAGCTCAGTTGCGTCCTCTTCGCTTCTAATAGACTTCTGGAACTTTGCATCATCTTCGTAGGTCAGTGCCATCGAGCTTTATCTAAAAGATCGTTAATGAATATCAGGACCTACGTATTTATCCTAAAGTTCTAAAACCTTTGACATCTACCTGTGAGCATCGGCATAGATCTTTGTGTATCAGGAAAACTTGTAGCTTGTTGACTGGGATGCAATACGAGGTACTCGGATGTTTTCATCGGACAAAGCCGAAGTGTAAACCACTTAGATAACAGTATTATCTCTTCTCAAATGACTGTACGTTTACTGGGGCACATCATTTTTCAGGCAAGATCAACTTGTTACAAAGATTAGCAAGTTTATTGTAAAAGGTTGCACAATTAAATTAATAGTAGGAGTCTTTTTCCGAGAGCAATTTTACGCCACTTAAGAGACAGGATCAGTTTAAGATTTTCAACAACTGATTACAAATAGGGTAGGTACACGGAGGAGGAAAAGGAGCAAGAGACAATTACTACAGTTGATTTTCGAGCCCTAAATTATCACCTCCTCTTGAAAACTTTGGCACACAACAAAATTGATAGAGAAAGTGGGAAGATGGTAATCTACGCATAGGAGAAATCACACTGACCCTCAAACTGTACTAAACATAGTTTTTCAGTCAGCAAACTTGGAGTTAACCCGTACTACTTATTGGCGTCTGACTAAGAAATCCTTCGTCCACTTTAGTAAGTCACCTCCGATCCCGATATCAATAAACAACAGCAATATGTTGTGTGGTACTTTTTCGACGCCTTACCACATCCATTGCAAGCTACATCTACGGGTAACATTCAGTATTTCTGAGAGCACAAACTTCACGGAGGGAGAAGTTTGAAAGACATAAAATGCCTGTCCTTTGTTTGTCCTTTTATAGAAAGAATCATCTAAGATACTCAGACAAATGTCTTTTGTATATTTTTTTCAAGAATGTTAACAACCACAAAGGTCATGCTTACGTTGTAGAATCCAAACTGAGGTTTGGACTGAGGAATTAATTTCTAGGTTATTTAGAATCTCGCCTTGTCCAGTTTAAATACAAAACAAGTGATTGGGTAAGTAATGGTTCTATTATTATTCATAAATATAAGTATACATCATTACCTCAACAACATAACCGCTTTATTCCTTCAATTATTCAAATAGATGATATTCTACCCCTCTTATAACACAGAGTGTTTCCGACTCTGGAGGATTGCTCCGATTTCCTATTCAAATCGCACACTTACAGTCATTGCAAGCGCTTCAGCCAGCAAAGGAACAAGTCAAAAATTGCTGTCGCCATGACTAAGTATCAGCCTAAACAACATAATGCAGTTCAGAAGGAAACATGAAAACGCAGTGAAGGCAAAAGAAATAGAAACTATAATATAATACAAATATTATCACATGAAATGGATGGAGCAGACAAACAAAATGTAAAACTCAGGGAATCAATAAAGACAGATTACATATGTATACATGGAGGGATTTTCACAAAGCCCTCAAAAAATGAATCTTCCATACGTGTCGATAGTTCCTATTGGTGGAGTTTCATTCTCTGAGATGAGAGGAAAAGACTCCACCACAATTACCCAACTAAATAACAAATTTTTCCGCTATAATTTTAAAGTCTCTCTGCAGTACATCGTTCGAAAACAGGAATCACAATCTCATTTTCGCACTTTTTAGGTGATCAACATGGGTCACAAATTAATCATCTACTTAATAGATTTGAAAATTAAGGTATATGGCTCTTGAAAGATCTAGAATGAAGTTGTGCTGGTTCAATAGATTTACGATTATCAAGCTTAAATTATTGGCCAGAAACACCAAGTTCTCTGACGGTTACGATATGTATGCGGGATTTATATGGACAGAAAGGAATGGCATATTTACAGTAAATACATTGCTGAACTAGTTAGGGAACACCCGAACTTCATCATTGTCACTTTCCACCAATGATTTAGTTTTACAAATGCATCCATTACTAGCCTAAAAATACTTCTTTCTCCTCTACGTTGGAAAGGTTGTATTAATTGTTCAAATAATCAAGCAAAGAAGTACTTTGTACGCTCACAGCATAGCAAGTCAGGATGGCCAGCTATTTCAATTGTATAAATGTTCATAATAATTAGGTATACTTATCATCCGAAAGCTATGGCATGATATTGAGTCTTGAATTATAGTGGCATAATTAAGTTCATCAGTCCCGAACCTGTGATAAAGTACTACCAAGACACGGTAAGATGTTACTGATAGACAGTTGCAGCTAAGTCCTATACAGTACGACCAACAATATAACACTGATATTCTATATAAACTAGTATGCCTCATGAGAACAGATCATCATTATGACTATCGGTTTAAGGTTTGATCACAAGCTTTTATCTGCTAAAATAGACTGTTGATGCATTTTTGGCTCTTTAATTAGCTACTGAAGAGGGAAAATGCATCCACGTTGTTTAGATTAAAAGTTATGAGAGGCCTAGAAGGACAACACAAAAAGTATAGTTCATCAAATGAATAAAGTAAGCCTTTCCATCCTCCACCTAACGTCTCAAACTAAGCACCCGGTTAACAAGAATCATATCCCGTAGATTTAATCATAAGGGTTCTAACTGTGACGTAACGAAAACTCGGGAAAAAAGTCACATAGACAATGGGGTCGTCATGAACTAGAAAAGTGCTTTGAGTCTTTCGTTCAGTTTTCAGGGTACAACAAATGCAATTTTATGATATATTGTAAAGTAGATCTTAAATCCTTCAAATTAAGATTTTATAGCAGTGATACAACCTACATAAGGCAAAGATTTTAAACACGCAGGTAAACTGAGACATTTCGGTGTAAAAATTTAACTTGTTATCCAGTCAACAGCTAGCGTTGAAAAGTGGTTTAAGGATACAGTCTGAGATACTTTTCAGGAATTTTTCGAAGGAATCTCGGAATATGTTTTAGTATAACAGGAAGATATTTTTGTAAGGCATTACTAAATATTTGACGTCAAGGATACAGCTTATGACTGATGTAAATGGTTGGAGGTTTTTAAACCAGATCTTCGTGTTCAGCAATGTTTTGACTCAACAAGTGGCTCAACTGACCAAGATGTATGAGAGACCCTGAATTCTGACCGTTAACCTTCAGTTCATCTTCAAAAGCGTCCGACCAATTGGACAACTCCAAAGACCTATTAGGATTGTATAAAACTTGGAATTGACTCGCATTGGAATGGATCAGAATATAAAGGGCTATCAAAGCAGGTCATCTCACTAGTCGACTATGGAGAACTAATGAACTTGAAAGGAGCACGAGTCATTCAAGATAAAAGCCCTGAGAAGTTAGGTCTTCTGTTGACTCGCATAAGGCTCTGACGCGTGGAGCAGAATAGAGAAACGATAAAAAACAAAGGCTATTGAATGTGTTATTGGCTTGTTTGTTCAACGATTTGCAAAATATTGTCACTGTTCATCTTAAAATCTTTTCCGCTATTCTGAAGGGCGTTCAGTTACAATCTTTACAACGCGTTGCCATAATAGGGTTGGGCATGGTAATATAATAAATCATGGCCGCAACCTGGTTTCAAAATAACTCTCTCTGTAAGCAGACACATAGGCCAGGTATATGTTAATATTTCATATAGTATCCATCAACCGCTTATTTGTTTGCAAGCTTATCAAACTTAATTAAACATTCGGATGAGCTAAGAGTGAAGACTTGTTGTTTATCACACTCTGCACGAGCAAACTTTCCGTTTGTTTTACTGCCGTTTTGGCTCCACTGTCTCTGTAATTTGGCCCCTCTTTTTTGGCACAATTTCGGTATTCTTTCGATGCCACGATGTCGTCAGCACATATATACACATGTGTTGATTATTTTACCTTCTCTGTGACGTGCTCGTGATTAGTGTGTAGTGGTGATCGTAGTCGATCATGACTCGATGCGCCACTAAAATGTTGCAAAACATTTTTCTCTTTTGATGCTGATTGGATATTAACGATATGGAGACACAATTTAATGGGTGAATACTAGTTTAACTATGTTATAACCGATAATATGAATGAACGAAAAATAAATCAGTATTCTAATTCTAACTGTATGTATCAAGTCGAGCAATCAATTTCAGTAGATGAGAGTTGAGAAGCAACAACAAAGAGTCGACCTGTTACATAACTTTCTGTTTAAGTGAAGAAATGCGCTTATATCAACACCCCATTACTACAGACTGGAACATTACAGACAAAAATTTCAAATTAAGTCAAACAGCAACGGTTTAGTTGAGGGGCGAATGAGAAATATTGACGTTATTATTTACAAAAACCGGGGCCAGGAAGAATCCTAGGGTGAATAGATTATGGGAAACAGTACGCTTTGAAGGGATTATTGAGGAATCTACTCTTTCGCATTAAGCGACGTATGTATCTGTATATCTACTCGTACATGTTTTGTGGTTATACGAACTGACACATATATTATGTAATAGGTACGTACGCGTCGACGCCCTTCACTTCAACTTACTATTTGAGAAAACCAGTGCTTGAATTATACTCATTCAACCAAAATCTACTTTTATGTTTATAATACTACCGTCTCCTAAACGAGGTTTTTCTAAGTACAAAATGCGAAATCAAAAGCATAGCTCATGTAAATGGTTCACTTATAGTTCGTTCGTAATAGAATCGCCTAATTTTACAAAAGTTGGCTTAGTTAGACAGGTATAAACTAAAACACAGGAGCACTAATCCTTAGTGGAAAGCCGTCAGTTTCATCAATAACCTCTCGATTTCAAAGATAATTCCATCATATGAACTCTTTGCGACAAGCCAACCCTCTTAGTTGTTGTCCTAACATCCTATATGACGACAGTGGTAATGCTACAGGGACCTCAGCGAAACAGCGAATCGGAGTATTTTAACTGTTGTCTGCTGTCCACATTATCTAGGCGTCAACTGTAGCTTAGAAGAAATCTTAAAAGTTAATCTGACTCTGGAATTGGTGCACCGAAAAATGGAGTATTGAAACAATGATACAGCTCACTTGGATATGGTTCACTCCACTATACTGAAAGAAGCAGCCACACTCCAAGGAAAATTTAACTTTATGTTCTCATATTCATCGAACCAATGTGAATCACCAGATAAATGGAAAAAAGCACAACATTCCAATCTTTAGATGCGGCCGATACGACGGCCCACCAAACTACTGACTGATAAACGTAATTTAAGTACTGACCAAGATTATGAAATTTCCGGTTTAAGACTGATTATGCGAGTATGTTATCCATAAATTTCGTTCCTATTTAATAAAATGGCCTCAGGTAGGGCCATACTTGTATCATGAATCAAGTGGCTGTAGTGGATAGATGCACTCCGATCTGTGATCCAAAGGGTAAGATGGATATAATATATTTTAACTTCTTAAAGGTCATGATAAGGTCAATCGTAAATGTCTTATCACTAAGCTCATAAAGATAAGTACTAGACCACTACCGATAGATCGGATATTTAAGGTCAGGACAAAATGATACCTTTCTCAAGTTACAGTCTGTTTCAGAGAAAATACAACAAAACTATACTGTTCATGAAAAAAGAAAAATGTACAGACATCGGGAAAATGAAATCTAACTTGAGATAACAAGAACATTTTTCAAGTACACAAAAAATATGTAGCAGATAAGTTAATAAGGAACAATTCCCGTAATTCGCATTTACTAGTACTACTACTTAGTCGGTTACATGCTCGATGCAAACACATTTTTTTCCATTAAAACTTAGCTATAAATTGAAATTTTATACATTACAACATAATCCTTATCAATCAATTTGTGATTTAATACCTTGAGATAAAAATCAGACTGAAATATAATGCATTATTAAAATGAAGACAAACATAGAGCTCTGTAAAATAACATTTAAATTTCATAATAATAAGACTTAACTTTAATGCTTTTATTTAGTGTTTAAAGGAGATTTTTAAATAAAAACAATAGAGCAGTTCATTGATTATTATTATTATTATTATTTATAAAATGGAAATAAATTGATTCCTAGGTAAGACACCTTAGGACAATGACAAATATGCACACAAAAATTATTCCGAAATGAAAGAAAAGTAATATACAAGAAGTGTGTAACCAGTTTAAAATATAAATAAGAGAAATTGTTCAAAGAAAAAACCATCAATTCCATAATATGTTATTATTATATTTGTTTTATTTTATACAAAAAAGGTGTAAAAAATAAATGCATGATCATGAGGAACTTGCATCTTTATATCTCGTTGATGAATTAGTTCAAATTCTAATTAAACCTCAGCTATTGGAACCTAAATAAAAATTAAAAAAAAGGAAAACAACAATAACTCATATGATGAATGAAAAAAAAACGGAATTGTCTTCATGATAATTAAAGTAAGTAATATCTCTAAGAAATGAATGATAATACATGAAACCAACACAGTTATAAAATCTAAATATTATCTGATTTTTTTATGTTTTTCATAATCAACTGAAAATTTTCTTGAATATCATAATCACCTCTCTTCTATGTGACTAGTCAAACTAACGACTGCTACACGATTAGGTAAGTTGAATTTTGAACTTTTGTTTACATTGTACAACCATGGTCGGATACATATTTTTTATATTCGTGAAAACAAAATTCGTATTATTTTAATGGTTTAATTATTTCAGTTTTATTCACTTGACATATCTCATATTCACATTTGAATTCTATGAGGATATTATTCAAATTGGTTAATACATTTTGTTGCTTACCAGTCCATGAAGTAGTTTGGATTATGTATGATTAAACACACGTGCAGTATTATGTAGGTAGCTTCGCAAATCCAAATTACTAGTTACGCACAATTTGGTTTTGTATGCTTGAGGATTCTTTGGTATGATAATAAATTCCATTTACATTATATATTGTTTAACATTGCCTTTTTTTGTATTCATAGAGATCCGTAGATTATTGATTAAATCAAATGCCTCTGAGTGAATAGATAATCACTAGTTTGAACTCGATTCACTTGTTTAGGTTCGGGTTGTGATGTAGTATCACTAGGTTCTACATGTTAGGTATAGCTCAAAGCTGAATACACGCATTCGTACCTTGTCAGTGAGTTGCATTACTATACTACTATTTCCTATCATCTCTACAAGGTCTTCTTTGAATTCGAAATAACATATTCATTTTGACTTTAGAAACAACGTACTCACAGATTAATAACGATCAAAAATAGAATATAAAGTGGATTGATAGGACGTTGTTTTTAGGTATATAAAATATGTATCCGACCACAGTTATGAAGTGTAAACAGAAGTTCAAAATTCAGCTAACCTAATCTAGTGGCAATCATTAGTACGAATAGTCACATAGAACCGAGGTGATTATGATATTCAAGAATAATTCAGTTGATTAAGATAGAATATAAAAGTTATTTATCTTACCTTATCAGATTTACTGTACTCATGATGTCGATGATGCAAACATTGAGATTGTCGACTTGTAGCAGGAGTACTGGACACTGAATGTTTACTTTCATCTGATGCTGAAGAAACTGATAATTTTATATTTTCTGGTGGATGGGAATGACCTTGACAAGTCAAAGTCTTTACTTGAACTGTTTGAGATGGTGATACTTTAGAATATAATTGTATGTAATCTTCTTCGTCTGTTGAATGACAACTTTGAGTAGGTTTATTAACACTAACAGAACAATTGTGATGCTGATTTATAGTTGTATGTAATTGTTCAATAGTTTTTTTAGGATAACTGATGTTATTATTATTATTATTTTTATTGTGGCTTTGATTAATTAACTGAGAGTTATGCTTTTCTTCTAATGAACGACCTAAAAAGAATTATAATGAACAAGTTAATTACAATGAGTAAAAAAAACACAAAGTTTTAGAAAGAATATGAAAAGAATTACATCAGACTGGTAGTGATTTTATGATTAAGAATAATTTTTAACTATTGAATAAAAGTGTAGTACTATTAGAGTGTAAGAAATATTTAAATATAATATAGGCATCTAGAATTGCATATGAATTAGATAAGGATAGAAAATGAAAATAATGATAAACTGGTTTCGATATGAAGTTAATGTCAAGATATTCAAAATATATCATTCAGTCATGCCAGAAGGCTAATTCAACTGAGAATACTTTTTTATGCTTAGAAGTGTTGTAGCAACTTCTATGAGCTTAAATGCATTGACACAGACTATTATTGAAGAAACTACATTTTGTTTTACTAGAGACAAAGTTTTCACTACTTTTCTGAAGCGTTTGATTAAGTAGTTTTTTTATTTAGCGTAATGACGTTCGATAAAGCTGTCATACCATTAAAAACTCATAAAGTGTCTTATTCCAGTTTGAAACTTAAGTATTCACGAACAATCCTTGCTTGAGATTGAATCCAAGGATTTTAGCTAAGTCTTTTAATGAGTTGAGATTGAACGGTTCGTAATTTTAACATCAGGTAATGTTTGAACTCTTGAGCAATTTGTACACGACAACTCAGTTACGACATTTCAATTGATAAGAAGCATTGGAAAAATATGAACAGGAAAAGCATTAGAAAATCATAGTGCAATTATCCTGTTTAATTCAAGACCTGATTCCTACTGAGGCATTTGAGATTATCAATTTTTAAATGCAATGAAATTAGTTATTCATTCCAAAAAAATTGGTAGACAAATTTCATAAGATATCAATTGAGAAGAATTACAGGTGTATATATGTTACTCATGAACGTGAACATGTCATTTGAGATGCTTGACTTATTAAGAGTTTATCTAAGTCGGAAAACGAGAGCGAGGATCCGGCGACACGACATGCTACTCTAATCCGAGTGTCCCAACCCTCATTGAATAAAAGAAGACCTGATATGAAGTAGAAGCTGTATTCTACAAACATCCAGAGAGTACAAGGTCCGAGTCCAGAAGAGAATCAGGATCCCGGACTAGGGATCCGGGTCCTGGTCATAGAAAGTTACAGATAATGCGTATTTATACATTTAGGACGAATAGGAAACAGCATCGAAGTCAGTTTCATTGACAGTTAAGGCGACCAATAGGAAAAAACATTTGAAGTGACATTGATAGTCAGGACGACCAGAAAATTGACCAGTAGGAATTAACCAATAGGAATTGACCAATAATCCTATTATGATACTGGATGAATATCCCAACAATATAGAAATTTTATGATTATCCAAGTAAAGACAATGAAAATATTTCTCAAAACGTTTTAAACAAATTATATAAGCATACAACCAATACCTGTAGACAATGGTAAAATATTATTCCATCGAACAGTCCATAAATCGGAATCAACCGATGAAAGTGGTTGTACAAGCATCGATGGAAAAACACCACGTATAGAATGAAATTGTTGATTTTCACCATTTTTGTTTGGTTCAGCCACTAGAAGATCACCTTCCCACCAACCATCATCAACACCACAACCAGATATTGAACTTAACTGATCTCGTCTAGTTGTTGTTGTTGATGATGATGAATTAATAACTACATCATTAATATTAGGAGCACGACCAATTACACGTATAACTGCACCAGCTTTAAAGCTTAATTCATCTGGATTATTTCCTTGAAAATCGATTAAACTTCTTACAAAAGAACCAGAAAGAGGTGGTTTGGACAGTTCATCATTGGAAATTTCTAGGAAACGAATCAATGAAAGATAAAAGTGTGGAAACATTTTTAAAACATGCTGCTTGATAAAAAAAAAACTGTAAACATTTAATTCAGTTTCTAAAATAATTTCTACAAACTAAAATATTGTATACTTTATTTAAGTAAATAACACCATCAAATTAGCAGGTAGTAATGTTATGAATATTAGTAGTTCAATACAGTTTTACGCATATATGAACCAAACATTTTCCAAGGTAAAATGACCCACGATAAACTAAACCATTAGTATCGTTTCCAACATTGATATGACAATAATATCGAAATTCGGTGGAAATTTTTAAAATCCAAGAAACTTTGCAATTTTTAATAATAATAATGATTTTACATATATGAAATTATTTTGATTTCTTTGGCTAATAATGAACTGTTTAGCTCTGTGAGTATATTTACAGTTTGTATTCCACAATTTCAATAATCATCACCTGATCTTACCAAAAGTCATTTATTTAAGTTTTATGATCAGAGAGAATAATCGAAAGATAGAAGTTTTAACATTATGAATATTATATCAATATACTGAGATTAAGTGCTGGTTTTACTACATTTTCATAATAATCTAATTGTGAATTTCGATTTTGATCACTGACCATTGTTACATCTTTTGGATTTCTTAAATTATCGTAAATTAGTTATAAATTCATTACTCAGTCTTGGAGTACATATATCCTAGTAATGTTCACATTAGGTTTTTTTTATTTGTGATATCTTGTGATCATGTGATCAGTGTAAATGTTACCATGAATTTTTGAATTAATATGATAATACAGCAGAAAAACGAAAATCTGCTTGCTGTTGTTTTTTCTGACTAACAAATGAAATTACAGGGAGTCGATGGTTTATTAAAAGTTGAAAGTTTTAGTATTTGTTTTATTAGTTAAGGAAATGGTCGGCGTAGAGTGAACTAGTTGTAAGTCTACTGTATAATCGAGCCATCGTAACTTATATGAGGATGTCAATAGTCAAATTTAAAACACTTTTTACTTATGATTCACAAGTATGTCGATCAGGAATAAAATGGGAATGTCAGTTTTAAGCAATATATTCCATGTCAAATAATGACAGATATAAATACGTTTCATGTATGAATCTATAAGTGTAACCAAAATATTGAATTGTTTTATAATCCTGCACAACCTTTTTGAAAGATGACAGATTCATTTAAACAGTATAGAGCTTATCGTAAGTTAATAAACGTACCATCGGTGCTTAAGAGTCGAGGTGGATCGATTTCTGGAGGAAGGGATAAAGTTCCAGAGTCCACTTGATTAGGCTTCTTAGAGTTTTTACGATCATTATCTTCAGAACAAGCATTTGAGTTGGAATGAAAGATGTTATCTTCGCTAGTAAGCTGTGTTGAAATACCTTGTTTGCTACTATCACCGTTCATAACAATTTTTGAGTTATCTTTCGGCATATTCGCGTTAGATAGCTTTAAATAACTGATTGGAACCAAACCTTCATTTCCATCGATTAAACTTCTTACCTGAAATCCAAATGAACACAAATATTTAGAAAGAGGCATGAGAAATACAGAAATTTATTTATACAACACATCAGCGAATATATATATATATATATATATATATATATATATATATATATAAGATTGTAAATCACTGACGTTTGTCAAGTATCATTAAAGTTGAATACCTGGAGGAGTGAATATAGGGGGTTCGAAAGTTATGGACTAGATTCCGTATGAGTGGTGTGTTTTAAACTGTAGAGGGATCATACGTTATTTAGACAAAATCGAGTGATTCTTATTTCTCGCTTAGAAATAAACTAGAATCATTGATTAGGCTAATAGTTTTCTTTAGATATTCTAACTTACATTATGATGTTTCAAAAATCGAAGATATTTGTCTAAAATTAACAAATTTTTAAATTAGAGTTACTTTTTTTGAAACTTTGTAATTGGAATCAGTAAAATATTTATTGTTCAACATATATATCGGATATAAACGTTCAAATGAACATAAGCATTATGAAGAATGTTTATCAATTCAAAAAGTTCATATTAATTGTTCATAAATATGCGAAACCGTAAAACTTTAGCTTACATACACATTACTTGATCGTTAACTAACTAAGAATAATGTACAACAATGAATAAATCATTTATTAAAAAATACTTCGATATTTATATAATACCACTGTATAACTTACTTTAATCCATCCATTTTTAGGTTCATTATTCAATAAGACAACTGTTTCATGTACAACAAGATCTAATTCATCAGGTTTTTTAGCTCTAAATTCATGTACAACAGTTGCTCGATTCAAACGATTATTTTCTGACCATATAGCTTCTAAATCTAAATCATCTTTAGTATTTGTTAGATTATTGGAACTATTAACACGAACAGGTAAAGATGAACTAAATGTATCACATGGATTGTTTTTATTATTATTATTGTTATCATAATTAATAGTTGATTTATGAATAGATGTATCATCTTGAGATCGTGAATCGATTTGAGTAACATTTTGATAATCATGTTGTACACGCATTTGATTGTTATTCGGAAAAGTATGATTCTGATTTGAATAATTTAATTTTCTACTAGTTTGAGATGATGATCTATAAGTTGAATGAAGAGTTTTATCAGTGGAATTATCCATTTGGCCAGTAGTTGTTGGCCTAGGAACTAGTGGAAACAAGAAAAAAAGAGGGTTATTGATAGATTTTGGATTTCAAATGACTATAGCGATAATGTCTGTTTTGTTGAGTTTGAAATGAGATTAGCACATAAGCAATATCCTAAAGGTCATATAACAATTGATATGAACAGGTTTCATGTATGAATCTATAAAAGTAACCAAGATATTGAATTCCTCAGTAATCATCAACAATACAATAATAAATGAACAACTACATAACTGAGTAGTTAATTTTACGTTATTTGCTTCAGAGATGAACTGTTATCTGGGGAGAAATGTTGCGGAAATTGAAACTTTTGGTGGAAAATGCCTGTGGAATGAATAAACGTATCAGTCAAGAGCAGTAGGAATCAATGACAAGCAATAAGTTAAATGATACATTAGTTGTACTTGATTCTTCCAACTGTTTTTGAAAAAAATACCCTATTGAAGTTTTAAATCCATTTATGTCCGAAGCACAGTGTACAACTAGTGAATTGTCAAGTTCACAAAACAACCATATATTATTTATTGTACATAAAATTGTAGCAGTACTGGACGACCAAGAAACAGAATATTCAGTAAACGGATCCTTTTCGGTTATGCACAAATTCGAATTTAGACTCCAGCATAAACAAATTTGTGATCCACGTCCTATTTATTAGGAAAGGTCTCTGTGCATACATCAGGAAAATTACCAGACGGAACAATGAATACTAGCGTATCAGGCGGAATTCATGAAATGTTTAAAAAGCACTGTATGATCTTGAAAAAATCTAGAAGTACAGAATGAGAATGTGCTGATTATCAAAGGTGAACTCATTACTAGATGGTCTTACAATCTTTCGTGCAGGAGGAAAATTTTGGTAACTGAAGATTATATAACCGTTATTCGGAACCAATCATGACTATTCTTCAGTTGAAATGAATTTTAATTGTATCAAATCGCAGGCAAACATCACATAAAGGCATCGTTATAATTCTTCAAAAAGAGGTGTTGCAGCTGATCAAATATTGCGGTGGTTGAAACGTTCGGGGACATTTTTCCGACCATTATTTATACTTTTATTGTACAATCAATAAATAACTTCATGGTAAGATTTCTATTTTATACTTTTTCCAAGTTTTCAGTGGATTTATCGAATGTCATTATATGTTATACTACTCCTTAGCTATTTGTGATTAATTATATACTGTCTGCTTTGTCAGGGGTAACAGGCGTAAGTACATTTTTCTCAGCTCCCTACCACATACCGTTTGATTGTGTGTTAAGTGTGTAATGTGGTCCGGTATTTTTAGTGTACTACTGTATGGATTATGACTGGTAATCGAATTGGTTACGATAAAGAACTAGTTGACTTCCTATCATCATTTTCGGATCAGTTGCCGAGTTAGAAGGGGCTCAAGAACTAATCAGCATTAAAACCCTGGTTTTTCTTCAGTAGTCAGCGTGAAAAAAATCACCGGTAGATTACATTGCACTATGTAACATCGGAGACTTTAGATTTTTCTACTGATTGGGAAATTACAAACATATCATTTTTACTATTAAAAATCGATCAAATGATTAGTTTATTTGGTAATTATGGAAACAATTCGTTAGGATGCGTCTTAACACTAGATTACATTGTTGTAATATATTCACTCCTTTACATATAAAGTGACTGGCTACTATTTTAATTGATAAGTCACAAAGCATCAAGATTTTCCAGTATAAGATAGTTTAATCAATAAGAAAATAAGCTAAAACTATGATGATCGCAGAAACAGGAAAATAAAATTAAACAATGGCTTCACTTACAAGTAGATGACCAATTATTAATTCCATTTCCATGAAATCGATTAGTTGACTAAAAGAAATAAACAAAACACGCAACAAAAATGAGAGAAAATAAATATCAACTAGGTCGATAAAATGTAAACCGATGAGCAGAACTGTGAAGAGTATTATCCTTTCAAGTGACAAAAAGCAAGAATCAGTGAATCACTAAGACGATTCTGTGTCTTCTCAATTGGATGATATAATTGTTAAGGTTTAATTGGGTAAAGTTGACTTTTAACAAATCAGTGACCAGTGTGATGTTTGTAGAGCTCATCAGCGTTGGCTGGATTTTATCAATGAGGTTGCAATGCGACCACCAGTTTGAATGATTTGAAATTAAGTGTTAGGAATGAATAGTTTAATAGTAAAGTGCCAGATCGTAAAGCGTGACCTGAGTTTGAACCCCACATAAAGCATCAATTCTTTCAAAATCGAAAGTACGCGTTGGTAATAGGTACCAAATAACATGAAGTCAAGGTTTGAGATTCTCTGTCAATCACCTATTAGTTCGTCTGCTTTTTATGTAAAGAAAGGTTTAAAATTACATCATTCTGTTGACAGAACGCAGAATTTCTAAAGTCCTTCTCCGGCAGTAAGTAACTGCTGATTCCAGGATTATTTCCATCATAGACGTTTTGCATACTGCATGGAATTATATGGATGTAAACATGATCGTATTTGAAAAACAGCGTTTTTAGTAAAAGGAGAAACAGAAGGTGAATAGCACCTCTTATACATTTGAGTTTGTTTCCGTTTAATGCGGTCAAGCCCTTTTATTAACAGATGGTGTCATTCGAACAACAACAACTTGTCTATGCCCTTGTACTTTTATTATTGTCGCGTTTGTATGAGCATGTATGTTTGAGCATTGGCTACAACCTATATTTATTCTGCTAGCTTCAATGTTAGTCACCTAAATAATATGATGGCTCATTCATTCTTTGATATATATGTGTACATTTTGGCAGCATTGCGTTCTCAATGCTTTTAAACAAGGTCTTGAAAGGGTCACTTTTGCATGAATTAGGGGTAGATTATGTGGCACGAATTGACAATAAAATTTAGAAAATATATCTCTTGAGATCGTGGAGGAAGTTTGTATTATGGTGGAGTTTTGTTCTCTGATCAGAATGGTTTAGTTGTGGGGCTTTCACCTTTCTTCTTGGACAACATCTTCGGCAAAAACTTCGGGTAGATGTGAAGTATTTGAATTTCTGCACTTATGACACACAGCTTGTTCTGTTGGTTTCGATCTTGATTGGTTGTAACTGACCTTTAACCTGTCATTGTCTGCCTCTTTATTTTGACTGTATCCCCCTTTGGCTTGGTTCTTGATTCTATGATTTTTCTGAATGGTTGATAAATTGGATCAATGTTGATATGTCTGTTGATTGCCAACTGACCTGAGCGCCAAGCTTCTAAAAATTCTAAATTGTTCTTGACATCCTCTGTATCCAGTATTTCAACATTTTTCCACAGTTGTCCGCATGTCCATATAAGGCAATATATGTTATGGCGTTTGATTGCTAGTTGATGTTCACGCAGGCGAAGCTGAAGGGGATATCTACTTGGTCCAGTGTAGTGCTTTCTGCAGTTTGAATAGTTTATCTTGTAGATGATGCTCAGTTTATCTTCTTTTGTCATTTTGTCGTTTGGTTTACACAGGATTCATCATGGTGATTTTCTTGGTTTATGTGCTACACTTATTCCAAAACGGTTTCAGTAATCTTTTAGCAATTTTTGATGACTCCTGCATTTGATTTCGCTTATACTGATGATTTAGGTTGATATTTTTTGATGAAGTTGCGCGGATAGCCGTTCTTCTGAGAAATAGTCACCAGATAAAAGTCAAAAAGACGCAACCACGATCACGGTTAATAAGACAAACTGGTAATTTTTAATTCTATAAAAAGTATCAAATAACAGATAAAGAGAACTTCAGTGCCATCTACTGATAAAACGTTTTAACTACAAGATTTACATTATTGTAATAAGTGTTTACAACATGAAACGATAGTGGATATATCAAAAGATTAAAATTAGCCATCATTAATAAAATTGAAAAAATGATACACATGAACAAAAAGAATACCAATTATTTTCAATACAACAAAAGACAGTAAAAAATGGCAACTAAAAAGCATTAATTTCTCGAAATTTACCTCAATATCAACATCATCGTCAACATTGAAACTTCTCTGAAATGTATAAGTTGTTGTATTACGTCCTAACAGTTCAGATCCAGCATAAAAATGATCCCAATCACTTAATAATCTGGAATCATGATCGATAAATTGATTTATACCGGAACTACTAGCTGTGCTGTCAATACTTCCTTCGCCTAAAGGTCGAATAATTGATCGTCGACTAGGTGTAGATTGGTTGAATAAATCATTACTTTGATTATCATTATTTAATTGAACAGCTGTAGCAACAGCAACAGCTGCTGCTTCTGCAGCTAAACGAGCTTCAGCAATAAATTCATTTACATTAACTACAAAAAAGGCAAATAAATTATCAGAAGAAACAGGTATATATTTAGAAAAAGTGTGCATTTGAGATTCAATTGACAATTTAATCCAAACAAATACATTAAATTCATTGAAAAAAAGAAACAGAAAATATGAATTCAAGTAAATAGAACTGATTTATTAAAAAAAGTTTGATTGCATCAATTTGACTGCCAGTAACCTTTTTAAATAGAAATATTTATCAGTAATGCAATTCGATAAATAATGACCAGTGGATAATTGCTAATTAATTGCAAGTGTATATTTATTCAGAAAAAAATTGTTCAAACCCCAGACCTTATTTAATAAACAATTGTACAATCAAAACAACAATGTTTGGATAGATTTTCAAAAGAAAATTCACTACTTAGAAAAATTTAATAAACATTATTCTCGTTTCTTGAAAACATAATTCATAATATACAAACAAATGTAGTTGATTTTTTTTTTCAGTAACAATAGAAATGTACATAAAAACATTTGGCTTGCAAACGAAAAATTGACCACTAACTAATTGTGACTATATTGGTTTTTTAAATTTTACTTAATGTATTGATTTCAATTAGTATGTTTCACTGTAGTAAATCTAATTTATTTATTATTTTTAATTTAATAATATGTCTACAACACAGTCTACTAAATTCTGGCTTGTAGATAAATATCATTTCATGATATCATTTCTGTCAATAATCCAATTGAATGCAGTTAATTATTCAAAGATAATAAGTGGAAGCCTTTTATGTGTAATGAATTATCCAAAACTATGATAAAAGTTTATACAAATATAACTTCTCCTAAAATGAATCGAATTTCTTTCATGGAAATATATTCTTGTATGTTTTTGATTTTGATACTAAATACATAATGAAAAATCCTTACTGTATCACACTTTAATCAGTTAAATTTATCAATATAATATGTATGATTTATCTGATTACATAGGATACAGTTTGTTTATATACATGTATATATATATATATATATATATATATATATATATATTTATGCATAATATACGAATTCATTTTAACAGCCTACTATGAATCGATTTATGTTTTATTACATTAGGAGATGAATTGTAGATAAGCTAATGAGGCTAGCAAAACTGTATCTACTACTACTACTACTACTACTACTGCAATCATTTACTTAATATATACTGCAGAGAAAAGAAAAAGATTTTAATAAAACGAATGATATTGGTTATGGATATATGCGATAAAACAATAAAATAATGTGAATGATACAAAAGATAGATCTTTTAACATTATACATGTGTATTTGTATTTGCTTTACATTCATTCATTCATTCAAACCAAGGCTTAGAATCCACAACATTTTTGTTCATAAAAATGAAATAAGGCATAATTCTTCACATTTACAAAAGCTAATAAATCACTTTCGTTGAAAAAAAATCAAAATAATACTAAATTCTAGTAATTCATGAATTATCGATAATCCAAATGTTTCAACACTATTTCTTATTTAGTAATTCAACAATGATCAGTATGAATATGAGATAACAATCGAAATTTTAGCAAATTCTTAGAAATGTTTTCATTATTTCTGTTTGGAAATTTAAATCAACTTACTGGATGAATTGCGTAATAATGCTAGGCAAGCTTCAATTTTTACTTGTTCAATCTGTAAGAAAAAAAGCAAACATGAAAAAGTAAAAACAGCTTTTCAATCGGTGTTTAAACTAGTAAAAACCACAGTACTAAGAAACTGTAAATACGAAAAAATCGACTACATTGTTATATATATATAAATGCACGTAAATAAAATTCCCACTATAATCATTGTATTAACTAATGCTAAATATAAATTTGAAAAAATTTCTGAAAAGCAACCAATCACATTGTATCAACACATAACAAAAAAAAAGTAGATGCATAAGGATAAGAAAAACTGAAAAGGTTGTTTTTTTTTTATTTTAGTCTATAATAATGACAATTTTCCGAAAGCAGTAAGTAATCATGAATTCTATTCAATACACGTATTATGTGTATGTTTTAACAAGAAGGAAATATCTGTATTGCCGAAATGTATGGTTGTTTTATTATGAGTGTCTATTTGTGGATGTCTCGATTCTGACGACACTGTTAGGTAACATGTTAGCAATGTCCTTTCTATCTCTAGTACAAGCGAATAACTGATTATTAATTGTGTGGTAAAAAAAATCTTGCTAAAATTTATTTAGCAGTGGAAAATGATGTGTTTTTTTATTGAAAAAGAATGGCACAAGTTTGGTTTTGATTTAGATTTGTTTTGGCGGTTTTTAAAAAAATGTAAAACAGTATTTTCCAATAAACAAACGACATTTTAAATTGAATAGCATTTCATTGCGTTTCTTTGAAATAGTTGCTACCCAAAAGTTGCGAAAATAAAATACACACTTAGCTGGAAACAGCTGTCAAACTATTATCATCATCATCGTAATTTCGATATTTCAGCAGTTTGTTTTTGATACAGTTTTACTTAGTTATTTGTTATTATATTCCCTTGGAAAGTTCTGTCATGGTTTTAAACAAAACTTGAAAAAACTTTAAATCCACACTTATTTAAAATCTACATTAATAAATATTTAATTTGAAATTTTTTATGAATGAAACATATTTGCTTAAAACGCATGCCTAGTACGGTAGTTTCTTACAAATAAACTAATAAAAATACAAACTCAAACTCCACCTACAAATCAACTAGTAGCATTAGAATTTGCAAAAATAGAACGAATATTGAAGCGAACAATTGTTTTCAATAATTTTGCGATCAGCATCAACAGTTACAAATGTATAATCAATAAGTTAGTTTACAACGAGTATTAAGTAACTACGGCAGATCTAATAGATGAAGTATTGAAACTTCATCAGTTTAGGGTGGTTCGGATAAATTTTACGTATGCACAACCACTGACTGTCTAGTGGAGCTTTGTTTGGTGACGTAGGAGTAGATTATAAGAAAGTTAGGCGCGGCTAAACCAAAACATGGCACAAATCCATGAAGTCACTGACAAATAGACCGAGCTGTGTTGGTAGATGTAGACTATCTGGTTGCGATCCGAGAGATGATAATAACCGATGGTTAGAGACCTTGAACAACATGGCTCAAAATCGTTTGCAATGGCGCCGGTGCATTTATTCTTTGTGTCCTATCAAATCCTAATTTTCTGAATTCCTCAATAATTCTATCTCTTTCTGAATTTATTTCACTGAACTATACTTCTTGAATAATATCTTCTAACCCTAATCTTTTTCATTACCGCTAATATTTGTGATATTTCTACAACTGTGGGATTGGAACTAAAAATTTCGTCTGTGTACTAATTTAGTATGACAACTTGAAGTGATATACGTAGATACGTAGTTCTACATTGTAACTGGCTCACTGACGTTAGTTTACAAAGGCTAACATAAGAAATGCTAGCACAATGAAAAATGTTAAATGTAAAAATTGATAGAGGTTATCATTTGTTACAACATAAATACTTGAAAAAATTGCGCTATTCGTAAATTAAGAAAGTTATTTAGAAAAAGTTCGAATAATTTTTTGTAAGGTAATACGTATAACTATAATCAATGAAAAAATCATTCAAGTGAATAAAATCCATAATAGGATAAATTTACCTGGTTAATTAAGATACTTATAATAATATGAATAATCGTAATAATAATAACGACGCGTCAATGTAATATACGGTAAGAGAAGTGTTGGCAAAGTAATCATAAATAAAGAATCTATGTGAATTCAATAAGATGCATTTGGAAATTAAAGACCAATCAGGGCGGATATAAACATTATAATAATAAAATTATCTTTTGAATTATAATTTATTGACATCTCTGGTAAAATCATGAAAAAGTACATTTTGATGATTGTATTCCTAAACGCCCCAATTTTTGTATGATAAGTTTTATAACATGTTACTTTAGTTGCTTAGATAGAGGCAAATGAAAAAAAAATACCTTTGGCCAAGGTTTTATGTCACTCAGCACTCTTTAGTCATTTAGATCTGTAATCTTGAATAAATTGATGATTGCCATGAGATTCCATCGCATATTAGTCAGTCTTACAGTCAGAAACATTATCGTTGCGACACGGTTAGGACTAAATACTAGATTAGGATATGACAAAGAGCTACTAAATAGTAATTTAATTAGTTCAGTTATTCAAATATCCATAATTTTAAAACAATAATATTATTCTGAATTATTTCTTTCATGAATACAGTATCTATTTTTAGGCCTTTTTCAAATAGCATAACACCCCATATATCCTTTAATTTAATATTATAGAATAACATTTTACTATTTCTTTCTATTTTTAATTTTTATGATAGTTTAGTCCGAAATGAAATTTTTTGTCTTAACTATTGACAAAATGCTTGTTTTTTTTTCTCAATTTTTATGAAATATATTTTAATGAGTTAAATTTAAGGCATAAATAATCTATTTTTATTAATAAATATCTATTTTGATGACATATCGTTGAAAATGTATTTTGGTCTATAGGGAATTTATTTAATCCCTTTTTATTATAGAATTTAAAAAAAATTAACTAATCGCTTACTGGTAATTCCTTTCAACATTTTACCGACAATTTGTATTGCCTTGATATATATATACGTCAAAGAAAGTTTTCAGAAACCCTTAAGTTAACTTTTTTACTCTATCGTAAGACGAATTTATGCATATATAGATATCATAATATTCTAAGAATAAATAGCTAAAAAGTAGTTTTTTAACCACAGGTCGTAATTTATCTAGCTGTTAGATAACTGTGTATTTATTGTTGAAAGATAATAAAATACGTTGGACAATTGATCACATTGAATACCGTATTTAAGAGCACAGTACTGAAGTTTATAAAAGTAGTATGAAAACCTTTTAGCAGAAAAATTTATAACTTGACTAGATTGGGAGCATGATCGTGAGTATGCAGTCTACTTTCGGTCTCTATTAGGTGAAAATGAGCTTAAGCTCGCAACCTATCACTCAAAGCATTAATGCTTTAATTACTAACCCATCGACCCACTACAGATTGATAGGATGAGGGATTTTCGAATAGTGTCTAATCTGAAGATAGTTTATACCGTGGAGTCACTTGCTTGAAAATGCACTGAAAATAAGAGAGATAAAGAGCGGTTTCTTTTTAATACTAAACTACTCAAAAGTGATCATAAAGAGACTCAGACAAGGAACGAAATGAGGACTTTTATGGTTCTGCGGAAATCGCGTTCTATTGAGCTGTTATTCAGTGCGCCCTAGTTTTCAACGGCTACCTAGATAATATTACTTCAACATGTAAGTTATGTACATATTACAGATGTGTTGGATAATTCCATAAGTGCAGTAATCAGTGCAATCTGGTTTCTAAGTCTTTATTATGGACTGATGCTAGCTGGACAACAATCAAGATCCAGGAAGCACTTGAAAGCTGTTTCGTTTCACTATAGGACATCTCAGCAGTACACATATGAGACCACATCAAGGATTAAACCCAGTGGTTTTTGATTAAGTAATGAGGAATTAACTTGAAAACAACCAAATAGTCACATATTTATAACTTCAAATCATTTGAAAGGTTACGAAAGTATTATACAATGCTACTGGTGGGTAAATACCGTATTCCTGACACATTCATTGGTCATAGATTTTCACTCGGAGATGAGCATGACTGGGGGGATCTAAACTAGTATGAAACGACTACTCAGTGCTTCCTAGCTTTCAACAGTTATCTAACTAAGGTCAGTTCGTGATGTAAACTAAGATTCTGAAAATTCCACAAATCCCTATATATTGATGACACTCTAGTTTTATTGAATATCCTTTTAAGGCATACAGGCGATTAATTAACAGTATCAATTAAAGATATATTTGAGATATAATGAAAATATTTATGCCAGGAAAACAAGTAAAAGAAAATAAAGTCAAATTTATACCTTCTCACGACGTATAGCAAATTGTAATTCTTCAACTTTATTCTCAACATATTCTTGATTGAACGCTAATATTTCTTCATTGTTATTTTCCATTTCCTATAAAAGATAATCATACGTAATTAAAACTCTCAACCATTACAAAATAAAGAGAGATTGGAGACTGCATATGCCAAGTAAAGTACAAACCAAACATCTTTAAACCAGAGAGATTAGGTACAATACATCCTCTCTGGAGTCATAATCTGATACAGCTGCCCAGTAAATTCTTCTGGATATGCTCTACTTTCTGTGTTCAGTTAGAATAGATTATCTCTTGAAAAATAAGACAGCTAGATAAAACATCCACTGCTGGAGCCGGATCGATGGATATAGAGGCTTTGCTCACAATATTTGTTACTTTGACTGAAGACCAGTAGTGTAATAAGGTTAAAATAACCTGAAAAAACCAACAAATTATGAACCTACTTTCATACTGGCGTACCAAGAAAAAATATTCCCTGACATTATGTCATTTTCTTTCGGCATAACGATTAGGTCAATACCTCAAAGGACTTTAGAATCTCGCGCCATCGATGTGTGCTGCGTCTCAGAAACGCACATACAGGATTCTACTAAAATCATTGATTTGATTTCACCTTGTCGAAATAAAGAAGCAACTCGATTTACTTTTCATGTATCTGGAAGCCCTGATGCTGCTTTCCGTGGCTTCGCTGGCGCAGGTCTAGTATTAAGTCATAGGGCAGAACTAGCTCTCCTTGACTGGTTCCATGTAGATGGTGTCGCAGCTCAAAGAACAGATAATGGCGACCGTTTACAGTAACTATGTTCAAATAAACACCCATTCCTAGCAAATACTAACTTTAGGCATAAGGAAAAGCACCTCTTGACAAGGCGACTCCCAATGTCGTCACAACACTGGACCCGACTAGATCACATTGCCATCAACCACCGATGGAGAGGTTCGACAGAGGACTGTCGCTCGTTCCGGAGCACATGTTTAGATTCAGATCATGCCCTAGTGCGGGCGCGTATTTGTTTGCGTTTATCTGGTTTTCGATCTGGACGTGGATGTACAGACCATATATTCACACCAAGTCAGGTCCTAGAACAAGGACACACGTTTAGACGTCCCACAGTAATAGTATTGCTCGATTTTAAAACGGCATTCGACTAAATTGATCTTGAGCTTCTGTGGCAGTGTCTGTTATTGAAAGGTGTACCAAATAAGTACATTAACCTTATTCAACCTCTCTACTCGAACAGTACTGGTAAAGTGAGTGCTTATGTCGAACTGTCATTAGAATTGATTACTTCGAATTATGTACGTCACAGCTGTCCACTGCCACCATTTTTGTTTAACTTTGTCGTAGACATGCTTTAAAAGTTAACATTATCCTCGTCAGATTTTTCAGGGGTAGACCTTCTACCAGGAGGATCGCTTATTGACCTAGGACATGCCGACGACATAGTTCTTTTCTGTGTAGACTCTAAGCAAAAATGCAACCATGTTCAGGATGCGATTCTCCTCCTCGAAATGCGAAATTTTGCTTTAGGATTGATCTGCGTCAGAACCTGAACTATTGATAGGATGTGAAGTAGTCGATCGTTTAGACCGCTTCACTTATCTCAGGAGTTTCATCAGTGGTGATGGTGTGACGAAATCTCGACGCAGATACAGAAAGCTCGATTGGCTTTTGCCAACCTTCGTCATTTATGGCGTAGGCGAGATATCCGTCTGCTAACCAAAAGTCGAGTGTACTGTGCAGCAGTTCGCACCGTTCTCGTAGATGGATGCGAAATATGGCCAGTAACAGATGAGGATATTCGTATACAACTAGTATTTGATCATAGGTGTCTCTGAAGCATTGCTCGTGGATCCTGAGACAACCGAGTAGGCGATGCTGCCAGTAGGAAACGAGTACTAGGTAGAGTTTGTGTTGTAGGAGTAGGTTGTTAGAAAGCTAGGGGCGGCCAAACCGAAACATTCCACAAATCCATAAAGTCGCTGACAAGTGGACTGAATCATGTTGGCAGATTCAGGCTACCTGGTTGGGTTCGACGAGACGAAAGTCACCGATGGTTAGAGACCTTGCGATGGCGCAGGCGCATCCACTCTTTGTTTTCTCTGAAATCCTAATCTTCTGGATTCGTCAACACCTCTACCTTTGTCTTTCTAAATTTATCTCACTGAATAATACTTCTTGCATAATATCATCTAACCCTAATCTTTCCGATTGCTGCTAATACTTTTACTATCTCTACCACTATGGGATTTGAAGTGACAATTGCGTCTCTGTGCCTATTGTGGTATGGCAACCCTAACTGATGTACTTACGTACGACGTTCTACGTTGTAACTGACTGACTGACCGAAATAAAAACCATCTGATTTGATTTGAGCCTGCAAATGGCATTGTAGTACTCACATAAATTGATAAGCATCCTTATAACAAATTTATTTATCATTAATGCTAATTTTTTCACTAGCTTAATCTCGATCATTCACTTTTATGACTTTTTTAAATCTTGTTTTGAAGCTTAATTGAACTTTTATGGTGTTACCAACTTTGAAACAAATACAGATGACCAATTTCATTTATTTATAGTTTGAAGAAAGTCAACTTTTGTAGGTAAACGTGATATAAACTAATTAATGATTGGATAAAAATTTCCCGTTATTTAAATAGAAAAGCTATCGGATTGCAAATCATTAACTTATACCTAGAAAATTCTAGCTACTTGGTAAATAAAAGTAAACATAACTTTTAAAAGTGAAATCATAGCATCTATATTAACTTTGACTAATTTCGTAAACAATCTATTTGATTAAATCATTCTCTCAGATTAATTCTTGAAGGTTTTAATTAATTTCACTGAAACTATTAACAACAAGTAGATAGATGGAATTTACTTAATGAACATTATACACAAGAGACTATAGACATTTATATCAAGAAATAGTTTGTTTAATCTAATATAAAATAGTTTGCAGTTAATCGAGTATGATCAAAACTAAATTGAAAACAAAACAAATGAACATTAAGTTGTGAAAAATAAAACCAGAAAAAAAAATGGAAGAGGTTGATTTTTTATACTGAATTATCCGTTTCACTAACGCAAATTAAACCCTAAAAATATTTCTGCTGACTGATTTTCCTTAAATGTTTTTCTAACGTTTCACAAGTTCGCAGGTACATCCAGCTAACAAGTTGAAATCAGAATCACTGCTAGCTACAATTCATTTACTGAAATGTAACTTCCCGATTTTCTAGTCAGTAGATTTCCAACTTGTACGATGCAATAAAATGTAAGTACTTAAAAATACCAATAAAAATGCATAGATGCCATAAGCTTTGTAAATTAAGTCTAAAACCAAACGAGGTATTTATAGACTTATGGAAAATATAGAGATCTGTTTGAATTGCAGTTAAATAATCAAGGAATATCAAGTGAATGCCTGATCAAACGGTTAACAATTCCATATCATATGAAGAAAGCCAAAATCAAAACTTATACTAACACATTAAATGTGGTTAAGATAAATCAACTCACTGAATTTGTTTGTTGTTGTGTCGGATGATTAGATTCAGTCGTTACACTAGACAATGAAGTAACATAACCAGCCTGTAACATTTTCATTTCATTTTCATATGATTTAATACATCTCTCGCGTATAACTAATCGTCGTGAAAGTTTACGTGCAATTTGTTCTAAATTACTTTCATTTGTAGCTGAGCACAACATCACTGTCTAAATTTAAATAACAAAAAAAGGGGGACAATAGGTTGATAAAGTACTGTTGCCTATACACACAACACATTAAGTTAAAATATAGGTAGATGGAATGGTGAATTTATTTGCAGTACACGTTATTGAATAATCGTACACAAATAAACTTAGTCATTGCCGTCTTTTCTTAGTTATATCAACGTTTTCAGTTTACAGTTAGCAAATATAAACAATAGAACTTCATCTCATTGATATATTTCATTGTTTCACCTTGTTCTCGAGCAATTTGAGTAATAAACTAGTCACTTGACAAAGTAATTCATAGTTCATTTTATTAATTAAACAATTTATGAAATAAAATAAACATTTTTTCGATATCTTCATTTGCAACTGTATATTGTGAATGCATTAACAATCTATTACCGTTTTTTTTAAATTGTACCATAAAGTTATATAGTCGAACAATGAGCCTAAATTTTCTAGTGAGTTTGTAATTAAACTATTACTTTTTATTGAAGGTTAATAGTGTGTTGCAATTGCGCAATATTATACAGAACCAAATAACCGTACATTATTTCCTAGTCTTTGAATAACTTTACCAATTAATATCAACTCGTGATTAATAGTAGCCTAATTTCTTTTATTTTTAGCATATAAATACTTTCAGAACTAACGCTTCTCCTACCAGAAGAATTAGTTATTGAATTAGAATCGTCAGAAGATATTCCTAGATGGTGAAGATGAATGTGAATTTCTAAGTTATTACATGCTTATTTACTGGGATTCATAGCTCACCATTCATGTGATGACGAATGGCACTACACAGCGCTGATAACAAAGTAGGTGGAACTGGTTTCGAACTTGCGATCCACTAGTTAAAAACTGAAAAAGTGCTGAGTCTTCTGGTGACCTTCAGCACCAACAAAAGAACAGTTGTGATGCATAGATCTCCCTTTCAATGTAAAATATTGTTTTGAGACTGGTTTGCGTCAACACCTAAATTGATGATAAGGAGTTAATTAGTTAAGGGAATCGAGGCGCGAATAAACTTAAAATGTGATATCAGTGTGTCTGAAATATGTTGATAAGAGTAAACTAGCTGGTTAGAGGCCGTAGTATTATCTAAATGGATTGCTGGAGACGTTTGGCGACATTCATTTCGTGAATCATTTCTTCTGGAAAGATGTTCTCTATTAGAAACTTTCCTTGCTACATATAATACTATTATCTTACTTACTATTTTGGTACTTAGCTTGATAACTTTATCTTTATTCCTTATGTATTTTCCCAAATTAAACCAATAAAAATATGCGCAACATTCTACGTTGCTTATAACTAATTGACTAATGATCTAGTCATAAAAACAAAATGAATTAATTTAATTTCCGTTTCATTTATTATGAAAAGCTGCATGATTCATTCAGAAAGTGTAAATGAGACTGTATCATATCTAAATCGAAATTTGAGTACGACTATAGGACATTTGATATAATTTACCTATTAAAAACGACTTCATACCATAAATGATGAATTGTACATTTTGTCCATGACATAGATAATGTCATAACTTTATCACTTACAAATATTATATATATATATATATATATATATATATATATATATATATATATATATATCGAATGGTGTTTCTAAATAATAGACTATTGAGTGTTCACCAGAAAAGAAAGAAAATACAGATAATTTAATTGCAAATAAAATTACTTGGAAATATTTCATTATTAACAATGTTCATAAGAGAAGTGAAGTCGTTAGATCAACCTAGATAATCTTATCGAAAAAAAATACAATCCACTTCACTCGAATCACTAATAATGATGAGAAAGAAGAGGAAAAACCAATTAGTCGAATGTATAAATGTCAGGATTGAAATTAATATTACTTTTCGAGTGAATAAAAACATTGGATTTATATATATGTATTGACGTTCATACGGTTAATTTTAGTTCTCAATCGATACATGTTCTGCACAGTACTGATCATAGATTTTATTCACTTCGAAAGTATTGGACATGTAACGAATCACCCTTTAAAAAATACTACCAGCATTGAAATTTCAGCAGTACTGAGTCGTGAAAACTGTAAAAATGACCTACAGAAAAATTTACTGAAAACGAACAACTTTAAAACCACTAATCATATAAACAGTTGATTGAATAATATTTCACTGTAAAAAAATGAACAAAGAAATCACCATTGGTTTGAATTTACCTCGTCTCCTTTAATTGGTTCAAATTGATATTGAACAGGTTTATCAAAAAGTGGTGATGATTTTAGAAACTCTTCCCAGGCGTTTGTGCGATTGATCTGTGCAAGAATAATTATTGTTTATTTTGATATTTATGAAAATGAAAAATAAATTACACAGTAAAATAAACTAATTTGTCAGAATTTTTTAAACAGTTAATTTATAATAATAATAATAATGATAATTATACGAATATTTAAATACCGGTCGCACAATCAAAATATTTTCGACAGACATATCAAGGGTATGACATGTTTGGATTCCGGTTTAAATAAACACTGTCAAATGATTAATCCCTATAACATTAATTTTATTTCAATAATAAAGACCAATTACTGATATTAGTGTTATGAAATAATCCACTGACGTAGTTAATAAAACGCTTAGTTTTCAAAAAAAGGAGTTACAAGTTTGACTTCCTATCAGTCTGCTTCAGTATGTGTAACTAGGAAGATTAGACTTTACGTAAACAGCATAGTAAAAAGTCGAGTACAAAAATATGTACTTGGTAAATCGATAACATTGAACCATCCAATATTATGATTCGCGCGTTGGTAAAATATGAATTTCACCATTAATTTTAAAATTCTTTCAACAATAAAATCGTTATTAGTATAGAGTTGTGGAGATGGTTCAGTTTCACTGAAAGCACAAATTGATCAATGTTAAACCACCATTGAAAAGCTGGAAGCACTGGACAGCCGTTTTGTCTAAGGATTATTAATGGAATAAGTCAGTCAGTTAAAACATGGAAATCCGTACGTACGTACATCAGGTCAGGTTGTCATACGACATTTGCACATAGACGCAGTTCTCAATTCAAATCGCATAGCAGTAGAGGTAGCAGAAGTAATAACAGTAATGGAGAAGATTATTGAACGAATATATCATTCGAGAAGTATACCCCCGAAGAATTAATTAAAAAAGAGACAAAATAGTCATGAGGAATTCGGAAATTTTGAATTTGAGAGAACATAAAGAGTGGATGTACCTGCACCATTGCAAACGATTTTGATTCATTTCGTCCAAGATCTCTAACTATCGGTGACTTTTTTTCTCGCGGACCCTAACCAGGTAGCTTACATTTACCAACACAGCTCAATGCACCTGTCAGTGGATTTCGGCCATGTTTTGACTTGGCCACCCCATAATCTCTTACAACTTACTGCTACACAACAAAATATAGCTCGTCGCGACAGTCGGTAGTTAGGCATTCGTAACACATGTCCTAACCGCCTCAACTGATGAAGTTTCAAAATTTCATCTATTGATCTGTCATCCCTACCTAGTACTCGTTTCCTAACAACAGCATTGCTTGCTAGTAAAAGCACACGAGACCGAATCGGTCACAATCAAACCTATTGCTTAGAATAATTAATGTCTTCAAAGTTATGTAATAAGACCAAATGTCAAAATAGTAGATAAAATGCAGTCGACAAACGAAACAACGATTCCTAAAGCAGTTTTAGTTGCATATTACATGGACTAAAATCACCAATATTGTATTACACGCTAATTTTAAAAGACCAAAATAAACTTAACTAAATAGTTGCATATTATTAAATCTAAAAGTAATTAAAATATCGAATAATTAACAGCTGATTATTTAGGAAAAACCTCTTTATAATTGATGTCTGTAAATTAGATGCGAACTGAACATCAAATAGTACTAAGCAACCCATTCTATAACATGCTTTGTAACGGTTTGAATTTGTGATTGACTTTCAAACCAATATTCCTGTTAGGAGTTGAAGATCAATTCGTCTACTTCTACTAAATATGTTTTACATTATCTAATTCATTGTAAAATATAGTCTATTCCCCCAGTTTAAATTTGATATACCCATCACATGGGACTGAGTAACGTAAGAAGTATTAACAGTTTTATTTTAAGTATAAAATTGAAGCACAGATTGAGCTGATAGTAAGTTACAAGTTCAAAACGGGTTGCAGGAAGGATTTGTTTGTGACCAATTCGGTCTCGTGTGTTGTTACGGGTATGAGGTAGGATGACACTTCCCGGCTGCCCACACCGTGGATGTTTCTTGAAGTATCTGAAAAGAAAGGTAGATTAGTGTTGGTCTTAACGACCTGGAAGCGTGACCGCAGAGTCGAACGTAAAACTGCTTGAGGCCGGTCACGCATGACCTTTTTATGAGTTTTTAAAAGGACTTACCGCCGGAGATGGAAATCCGTGAGGTAGGGTAAGGTGTGACATTTTTAGGGTCGACCTTTTCTAACCTTTCCTTCCTTCCTTGTGAGAAGGCAGCATCGCTTCAAATGCTGGTTATCCAAGGGAAACACCTTACAGCTGTAACACCCCTTTACAATCAGCAGTACGACTTCGCCCTCAGATCTTGAGTAACTGCTTTTAGTCTTATCGTTCTCCAATCGACCTGCCTGGCAAGGTAGAACCTACAGGAACAGCCAATATAACTCGGCTGCGTCATCACGATAGGCAAGCCCGACCACCACGTCAAGGTAGTAGCTACGGTCGGGGCAAGTTCAAAACACGTCTTATTTAGATGGTTTTGGGCAACACGGTAATAATACTAGCCTTTGTGAATTCGTTAAGACTTGAAGTTAATTTATTTAAGTCAAACATAAATGAGTTATTGCTCTCAAGTTATTGATATGCATTGAATCGAACTACTTAAATCCATCCTACGCTCAACGATGATACGGTATTTATCTGAATTTCAAGAGCAATATAGGATTTCTCTGTATATGAGACGTGTCCCAAAGATGAATGTTGGTCGATGAGTATTAAACGACCCACTTTATTATTTATTTATCAAATATATTTAGCAAGACAGTGTTAAATGCTTAAGAGAAATATTAATACGTCTTGATCGATGATAAAGTATGATTTCTTTTTTGAAATATTCTTATGAATATTTTTAGCAAAAGAATAATAAACTAATTTGATAAACTCTTACTTGTGAGGCTTCTTTGAAAAGACTATCAAATCGTTTTTGTGTAGTTGTACAGAATTCAATTTCATTTTCACAAAGAGTTGTAAATACTTCACTTAATTTTTCATATAATTCTCCATCTAAAGTCTACGATAACAAGTGAAAACAGCATAATGAACATTAGTAAAACAATACATTTAAATTTTAATCTTACAGTATTTGACATTGATACATGTGTATTGATAGAGAAGAATTTAATTATTAAATTTTTAAATAATCCAACATAATGTATCATAATAGACAAAATCACATTGACAAATAATCTCCTAATGATAATACTTATAGTGACTATTGGAATAATTTAACTTAATAACATGGTTATGGACAAGATTCTTCAGCTACATAATTGACAATGACAATAAAGATAGTAAATAAATCTTGAATATATTTTTACCGTACAAAAATATTAAATAGTTTAAAATGAAATTCTTTGAAACGTGTATGATGAGATACAAGTAACTAATAAATTTCAATCATCATACAACATCATTTATAGAGTTACATATTCCTATTCACTTAATTAGTGTTATAAATAATTATGTAAATTTTTTATCGAATACAGAATTATTTTATTCACTGACCAAAGTAACTAACTTCACAGTGACAATTATGCTTCAACCGAGTAGAGAAACATAACTACTATCAAAACAAATTTGTTTTACTGAATTCCTATTAGTAATATACGTAAAAAAAATTGATCATATAAAACTTTTAAGTATACATGTTCATATTTCAATTAAACCAGTGAATATTTTCAATGATTTCTTCCATTACTCTTATTCTCATTTTTACATTTTTTTTTCATATAAATTTCATGAACAGCAAATATTCTCTTTTCTATCACTCGAAAATGAAATGTATCTAACACTTCAAAACTAGTAGTTTTATTTGGATTCATTTTTGAAGAAATACTATGATATAATAAAATTTCCAATTTCCTAGACTCTAAATTTACAAGTAGTCACATTTTTATGTTAGGTCATTCATGTTTCCATGGTTTCGTTTGTATTTTCTATCTTATCAGAACTTCTATCGAAGTTTGAACGATCGGTCGCATAGAAATTAGTCTCAAAATTCATAGATAATATTAGTTAGTAATTGTATTTCAGGGAATGGGATCGAATTGTTTAAATATTTCACATGATAGACTAATTTTAACTAATTTACCCTATTTGGTTAACACTTATTCTCTTGATGTGACATTAATTCTACTAAACTTTATTTATGATCTAACGTCGATGTTTTTTAATTTCGGTGGTTGATTGTCTAGCATATATTAATCCATGGTGAAAATTATACCCGGATTAGATTGTTCGGTAAAAATCGGCAAATAATAAACTGTTCATGTCGATTGATGGAAGTAGATAAATTCATCGACTGAGTTAAGTAAAACAGGTATGTATTGAAATGAAGCTAAAGGTGACCAAACAAACAAACAGAATCAATCCATTAGTGTGGGCTATATCGGTGGATGAAAACTTCCCGATTGGAGCTCATGTGATAACCGTATTCTGTAGTTCACTGAATTTGGTGACACAAACTTAAAGTAATCTCAGTTGCATTTTTTCTATATTTTCCTGTAAATATTGTGTTCATTGTCATTGGGTACATTTCATCCTGCCATTTTAATTACTATTTTCGAAGATTTTGTTTTGGGTTTATCCACGCACTATATTTGATGCTGTTTTCTACATTATCTTTTCAGCTCGTCAACTTTCTATCTCGCCATGTTAGTGTATGTTTTAAGTCAATTAAAACTGGCTGATAAACGGTGCTATTTAATTAAAAGTTTATATTATCAAGAAGTTCACCTTTGCTAGAACAGGTAAATCTTCACCAAAGTAATGCTTCAAATGCGCATTAATCGCGGTCAACTGAAAGAGATATTCATTTCTAGCAGTGGTTGATCTGGAATCAAATGCTTGACGTTTACCTAGGAGCTGTAAGGATAAAACAATATATATTAAGATATCCAGAAATCGATTTAAAATCAACATATGATGTGCTTTGTTTTTCGCCAAACAAAACAATACTTTAAAATTCTGTACATATGAATGAAAAACCCTAACCACATACATAGGTCAGTTATGAACAGATATTAATAATTTGAGCTTTCGGTATGACAGATATTAAAATACAAGTTCGTTAGAAACTGTCTTTGAATGAAAATGATATTAAGGAAGATCGTCTGTGTAACTTTTTTGATAGTAGATGGTTTCTCAACGTGACTTGACATTATAAAAAATCTTTAACAAACTAAGGGACACTGAGTAGCTATTTCATTTTTGTTAGAAGTAATTAAGTTAATCTTGAATTTTCTTAAATAAGATATTCGGAGTTTTTAAACAGATTAAGATACATGATATTTTTATGAATGATTCTTAACTGATGATTATTCATTATATTAGACACAATGAATACTTGTAGCGGGTCTTTTCAAAGGTGATGCCATCTTGTAGACTGTAGATTCGTTTATATACATAACTATTTGCCAAAAAATTTCAACTACTGTTCTGTATCGCTTTGATTCAATCAGTTTTTAATTCGGAACAATGAAAATATCATCAAACTTGTTTCTTACCTTATCATAATTCCTGTGTAGCTGCGCCATGGAATGGAATATATCGGTGGATCGGCGTTGAATTCTTTTGATAAAAGTTCAAAGTAGAATAACTAGTATTAAGTAATTATTGAATAAACCATTTCAAGAACAAGAAATCTTGGGTAAATCAAACGTATTAATTAAACATCAGAAAAAATCCAAAAACTCCTTTGTGTTGAACTTGACCTTAAATTGATATCTTGCAATTATTCTTAACTCTGATCTGCCTCTGTTTTAAATGGTAAACTTATTTCATCACTATTAATAAAATACTTCATTATTATTGATAGTTAAAAATATATTTAGTTGCAAAAATTACTATTACATCAGTCAGAAGAAAGTACCCCAAGAATTTCTGTACAACATATCGTTTACAAAAATTTTTTTTTCCAGTGCTTTGGAGTACTAACCCCTACTGATGAAAATTTTATAGTGTCATTGGAAATCTCTAAAAAGTATGTAATTGCTTAACTTTATTTGTAAACGTGTGCTCATTTTTTTTAAGGAACAAACATTCTTTTGCGAATTAGAACGTAATCAAGAACATGTTATCGGTGTCTGCTACAACAACGACAGAGCTAGTACTTTGTATGTTATGAGCGTTCACGTTTCGGAGAAAAGTTGGACATTGAAAGGCTATTTACCTTTCCAGTCACTTAACAGAAAATAATAATAAACAGCTACAACTTTCCGTATTTTATTAAGTGAAAAGTGACCAAGTATTTTTCAAGATGGGATGATAAAAATTTAAACACGATACAAAAATAACTGGGAGTTAACAGTTACTCATTATGTCTGATTCATAAGTGAAAAATCGAAATCTAATCAAACTCAGTTCTTACTTTTCTTTGGCAGTTAATGTTTTTAAACGGGTATCTTGTGCTTGTTTTTCTTCTTCTGCATATACTTTGTGAGATTTCACCATTTCCTGAACACATGCAGCTAAATCTCCCTGAAAAACAAAACCAAATCAATATAAAACGAATTATAAATTAAAATTAAATGAACACAAATGAATACTAATTGTGTATAACGTTTTGACTGCCTAGTTAATACAGTCTGATGCTAACCACTAGCCACCTCCTATGCTTATAATGCTTGTAACCTGATAGTAATGTCGAGGCAATCCGCACAGGATGCACATATGCCAAAGTGACTGATATATCGTACTCCAAAACATCAGTGTACAGATTCAAACAATCAACACAAATGTACTGATCTTCCCCCTATCGAAAAAATCAGTGGCTATTTGGACTCATTAAGTAAGTGGATAACGTGATGGCGTTTGAAGCGCAAGGTGCTAGTTCGAGTCCCGTAGTGATCAACAACTCTGAGGTTCATCCAGCTGACGAGTCTCAATCAGGACGAAACGCACTTCCTAGCCACTATCCACCTGTGCGAATACAACCATTTTGTTTGTAGCAAACTAACCATTTTTAATTACCATTTGAAACGTTGTGTAGCTAATGATATGCATTTTTACACGGATATATACTCTAGGCAAAGATTCTCCAAATAACAGATAGCCTGGTAAAATAATAGTCAAATCTAATAAAAAGCCATGAATTATGAAATCGAAGAATTGGAGAAACATTAAACGCCGTAAGTTGGTTGAAGGTTTAGAGTGCAGGCTATAAAATTTCATTCAGACCGCTGAATGACATCGAACTGTTTGTAAGATCTGAAAGTCTCATGTTTGATCTATTTATGGTAAAATCAGAATTGCTCATAAGTCCAAGACTAAGTTGAGACAGGTTAGTAGAGCTCTGTGATTTGCGCGAATCCCTCTATTAGTGTTGTTACTCTTGATCAAAGCAACCTTTGGTAATAATATAAGAAACCAAAAGGAAATTTTTCCTTTTCACTAAATGAACTTTAACTTAAATGGTTGGTTATTTCCAATCCAGTAATAGAATAAAAAAAATCACCAATAATATAAGCAAGAAGGTGTTCTAACCTGAAGTATTTTCAGTTGTTCAAATACCCGTTTATTCACTGACATACGTTGAGATTTAAGTGGTTTGAGTTCAGTGGACAATCTTTGTTGATTATTTGATGCACGTAAACGTGATAAAGCCAAATTATTAGATTCGGTTAACAATGAATACCATATGTTCCATACACTATGTTGTTTACTGGAACTAATGATAATAATAATAACAATAATAATAATCGATTTCGATATTTGTTTGGCTGCGAAAAAATACATTAAGCAATACTTACAGTACGGTATCGTTTCCTGAAGAACAAGATGGTGTTGTAAATTCTTTCTTTGAAAGGAAACTGTTCACCAGTTTTTGTAATGATTGACCGTATTCACGCTCGATTGCTGCTCTTTGTTTACAGTACATCCTAAAACATAAAATTTATGAGAAATAATGCACTTTGAAAAAACTACATTTTTCCCAATTAGTAGTTAAAACCCAATAGAAATAAGTAAAATATTTATCTGTTTATTTACATTAAAGTCGTAAATCGATCAATGTTATATCCCCATTAGAAACCTGAAAGCACTTGACGGCCGCTTTGTCTTAGTATGGGACTCATCAGCAGTACGCATTCACGGCCATCGCAAGCAGAAATCGAACCTAGGACCTTCAGCCTCGCACACGAATACCTATCCATATTTTATCTTTACTACGATTTTACTGAAAAGGCCATGAGGATTTTTAACACCATTTTCTACAAAGTATAGCCTCCATTTTCAAGAGATTACTTAAACCAGCTACTGTTATCAAATACTTAGCATGTAATTACAAATGTATTTAAACAAACGTTTACCATACGCTAAATGTAAAGCAAAAGAAATTTATGACTTGAAGATTATTTGATTCAGATTGAAAGAAAAGTGCCTCTGAATTACAATACATTTGAAACTAATTTCAAAGTAGAGTCTATTACTCTGTTTTATCATATAGCTATGTAAAAACATCACCTTTTCTAAGGCTCAGAATACTCAGGCAATCAATCAAAGATTTATTTGAAACACAGACATGCTTTCTTTTAGTAATAAGCAACTTTACGGAAGAGATCACATCAAATAAGTAAGATGTGAACTTAAAGGTCACAAGAATTAGCGAACACAGACATTACCCATTAGAATGTTTCCAAAATAAGATACAATATGAAGAGAAACGATCAAACTACTTTAAGATTTTCATATACGATCTATTCGGGTACGACTTATTCAATTCCAAAAATAGCAAGAGCAGAAATGTAGGAATAAATATAGCTCAATTTTAACTAACCTCAAATCATCTAATAAATCTGTTTCTGAGGCATGTTTGCTCTGAAGTTTGGCATAGTGTTCGTTGTGAATAGTTTTTAGTTGACTAAGTGGTTTCACTGACTGAAGAAAAATAACAATAAAAAACATTATGACCAAGATTTCAAATTAGCATTAGATATATTCACAATATATAGTAGTATTTCGGAGCACAGAGCAGTGGGTATACCCACTTACAGTAATATATAGTGTATTTAAGCCAACGGCTTTGAGGCTGGAAGCCAACCACACTGTAACAGAATAAAAAGGACAACAAGCATGTATTCAACAAATCAGTATGCCTTAGAAATTTGCAGAAGAAAGAGAATGTCCCCAATTTTATCTCCTGGTTACCGTGCGTATCATCTGCAAATGACTCAAGCATGCCTTTGACAAATGTACGCAAATCATCTGTTTACCTTACAGTTACACTTTCCTTTAGGAACATTCAACAGTTTTACAAAAATTCCTAAAAAGTCGTCTTCACCACTAGCATACATTGGATTTTTATTAATCCACGTACTCTACAATTAATTATAGTAACCCCCAAAATTACACCAATTGTTTGGCACATAGTGAATATGAGGAAGAAAATAAAAATTATATGTTATGATAGTAAGTAATTATCGTATAAATACATGCAATAATAACAAGTTATTATTAAGTACGAAGAATAAAAAGTTATTCACAACTATTACATAAAAGATGGAAAAGGGTAGGACGATAGTAAGGGGAAATGTTGTACATGTTACTTTGTTGCAGAAAGTTTAGGTCTACAATTTCGTTCTGATAAAATTCCGAATTTCATTTATTTATACCACACTCGACAAATCCATTTAACTATACGGAAAACTCTAAAAGATGTTGATGGGACATTGTAAACAGGTTGATGAAGTATTCTGCAACCTAGCTAGTATTCGATTCGCAAAATTTATCATCATACATGAAGCATGATATTTCAAAGTTTGTTAGGAAAGAGGTCCTCTAATTCAAATGATTTAACATGCTTCGTAAGAGCAAGTAAACGTAAAGATGGATATTGATGTTTTCGAAAGAAAGAATTTGTTTTTAACGTATCTATGGATCAAAGGCCGAATAATTAAACAATCGGAATTTCGGTGAAAAAAATATTTCTCAGAAAGAACATGAGAGCGTGACTTTTAAAATATGATTTTTGGTATATTCTTTAAATTCAGTATTCACAGAATGGACCTTGGCACTGTAGACATTCATCCACGTTTTATCATCGAACCTTGTAGGATTGATATTGCTGATAATGAAGTGATAAAATTTGTGAAGTCCCTTTGTAGCCAATAGTTAAACACATGGTACTCGGGGATAAACGGTGAGTCACACACCATGAAGGTTGGAATAACACGTGAAGACCCTATCAACCAGTAGAAAAACTAATCTCCAGGTTAAACGCTCATCAAAGTTGTTCTTTAAAAAATGTTTCGGAATATCGACTGCAAGATTTTGATTTTTAATATGATGTGACTCGACTTAATCGACACTACTCAAGCTAACGTGCAAAATAAATCCCGAAGGAAACAATGAAGTGAACTTACTCTGGTTACTAACTACGTTTGAAACATTAATAAAAAATTATATTTAATGTTGAAATAATTGACTTTTGATCTGAGGGTTTCTAGTTAAAGTTCAGACGTCGATTTTACGCGACAGCGAAATTTTGATAACTTAAAGGTCGTTTGAATAATTGTAGAAGCCCTTATGACTTTGACATAATTACTCTGAATTGTAAATCCCTCAATTATTTTTTACGGAATTTTTTAATGCTCACTTTACTACCATTGAAGATTTTCCACGTGTTCTCATTGCAAAAATTCAGAAAGTGTGAATCTAAATCGACTCCTATTTGCAATAGATTTGAAGTCTATTACAAGTGAGAAAAATTCACGTTTAATCGTGAGTTAACAAATGAACTATAGAAAGTATATTGTGTTTTTTTAATTATTTATTCGATTCAGTATAAATCATGCTACAATTTAAATGCTGCGAAGAACATATAACCACTGTGATTACAAATAGTCCGATTTTGCATTAGAATTGTGAATAAAAGTGTCTACATCAGCAGACTGAGGACATGGGTTACAATTTAATTATCTGGGGTAAATTGAAACGATGAGTAATTGTGGTCTTAATTCCATTTTCTGTTTAAGTGTGTACCAAAGCCATTGATGCATGAATGAATTTTGGTTAATCTTAAAAATGAGCTAGGACGGAAGAAGCAGAGCCATAGCTGAGTTTCACAAAAACATAGAACTTTCCATCGACAGCTAGTTGTTTTTTAAGCTCTATAAAGTCTACAATAAACGTGTTGAGATGTATTTTGTTTACATCTATTAAAAGAAAAAGAAACACTTTACTAATCATTTTCTAATCACCAACGTTTATTGTGATCATCAATCAAATACAACGGAAATATTACAAAAACAGAAAATACCTTCCTCCCAACATAGTTAATCGACATTGTCCAACCTTGAGAAACTGTATTCGGTTGGCTAATGAGAGCACAACATAATGATGCAAAAAAACAAATAAAAGTCCATTTGGCTGATAGTAATTCAGCCTGCGCCAATACTTTTAGGGTTTTATAAGCGATATTTCCGATAATTACTGGCAGCAGAAGTCACATAGACCTCATTTCAATATGCAATAGGCGATAACCAAATGATTCTCTTTCTTTCGGTATTTTTCACTGTCCAATAAGTGGTGATCTAGCCACTAGATTGCACTGATTATAGCGAGCTGGCTTTAGTTTGTGAATTTGTGTCCCGTGATTTGAATGAGCACCATTACTTCAGGGCAGTAGGATTTTTGAACTTCGCATGTATAACCTTCGGGGTTACTGCCTGTCCCAAGCCCGGGTAAAGGAGAAAAGTTGTGCATGGGGTTTAATAATAATAATAATAATAATTTATTCTCAAATAACAAACATGTTACAAGAGACATGCCAATTTACAGGCAAGATCAAAATGTTAAGATTAGCAACATAATTTTTTTAAAACGGAATAAAGTTACTGAAACATTTCACAAGATTCATTTTTTTCTTAAAGATGGAATGTACAAAGCGAGTAATTGGCGCAAGTTACGAAGGTTGCGTTACGACAATCATCATATGGGCTGAGAAATGATTCATGGTACAGACAGGTTTTCATATAACAATAATTGATGCGGTAAATGTACAAAGGTCTGGTTGATATTCGTCAGCTAATGATTTCACATGTTCTTGGGTAGGGTAACCAAGTCTACTGCAAATATCCAGATTAATATATGTGGATTGGAATAAGGTTAATGATACACGGTGTTTGAGTTCCTTGTAATTGACAGTAGTTGAACAGCATCTACAGGCTTTACAATTTGTCTGTCTACACTTTCAGAGTTCGCGCGCCATGACCCAGCACACCAGAAAAACTAACTTGCCAAAAAAACGCTAACCAGAAAAAATAATTCAAACAATTCTAACTCTGCCCTGGGAGTTGGAAGAACAATTATGACGTCGCGTGATTAAAGTCGAGTTCCCTCGGAACTTAGGGGTCCATGCCTCTTCTTACTACCAGAGCAACCATTCTTTTAGGTACATGGAATGTTCGTACATTGTGAGAGACTGGAAGACTATTTCAAGTTGCGGCAGAAATGAAAAGATACAACCTCGAGGTGCTCGGCATAAGTGAAACGCATTGGACACAGGCAGGACAACTGAGACTTGCTTCAGAGGAACTGCTGTTATACTCTGGTCATGAAGAGGCAAATGCTTCACATACACAAGCAGTTGCACTGATGCTGTCCAAACATGCACAAAAGGCACTGATAGGATGGGAATCTCATGGACCCAGGATCATCAAATCATCCTTCAAAACAAAGAAAGAGGACATTACAATGAACGTCATCCAATGTTATGCACCTACCAATGACTACAATGACGACGATAAAGATCAATTCTATGAAAGGCTGCAGTCAGTCGTCGACAGATGCTCACCAAAGTACTTGACGATTCATATAATAGACCTGAATGCCAAGGTTGGAATGGATAAAACTGGATATGAAGACATCATGGGACGACATGGACTGGGAAAAAGGAACGAAAATGGTGAGATACTCGCAAACCTATGTGCCTTTAACAAACTGGTCATCGGTGGCACAATATTCCCACACAAACGCATTCACAAAGCCACATGGATTTCACCGGATCTCACTACTCAAAACCAAATCGATCATATATATATCAATAAGAAGTTCAGAAGGACTATGCAGGATGTGATAACCAAGAGAGGAGCTGATATACCTTCAGATCACCACTTGCTGGTCGCTAAAATGAAACTGAAACTCAAGAAACACTGAATAACGGGGCAGACAACATCACACAAGTTTAATACGGTCTTTCTTCGGGATACCGTGAAACTCAACGAATTCAAGATAGCTCTCACCAATAGGTTACAGGCCTTGCACAATATACTGAATGGAGAGGAAGCAACATTGGAGAACAATTGGAAAAATGGATTAAGGAGGCAATTACTTCAACATGTCACAAAGTTCTGGGTCACAAGAAGTACCATCACAAGGAATGGATCTCTGTTGGTACTCTTGAAAAAATTGAAGAAAGGAGGAACAAGAAGGCAGCAACCGATGTCAGCCGAACAAGAGCAGAGAAAGATAGGGCAAAAGCTGCATACACAGAAGCAAACAGGGAAGTGAAGAAGAGCATCAGAGCTGACAAACGAAAATATGTAAAAGATATAGCAATGACGGCGGAAAAGGCTGCAAGAGACGGAAACTCGAGACAATTGTACAATACAACAAAGAAGCTGGCCGGAAGCTATTGTAACCAGGCGAAATAATCAGCAACACTGAAGAACAACGAAATAGGTGGGTAGAGCACTTTCAAGAACTCCTGAACCGACCAGCTCCACTGAACACACCCAACATCGAAGTAGCATCCACGGACCTCGCAATTAATATTGGCGCACCTACGATTGAGGAGATCAGTATGGCCATTATACAAATCAAGAGCGGCAAAGCAGAAGGACCAGACAACATTCTAACAGAGGCAATGAAAGCAGATTTGGAAGCAACTGCGAAAATATTTCACAACCTCTTCAAGAAGATTTGGGATGAGTAACAATTACTATCAGATTGGAAAGAAGGATACCTGATCAAAATACCAAAGAAAGGCAATCTCAGCAAGTGTGAATACTACAGAGGCATCACTCTTCTCTCAATACCAGACAAAGTCTTTAACAGAGTGTTGTAAAAATCAGGATCAGTAGGCTGGGTTTCGTAAGGTACGATTGTGTACTGACCGAAATGCAACATAACGAATCATTGTGGAACAATCGATTGAATGAAACTCACCACTATACATCAACCTTATTGACTACGAGAAATCATTTGATATCATGGACAGGACAACACTATGGAGGCATTTTCGGCACTATGGCGTGCCTGAGAAAATAATCAAAATCCTAGGGAATTCTTATGATGGGTTCGACTGCAAAATCATACACGGAGGACAGCTAACAGTCTCGTTCGAGGTGAAGACTGGTGTCAGAAAACGTTGCTTACTCTCACCCTTTCTCTTCCTCCTGGTGATCGACTGGATTATGAAGATGTCAGCATATGGAGGGAAGCACGGTATCCAATGGACAGCAAGGACTTAGCTGGACGATCTGGACTTCTCAAATGATCTGGCTCTTTTATCTCACACGCAACAACAAATGCAGGAGAAGTCGACCAGTGTAGCAGCAGCCTCTGCAGCAGTAGGTCTCAACGTACACAAAAATAAAAGCAAGATTCTACGATACAACACAACATGCACCAACCAAGTTGGATGCGATGCAGATATGAGGGCGCGGACTGGCAAAGGAATGGCTGCATTTCTGCAATTAAATAACATCTGAAACTCAAAACAAATACCAGTCAACACCAAAATCAGTATTTTCATTAGAAATGTCAAGACAGTTCTACTGTATGGCGTGGAAACTTGGAGAACAACGAAAGTCGTCATCAAGAAGATAAAATTATTCATGAACAGTTGTCTAGGCAAAATACTTCGGATTCGTTGGCCAGACACGATCAGCAACAACCTACTGTGGGAGAGAACAAAACAGATTCCAATGAAGGAGGAAATCAGGAAGAAGCGGTGGAAGTGGATAGGACACTCACTACGAAAAGCACCTAACTGCGTCACGAGACAATCCCTCACTTGGAACCCTCAAGGTAAAAGGAAAAGGGGAAGGCCAAAGAACACATTACGCCGAGAAATAGAGAAAGATATGAGAAGAATGAACAAATATTGGACGGAACTGGAAAGGGAAGCCCAGGACAGAGTTGGTTGAAGAAAACTGGTTGGCGACCTATGCTCCATTGTGGGTAACAGGCTTGTGTACGTAAGTAAGATTTCTGGATACCAGCTGAAAGTTTCATTGAGTCATGCCTGTGCTTTCATTACGGCTGATCGCTATTTTGTTGTTGGAGATTTCAACGCGTTGCACACCAAATGTATAGGGAACACGACTCTGGGTGGATGTTTTGATGTCGACTCGCCGTCAAATATTCGTCAGCGTGCACTCGTACAAGGTATCGCTACAACTACTGACTGGGAATATAAACCACCACTACCGCACCTTGTATTTACACATCTTAGTGGCACTGTCTTTGAAATTCAGTGACTAGTTAACCAGATAATAATGATAGTGTAGTTTTGCAGATAGATAATGAACGTGATATAGCTGTTGCACATATGACGTGCAAACTTCATGGTAATCATGCACCAAGCTTTCCCATCCAATTTGTTAGTAAATACAAATGAATTGGTTGAAGTAGTTTGGAATAATTTTAAAACATAATATCTGTTTATCTCATCGCTGAGGTGTATGCTCCCATATGGAGAAGCTGTGAAATACAGAAACTGATGTGGCGCAGAAAAATCATCCAGCACTTATTCTTTTCAACGGATCGGGAACCATTTCAGTGTAAACACCGAAATACCTGGAGTATACGTAGAAATACCGTAATTAGAGGAGTATAAGAATAACTGAGGCGCCGTACCAATGTAGACCGTGCTAAGGCTTTGTACCACGAGATACTATCTCAAGTCACTGATTATACATTCCTGCATTTATTAATTACTGAGACGGCCTATTCTTCCACACCTGTTTGCAGACGATGTCAAAATTTGACAAACAATAAATACTGAGGCTGATCGTCTTGAACGACAATCATACCTGAGAGGAATAATTAGAGGGTCTCATAGTTGTGGCTGTTGTTCACTGCAGTTCACTCCGGCTCGAATAGTGTAGGTTCATACGCGTTCACCCAGTCAGGGACCAAAAACACGATAGTTCTGGGAGAAAGCGGTTCTATTTTAATGAATAAGGGAAATACAGACAATTACCAAAACGATATTACACCTTCGAGCTTCCAATTACCACAATGGGTTCCGTTTCTGGAAGAATAAATGCTTCCAGTCAGTTACTACTAAAGTATCAAATCCAAATATGGCTGTAGCCATACTAAATATCAAATTTAAACAACATATGTACAGTTCAGAAGGAAACATAAAAACTTTAATATAAGTACAAGATATAGAAATAATAACAATATACAATGATAAAATCTCAAAACGGAATCAAATAGAGTACCAAAATGTCAACGCCAAGAGTCAGTCATATCATAACACAAATATATACACATGGAGGGATTTTCCAAAAAAAACCTTCAAAATAGATTCTACAGTGGCTTAGAAATCGATTTTCGATATTGTGTTGATGTGAATTGGTCATGTCAAGTCTCCAGTATGCCGACAGTGGTACGTCGCTATTACGCTTGTAGGAACAAACGGTTTTGGGGTACAAATAAGTTATGATTTAAAAACAAATGCACATTGTAGCGTAGCAGCAGCTAGAGGCATTTTAGTATAATGGTTGAAAGGTCCTTTCAGACTCATCTTCGATGAGCGTGTGATGAGACGAGTCGCTGTTAACTAAGATCACCACCACAGACCAGTTATGTTCCTGTCACTGAATATAGTATCTCCGTGAATCAAGGACTGAGTTATCCACACAAGGGAGTATATTTGCTTGCGTCTTATTGGTATCAAAGGGATACCGAAATCGTGCCAGAAAAGATGGACAAAGCATCATTAACTGAAATTTTTCGCGTACCAAGTACAAATAAACAAAAAGTTCAGTAAAGCAATCAGTGGTACGATTGGTTATGATAATTAATGTTTCTATCAAATCAATCGCGTTCTCTTCATGAAAGTTAAATCACTACATGCGCTTGAAGTGCCCGAACCTCATCCTGTTATCTTAGCAAGCAGTGTCTTGAAGTGTGAGGGGTTTAGAGGAGAGCGTATATTATCCGTTTGCTCCCTTATAACTCATTATATCCGAGGCCACTGCAAAAATGTCCAAAAATCTCCATCAAATAAACTCAGAGTAGGATTTCATGCTTGTCCTCTTGTAATCAATGACTGGGACGTCTTAACAGAAACAGCTGAATCAACCTCATCGGTGAACATTTTGAAAAAGTCGCTGGATCTTCACTGGAAATGAATCCACAAGGATAAGCACATGCCCACTGACGTAATTTGTCAATTAACTATTATTATTACTTTTTTACTGAACATTGAAACTGAATTGGACAAAGTAGACGCTACACCTTCACACTCACCTGTGTCACATATGATTGCTGGGATAAGTTGAGATGCTAGATTTTCTCAATCTGAAAAAAAGTGAATTTTTGTGTGGATTATGTCATGGAAGTATCAAAGGCGAAAACTGCACTCCAAAGTCATGTTCTCATATATTTCACATAAATTGCTTAGAGGATTGGGCTAGTGACTTGGACTCTTCCTTGGAATTCTCCTGTCCAGTCTCTGGTTGTTCCTTATCCTTCAGTGAAATATTAGTCCGTAATACACCTGGTGCTGTAAAATTTACAGTGAAGTCTTTCAAAGAAAACCACCAATGCCCAATATGTTGCGAGAGGATTCAGAAGCCCGTTGCTACTCCAGAATCATGCAATCATGCGTTTTGCTACATATGTCTAAAAGAGTGGTCAAGTGTACGTCATGAATGTCCTCTCGATCGTGGTGTGTACGAGCTTATCCTTTTGTCTGACTGGGTTGGGGGCCCCATCATAAAGCGGGTATGTCATGTTTTTGTGCTTGGTGTGTAATCCGTTGTATGACTTCTTTTTCCTTTACTATATTTATGCTATTCAAGTATTGTATCAACTACCGCGTACATTTGTCCATCCTGGTAAACGTATCTCAGCTAATTGGGCATCCTTCGGTCATTCAAATAGCTAACCATATCTGTCATTCACGAGATCTAGAGTTTATCTTGATCACATCTTGAGGTTTTTAATTATCATTTAGGGTGCGGTGCCCAAATTAATGATTATGGCATATTTATCAGTAAGAAATCGTCTTTTAAATGAGTCGGAATAACTCATTAGACTCAGTGACCTAACATAGATCGCTTCCAAACTATTTTATCAGGCTGGTCTCCAGTTTATCACTCGTAATTAGTAAATATTGTTTATCACTAGGGTAATCAATCATACATACAGAGTTCAATGCCACCCTTGCAAATATCGAAATCATAATTTTCTCCTAAAGAGATTAACGTATCTAAAAAAGCTTTTGGTTAACTGACGCTCCAACTAAGCTTTCCTCTAGTAATTAAATCAACTGCGGAACAGAGGTATTTTGATATCAGTAAAGCCCACGGAGTGGGCCTTTTTCGATTTCAGTTACCAAAGCTGTGATCCTTGAGATTGTATTGCAACCCTATTCAATGAGAAGGTTGAATAAGATTTTTTGCGCACAGCTCGTGACTTCTTTCAATAATCATTAATTTGTCAGTGATTAATGCTTATCCATCTAATTGGTGACTCCTAGTAACGTGTTTGAAGCATAGCAGTTTCGATGCTTCTATGGATCCGCTGCCTCTTCACTTCAACCATTCATATTAGTGTTCTTGAGCTTTCTTCGATAGAACCTGCATCGAGTAGTATACATTCCCCACGTTATAAATTGCTTCTAATCAGCTAATTAAATCTAGTTCCACAAGAATAAGTAAATAAGTAGTACGAGAATTTCTCTGGGTGCCTTTCTCTTAATCCTCTGTAGCTGTGCTACACGGTCCGTGGATTATAAGGACATACAACATTTGTCAGCATCAAAATATTTGTATATTCAAAGGATTGCTAGGTTGTAGTGCAAAGTCTGAGGTAAAAAATGGCTACTCGGTTGATAAAATGCTCTCTTATCGACCTCTATTTTCGGGTCACTATTCATACCCAACCACCTCTTACGTCGACCTAATGCTGGAGTGGCAAGGGGTTGTTAAATCCGCTACTATAACTTGTAATTTAGCATTCATTTGTGAGGTCATATTTTGATCTAAGTCACTTTTGGTACATCACCACTCATGTTGATTAACTCAATATGCCTTTTTGTTCCTTTGTCTTCTGTGTGGTTTAGTCCACTAAGTTACCTCAGCGTGCTAACTTCTTAACTAACGATCACCAAATGTGATCTTTATATAATGGGATAAACCCAAACGTAAATTGTTCTTTGACTACTGTCGAATAAATTTTATTTGGAAGATGCTTATTTTGGAGTAACTGGGACTTGGAGAGAATGGATTTGTGATATCCTAGTATCAAAGTGTAAATTTCAGTTTTCTCTGTTATCATAGACTGATCAAATCAGTTCATGAAGTCAATGACCAACAGTATGATCTATGTTTGCTGATGCAAACTCCCAGCTTGTAATTAGCAAGGAAAACCTTGATTAGCGGTCGCGTGCATCAAACGCTATAACCCGAAATCGATCGTCTTAGCCGTTTCATTCAGTCCTTATTCTCGGCTACTTCTCGGCTTTTAGTACTTATGTGGAAATTTCTATTCATCGTTTTCGTTTTTTTCCATCTTAGCTGTGCTTGCTTTTATCCTTACTCTCAACAATTGTAGTCTACTTTCATGTCATTCATCTTATTTACTTCCTCTTGCTCTTATGATATGGTTACTTAGACCTATGCAAGTTCATATCATATTCTGTTTCAATCAATTAGTCAACAGCAACGTAGAACCTTGTCCGTAAGTACATCAGTTCAAGTTGCCATACCACATTAGCACAGAGACGCAATAATCAATTCAAATCTCATAGTAGTAGAGGTAGTAATAGTATTAGCAGTAATCAGAGAGATTAGAGTTCGAAGATATTATTCAAAAGGTATAATTCAGTGAGGTAAATTTAGAAGAAGAAAGAGATGATGAGGAATTCAGAAGTCTAGAATTTGAGACAACACAAAGAGTGGATGCACTTGCACCATTGCAAACGGTTTTGAGACATGTCATTCAAGGTCTCTAACTGTCGGTGACTTTCGTCTCGCGGAACCTAACCGGGTAGTCGACACCTACCAACATGACTCAGTCCACTTGTCAATGACTTCAAGGATTTCTGCCATATTTTGGTCTGGCCGCCCCTAGCTTTCGTCCAACCTATTCCTACACCGGAAAACATAGCTCGACGAGGCAGTCGGTGGCTGAGCACTCGTAACAAATGTCCAAACCATCTCGACTAATGAAGTTTCACTACTTCATCAATTGATCTGTCATTCTTACCTAGCACCCGTTTCCTAATAACAGCGTTGCTCAGTCGGTTGTCCCAGGATATACGAGCAATGTTTCGGAGACACCTATGATGGGAAACCAGTAACCTACGAATGTCCTCTACTCTCACCGGCCATGTTTCGCATCCGCATAGTAGGACAAAGCCAACTACTTTACACTACACTCGTACTTTGGTTAGCAAACGGATATCTCACCTGCGCCATAATTGACGCAGGTTGGCATAAGCCAATCGAACCTTCTGTATCCGTGTTGAGATTTCATCAGTCACCAGGCCATCAGCACTGATGAGACTCCTGGAGATAAGTGAAGCAGCTGAAACGCTAGACTACTTCACTCCCTATCACTAGTTCAGGTGCCGATGCGACCCAATCTTGAAGCAAAATTTTGCATTTTGAGGAGGAGAACCGCATCCCGAACATGCTTGCATTGTATCTCAGGGTAATCAGCAGACTTCATTTTGTCAGCGTCTTCACTAAATAGAACTATGTCATCGGCATATTCTAAGTCAACCAATGAATCTCCTGGTAGAAGGTTTATTCCTGAAAAATCAAACGAAGATAATTTTATATATAGGAGCATGTCTATGAAAAAATTAAACAAGAATGGGGAAAGTGGACATCTTTGACGGACACATTTCTTACTCAACCGGTGGTGTTCGAGTAGTGAGCTTTTAAAAGGTTAATGTACTTCTTTGGTTACACCTTTTGATGACAGACACTGCCACAGAGCCTCACGATCCACTTAGTCAAATGCCGCCTTTATGTCTAGGAAGACAACTATTGTTAGACGCCTATGTGCGTGTCTGTGTCCCAGGACCTGTCGTCGTGTGAAGATGTGGTCTATACAGCCGCGTCCAGGTCGGAAACCAACCTGGTTTTCTCTAGTCTGCTCTTCACGAGCACTAGTAAAGCGTCCAAGTATAATCAAGGCTAACAATTTAGAAACTATATTAGTTAGACTTATTCCCCAGTGATTGTCACAAGAAGACTATTGTCCTTTCTTATAAATTGGGACAATCAGTGATTGAGACCACTCGGATGGGACTGCGTCCAGTTCCCGAATTCTACCTAAGATCTCAGTCAACCTAGGTACTAAAACTGGACCACCATCCTTAAATATCTCGGCGGTCAGTCTATCAGGACCTGCAGCTCGCCCTCGCTTCAGATTTCCTAATGTCTTTTCGACTTGATAAATATTCGGGGGACTTACGTCCACTTGCCATTCAGAATGACTTGGGATCGTGGGTTACTGAATTCTGGCTGAAGGCCAGTTGAACTGACACCTAAAGTGTTCTGTCCATCGATTCAATCTCGTAGATTGAGATTGAGTAATAAGACCATCCTTTTCCGAGGTAGTTTTACTAGCAGATGGGTTTCTGATACCGGTTTCGTTGATAAGGCTGAACAGTTGTCTACTGTTGCCTATCGCCGCTGCCTTTTCCATCTCTCTCGATTTCGCTACCCACCACTGTTCGCGATCACTGCGTAGTCTTTTTATCAGCCTGCGCCTAAGCTGACTTCGCTCCTCATCGCACTCAGAGCCGGACGGGATGAGCTTCCGAGCATCCATCAGTCCTGTAGATGCTACTGAGATCCACAACTTATGCCTAACCTTATGTTTTACCTTGTTAGGTGTGCCGACTTCGAGCTGTTCTTAGAAATTTCGTAATTAGCTCGTTCAGACAATCGTTACTAAATGGCATCTGACGGTTAATAAATCAGATGAATTCGAAGTATTGGATACGTTTATTGTGGCACACCACATAAAGGATAGCAAACCACGAGCAGACCGGGCATACACTAGCGAGCGAATATGCGAATGGGCGAATGAATAAATGAAATTAAAATGTTCGTATATATACATAGGAAAAATGTCTGAGTCATCGTGATATGTAAGAGATTAATATTAAAGCGAATAGGATGCATATGCGCGTAGGCTCTAAGCAATGCTCAGTCATACCAGCTCATACAAACCACTCAATAATAAAAGCCAATGGTACGTATAAGTTGTTGCTACGCGAATGGCTTGGTTAAATAAATTAATCGAAAGAGCCTAAGCAAATTAAATGTAAGCGGATGCAAATAAATGTGGAGGCACTACAACCTTACTAACAGGTATCACTGCTGTTTCCACAGCCTTTCTGATATCATTTCACTCACTACATGGTTGTTGCTTAAATATATTCGTAGCTTTATAATCACTAAGTACAGCCTTAGGAGGTTTTCTCGTGATATTTTTCTTGCTTCCAACAAGGCGCAAACAAATGTGCGCTCGTACTAAAACATGGTCTGAGTCCAAACAAGTGCTCCAGAATGAGCGGCAGTCTTTGATGGAGCCTCTCTACCGATGGCTTATAGCGATGTGATCTAGTTGGGTCGGCTTTGGGGGTCACCAGGTCAAAAGTTGCCTTTCCTTATGCTTGAAGTTAGTGTTTGCTAGGAATAGGCGCTTATCTGAGCATAGTTGCGGCAGACGGTCGTCATTATCCGTTCTATTAGCCGCGACACCATAAGGTCCATTCGGGTGTCTTTCCTTTTCACCTAGTCTACCTACTTGAGCGTTCAAGTGACCAGCCATTATTACTATATCAGAACGCCTAACTTTTTGGAGGAGGTCCGAAAGCTTTCTGTAAAACTCATCTTTCACCTCGTCTGAACTGTAGTCAGTGGGAGCGTAGGCAGATGCGACGAAGAGGAAATGGAAAGTGTCTATATTTACGAGTCCTTACCGTCACGTTTAGTCGGACGGGATCCAGTCTAGCAGATCTAGTTCTGCCCTAGGACTTGATGTATACCTACTCCGGTGAGGCCATGGGAAGCAGCATCAGAGCTACCTGAAACATGAAGCGTAAACCATGTTGTTTCTCTATCTGCACAAGGTGAAATCAGACTGATGATTTTACTCGGATCTTGTGTACGTGTTTCGGAGACGCAACATACATCGATCGCTGGGGATTCCCGAGTTCTAGCTAATGAAGCCTGTTACCCTATTTGGCATAGGCTTTGAACATTAAAAGCTCCTATTTGTAATTTAGTACGGGGTTTCAAAAGACCAGGAATAATATTTCGTGAGCTCATACCGTTTGCTTCAGTGGCGTGAGGTGATAGACGATCGAAAGAAGGGTTGGTCGAGGAGATAAGAGAGTTGTTAGTAGGTGTAGGAAGGATTTGATTGTGACCAGTTTGGTCTCATGTACTTTTATGGGTATGAGGGCGGATGTAACTTCCCGGCTGCCCACACAACGTGGAAGGGTTTCGGTTGTCAGAAGAGGCATCGGCCTCATGACTTCCGAAGGATGTCGGCTTTCACCACGAGACGTTATAATTCTTCTAAATGAAGACTTTCTAACTTTCAGAGAAGAGTTTATATGGTTTGAATTATTTTTCCTAATAGCTTTTTTTAGCTAGTTAGTTTTTTGCGGGATGGGGTCGCCAACCTCAATCCCAACCCTCCTTTATCAGGGCTTGGGACTGTCAGTCGCCCCGAAGGGTCTGCAGGCGGAGTTTTCTATTTTGTATATGTGTAACTAGCACAAATTAGTGTCTGATTACCAAATTTCGTCCTTAAGATTGTTACTAAAAGTGGCTTTAGCGAAGACACTAATCCCAAAGGTCACATGGAGGCTTTGGGTCTTCCTTAGGATTTAACTGCATCACTGTTGAAGTCAGTATTATTGTATAAAACATCTTTGAAACAGTTGTCAAATATTCCCTTGGATAGTTTTTAATTCTTTATTTTTATCGTCAGGTGTCGATTGATCCCTATTTTTAACTAGTTCTTTTCTTACGTTTGTGAATTTCTGTTGCAAAATAATTTATTAAACTCGTCTTTCGAATAATGAAAGCCAAGCTATAAAAACTTGTCGATAGATGATCCAACGTAGGGTTTCTCCGGATGAGTATTTTTATGCTCTAACGGGTAATTAACAGCACAAAAAATGAGGTTGTAACCCATTTTTAATCGCGGTGTAAATTTGCTAGCTGAGTAACATCTGTGTAATCTAATTTAAACCACATCAAATACCATGTATAAATTTCAAATTAACAATATTGCATGTTATATGGTCATTTTTCGTACTAACCATAGAAGAACCCACTATTCCTTTATCTATTATTACAAGAAAATTCTCTTCCATTAATATGGCATTAAATAATATTAACTATAGTTGTCTTATCATTTTCACAATACTTAAGGTAGAATTATATTATCTTATATTTTTACTGATTTTTGATAGGTCAATGCACCACCTGTTAAACAGCAACCTTCAGAAACCCCACCATTGGAATTAGACGTTAACTGTCAGGTCTGTGATCGTCCAGATGATGAAGCACATTTGCTTTTATGTGATCACTGCGATAGGGGGTACCATACTTACTGTCTCCCAACCCCCCTCTCATCTATTCCAGACGGAGATTGGTTTTGTCCGGAATGTCTTCGACAGGAAGTTGTTCTGCCGGAAACAGTTACTACTAATGTGACATCAGTGACTACTACTAATAGACGTGTTCGAAGAAATATTCGGCGAAGGTTGATTGATTCTGAGGCAGAGGAAAGTGAACATGATGAATTGAACACTTCTTTAGATTCAAGTTCCGAAAACCTCCATTTAACACGTGAGCTTGGTTTCGCTGCCCAGAGGAGGCTTGAAGAGCAGGCTACCAGACGTCATCGTGGGCGTCGGTTATTGCAGGATTTAATTGCTGACCTAAGTGAACGAATAGAATCAGAGGCTTCCGTCCGAGCCCGGCGCCGCCACAGTCAACGACAACGTGTTCAAAACCAGCTTGCATCAGAATCCGCTAGTTTAAGTGCATCTGGTCCAGCACTTAGTCAATCAACCATCTGTTTCGAAATACCGTCTTCGGTAAGTTATTTTCCTGTAACAACACTTGCATGTGTTTTGTGCAAACTTTATTCGTACACAATATTATTCTTTTTTTTCATAGACAAATCAACCTGTCAGTATCCGCTTAGGCCGTCCTCCAAGTTACTCAAACTCTTACAATAGAAGGCTGGTTCATAACAATGTTCAATCAGACTGTAATGGAGAATTATCAGATGGCAATCAGTCAGAGGTAGTGTTTAAAGAAGTTTGTCTCTGTACTTGCAATTATAGCTATTTTGGTAGTTTGTTATTTTAGTTTAAAGACTTGGCTAAACTTCACAAAACGACTTCCGGGTTGGTGATAAACTTAGTCAATTTTTAAAGGAGAGGTGTCTGATGTATGTCATCCAAATAGTATTTTCATAGATTTTACAAATCAATAGCTAATATGTCATTTTTTGAAAACTTGAATAAATAAGAAGTGCGAAATTCGCCTTACGTGATATCAAAGAGGTTGTCTTCATAGTTAACTATTTGTTCATTATGTCTGTCTTATACACGTCCACCTGAATACTTTAATTAGTAATCCTAGTATGACGAAAAGTGTTTCGCGCATAATCTGTGTGATTATCATCCGAGTTTTAAGAACTTTGAGTAGTGGAGGGAGAGAGGTAAGATGATGATAATATAAGCTAAGTAAAAAAATACAAGTAAATGTGTCATCTATTAAATTGTCCCGGTATTCAGATCAGTGTTTCGTATTGACTTAGTAGAAATATAATGAGCAACTGTTTGTCTTGCTGTATGATAATCTGCCTATGAGTTAGGATAATGCAATTCACTAATTATAGGTTCAAATGGAATCCGGTGACGAGCTTGGCATTGAAATGTGTAGTTCACAGTGTGAGGGGGCTAATCCACATTTCGTAATGGTTTTGAAAACAGGCTATGTCTCTCCATTTTCAATTTAAGTTAGACATTACGGAGTGAGAATTTAAATAGTATTAACCTAGAGACACAAAAAGTAGGACAGGGACTGCTTTTCCTTAGATAACCGGACATTTTATATCGTTCTAGGGAAATAAATGAATGCTTATTTCGAGATTTTGAACATTAGTGAAAGCTACTGGACATTTTCAGCTTGACTTAAATCGACTGATGTTTTCTAGTTTATTGCAATAAGCTGCAGGTATAACTTATGATAATAGCAACGGGGTTTTACCGTATATATAAATATGTATATATATTCCTTTAGGGTTGTAATATTTCAAGATGAGCATGCATCATTTACACTACAGTGGATAACCGCACTAGCAATAGTGAGAATGAGAAAAAGTAACGTGCGTCTAGTGAAAAGTGTGCATTCAGGAAAAAATTGAGCTAAGTTTTCTCTTGCTTTGGAATCATTTATACCTTAAAACACAATTTCAACAACATCCTCTTCAGTTCAATCTTCAGCCATATATGCCGTATCCATGAATTGGGTTCTAGGCTGCTTTATTTATGTAGTTACATATTCAGGATAATATGTTAATGCCTTTTTTACGATATCCACTACTTAATAGTACGTTGGTTCCAGTGCCTTTTGTCAGGATTGATCAATTTCAAAAGAAGATTCATGTTTGTAGTTAGTAATAGAAGCTCACTAAGTTTCATTCAAATTAATATGCCACAGATAAGCATTATCTGATAAAATAAATCGCTTCACTTTCACCGACATTTCTCATCATTTCCTAGCTTATTTTTTTATTATTGTTTTTGTGACTGTGCTTTTGTTCTCATCTAGCCAACCCGTAAGAGACTACGGATACTATCCAGCAGTGATTCAGAATCAGATGATCAGAATGGGGTCAAACTTCGTAACCCAAAACTTACTGGTCATCGTTCTCGGTTACTACGATCTAGTGAATCAGAAACCGAAGAGTTTCCTGTCCTAGCTGGCCCATCGTCTTCTCACAATTCTAATGAAGTTCGGGGAAGCAGTAGTGTTATCCAAACAAATGCTACTAGTTTTGCAGAGAATGTACGCAAAAGTACGTCTTCTGAATCTTCCCATATGGATTGTATTCAAAATTCCACCATTGAAGGTAAATCTAATTTAAAAAATTCTGATTTCCGTGGAACTACAGGTACTGCTGTAAAAAGGGCACAAAAACGAAGTAAATCAACAAAAAGAAGGGTCAGAAAACGTTCATTAAAAAAAACAAAAGGTAAACGTGTCAAGAAAAGATCACTCAAATCCAAAACACTTCGGCGTTCAAGAAACAAAATAATGCGTAAGAAAATAGTGAGTTAAGCAAACCTACTATTGTATTTGTGGATTTGGAAATAATTATCGGCTATACGATTTTATTTCAGTATACAATAAATTTCGTTACAACTATGCTACGTTATTCAGTTCTTGCTATCAGTAAACAGCCATCACTATACACTATTGTAATTAGACAAAAAAAATATGATACAGTATAAGTGATTTGTGTTCTCATGCGTGGTGCCCAGCTATAAAAGCGATAGACTCTAACACTCCTTCAAAAAAGAGTTTCCTGCTTTAGTGAAAAGCCAGAACAGAAGTAATCTATTTGACTACAAAATAATATGAACGAATACTCGTATATATATATTCAGACAGACGTAAGTACATCAGTTCAGGTTTCCATTCCACATTAGCATAGAGACGCAACTGTCAGTTCAAATTCAGTAGTGGTAGCGATAGTAGAAGTATTAGCAGTGATGGCAAAAATTACGGATCGAAGATATTATTCAAAAGGTATAATTCAGTGAGGTAAATTTAGAAAAAGAAAGAGATGATGAGGAATTCAGAAGTCTAGAATTTGAGACAACACAAAGAGTGGATGCACTTGCACCATTGCAAACGGTTTTGAGACATGTCATTCAAGGTCTCTAACTATCGGTGACTTTCGTCTCGCGGAACCTAACCGGGTAGTCGACACCTACCAACATGACTCAGTCCACTTGTCAGTGACTTCAAGGATTTCTGAAATGTTTTGGTCTGGCCGCCCCTAGCTTTCGTCCAACCTATTCCTACACCGGAAAACATAGCTCGACGAGGCAGACGGTGGTTGAGCACTCGTAACAAATGTCCAAACCATCTCGACTAATGAAGTTTCAATACTTCATCTATTGATTTGCCATTCCTAGGACGCCTAAATGTGTGTCTATGTTCCAGGACCTGTCGTAGTGTGAAGATGTGGTCTATACAACCACGTCCAGGTCGAAAACCAGATTGGTTTTCTCGAGTCTGCTCTTCACGAGCTTTCGTTAAGCGTCGAAGTATTATTGAGGCCAATATTTTAGATACTATATTAGTTAGACTTATTCCCCTGTGATTGTCACAAGAAGACTTTTGTCCTTTCTTATAGATTGGGACAATCAGTGATTGAGACCAGTCGGATGGGATTGCGTCCAGTTCCCGAATTCTACCTAAGATCTCAGTCAACCTAGCTGATAAGACTGGACCACCATCCTTAAATATCTCAGCGGTCAGTCTATCAGGACCTGCAGCTCGTCCTCGTTTCAGATTTCCTAACGCTTTCTCAACGTCATTAAGACTAGGGGGACTTCGGGTCGATTTGCCATTCAGGATGACTGGAGATCGTGGGTAACCGAAGAGTGGCTCGTGGCCAGTTGAACTGATCCCTAAAGTGTTCTGTCCATCGATCCAGTCTCCTGGATTGAGAATAAATAATAGTCCCATCATTTTCCGAGATAGTCTCACTCACATTCGGGTTCTTAATACCAGTTTCTTTAATAAGGCGGAAAAGTTGTCTAGTGTAGCTTATCGCCGCTGCCTTTTCCATCGCTTTTGCTTTCGCCACCCACCACTGTTCACGGTCGTTACACAGACTTTTTATAAGTCTGCGCCTAAGCTGACTACGCTCTTCATCATGTTCAGAGTCAGGTGGGATGCGTTTTCGAGCATCCATCAGTTCGGTGGATGCAACTGAAATCCACGGCTTCATCCTAGCCTTATGGTCTACCTTACTAGCAGATATCACTGCTGTTTCCACAGCCTTTTTGATATCATAGCAACCTGCTTCTGGATGGGAATCACTTACATCGTTGCTTAACTCTCTAGTTGCTCCTGAAATATTTTCTTAGCTTGATTATCATTAAGTAAAACCCTAAGAGGCTTCCTTACGGTGTCTTTCCTACGTCCAGTAAGCCTCAAACAGATACGAGCTCGCACTAGAGCATGATCTGAATCCAAACATGTGCCCCAGAACGAGCGACAGTCTTCTATCGAACCCCTCCATCGGTTGCTGATGGCGATGTGATCTAGTTGAGTCCAACGTTGAGACGACTTCGGGGGTCGCCAGGTCAACAGATGCTTTTCCTTATGCCTAAAGTTAGTGTTCGCTAAGAATAGGCGGTTATCTGAGCATAGTTGCAACAGACGGTCGCCATTGTCTGTTCTCTCAGTCGCTACACCATAACATCCACCTAGATGTCTTTCCTTTTCACCTAGTCTACCTACTTGAGCATTAAAGTCAGCAGCCATTATTACTATATCAGAGCGCCTAGCTTTTTGGAGGAGGTCCGAAAGCTTTCTGTAAAACTCATCTTTAACCTCGTCTGCACTGCAGTCAGTGGGGGCATAGGCAGATATGACGAAGAGGCAACGGCGAGTGTCCCTATCCTTCCGAGTTCTTACTGTCCCGTTTAGTCGGACAGCGCACAAACGACTATCTACTGGGATCCAGTCTAAGAGAGATAATTCTGCCCTAGGACTCAACGCTATGCCTACGCCAGCAAGACCCCTGGAAGCAGCATCACGGCTACCGGATACAAGAAGAGTGAATCGGGCTGCTTCTTCGTTTTGACAAGGTGGAATCAGGTTAATGACTTTACTAGGATCCTGTATGCGCGTTTCCGAGACGCAGCATACATCGATGGCACGAGTTTCTAAAGTCCTAGCTAATGATGCCTGTTGCCCTATTTGACACAATGTCCGTACATTAAAAGCCCCAACATGTAGTCTAGAGCGGGGTTTAAGGAGACCAGGAGCGACGTTTCGTGATCTCGCTTCGTCTGCATTAGCGGTGCAGTGAGAAAAGGGAGTGTGGGTAGAGTTAGTCGTAGAGATAAGAGAGACATTAGGGGGGTGTAGGAAGGATTTGATTTTGACCAATTTGGTCTCGCGTGCTATTACAGGTATGAGGGCGGTTGTCACTTCCCGGCTGCCCACACCGTGGAAGGTTGTTTCTTGAGGGACCTGAAAAGGAAAATAGATTAGTGTTGGTGCGTGACCGCAGAGCCCAAGGGGCAACTGCTTGAGGCCGGTCACGCACGGCCTTTTTATGAAACTTTTTTTGAGGATTAGCTCCGTTCTTAAAGGCCCTTAGTGGGCACCCTTACCCAAGGAGACGGAAATCCGTGAGTTAGGGGAGGTGTGACATTTTTAGGACCGACCTTTTCTAACCCTTCCTTCCTTGTGAGAAGGCAGCATCGCTGCAGATGCTGGTTGTCCGAGGGAAACACCTTACTGCTGTCACACCCCTCTGCAGTCAGCAGTACGACTTCGCCCTCAGACCTTGGGTAGCTGCTTTTAGTCTCATCGTTCTCCAATCGACCTGCCTGGCATGGTAGGACCTGCAGAAACATATGTTCCAGCCAATATAGCTCGGTTGGGTCATGAGGATAGGCAAGCCCGACCACCACGTCAAGGTAGCAGCCACGGTTGGGTTTTTCATGTAATACTCGAATCGTGCTCTCTACTTTATTTGGAGGGACTGGATGGCACACAGACTGTAGCTCAAAGTACACGAACCTTTAAATCAGTTACAATGTCATTGGCAAGTTTTAAATCTAAATTGAAACTCTGGTGGATTTGGGAACTATGGAAGTTTAAAACAATTTATACAATACCAAAAAGTTAACTGAAATAATTATATACTTGTTATTTCTGTTTATACATATTTATCGATTTCGAAAGAATTTCAGATGATATTCTGTACGTTGTTTGTATATTTAGCAAAGACTATCTTCGTCTCTGTCGTCTGTTAGTCCGAAACCATCAACTTCATCCCGACCTCGAGTTCGAAATGGTTTAATAGGATCCAGTCTACCTAAATTATCAATTTTGGGTAATGAATCACAGTGCGAGTAAGTTTTTTAACAATCCATTTGTATATTCTGGTCATTCTAAAATTTAGCAACAATTTTAGAACTAAATATTATCTGAATGCTTCTATACCCATCAATAATTAAATTGTCTTACCTAACTATACAGGGTTACAAACCATCGGTATTTTTTGTCATTCTTATTGCGAAGCATGTTAAACCCCCATTTACACAACATTGTGACGTTACCGGTGTTTTTTTCGACGTATTCCTAGTGTTTAAAAAGTTTTTATTTCCGTGATTCATTGTATTTTCTCCTTTGAGCGGTTGGTAGTATACCTTAACGTAATGTACATGTGGGAGTTGTTTCTTATGTTAATTCGCGAGTCTGTTTGTTCTCTGACGTCAGTAATAGCGATTTCGTTGATTACTAGGTCGATAACTATTTCCATTTTCTAAGCGATCAGTTTCAATGTACAATAATCCGTTTGTTATTATTGGTATTTACTGTTAGTTGTTTATCTTATTTTATTTGGCTCTTAAATTCTTCAGTGTTATGTAGAATGGTTTTAGACTTTGGGATATTGATAAAATTTTGATTATTATGGTTATAGTCGATAGACGATGTACATTATAACGATGTTGCCAATTGATAAGCTTTTACTAGATTGAATTATTGGTACAAGTTACTGAAGCAAAAGCTATCAAACGAAAACACAACTATCAATCAGGATAAGTTTTTTCTATGCTAATATACAAATAAATAAGTATAAGAATGAAGATAGTTGAAATCCATTTGAAATATCGGTGATGAGCAGGTACTGGCTGATGACAATACTTGCCTTTGACTTCGTTTCATTTTTGTTTCTAACTGCACTATTACATGAAAAAAGATTTTCATTTATGATGCATTACTTCTGAATAAGCGTTAGATCTGAGGTAATAATTTGTGAGTTGTATTCAGATTTCGATCCCTAGGAAAGTACCTTGATAACTTCTGTGACTGAATCTACTAAATGAATGCGAATTTCTATCTATCCAGTTCGACTAACATTCGACGAATCAATTTTCATACTTGTTATCACTTTACGGAAAAGGGTTTTCAAATATTGGATGTTGTTGAAATGATGTTGCTTGTGAGCACTAAATGTGACTGAGAAGATAGTCAACATCATACGGAATTCTTATGATTGACGAAACTGCAAAATCGTGCATGGAGGACAGCTAACAGACTCGTTTGAGGGTGAAGACCGGTGTCAGGCAAGGTTCCTTCTCTCACCCTTTCTCTTTCTCCTGGTGATAAACTGGATTATGAAGACATCAACATCTGGAGGGAAGCATGGTGTACAGTGGACAGCTTGGATACAGCTAAACGATCTGGACTGTGCAGAGGACCTGGATCTTCTGTCTCACACGCAAGAACAAACGCAAGAAAAGACGACCAGTATAAGAGCGGCAGGTCTCAACATAGACAAAAGGATAAGCAAGATCCTCCGATACAACACAACATACGCCAACCAAATCACACTTGACGGAGCCTTTACATATCTGGGGAGCATCATTGACAATGAAGGTGGATCCGATGCAGATGTGAAGGTGCGGATCGGCAAAGTAAGGACAGCATTTCTACAATTGAAGAATATCTGGAACTCTAAACAGCTGTCAACCATCACCGAAATCAGAATTTCCAATAGAAATGTCAAGACAATTCTACTCTATGGAGCGGAAAGTTGGAGAACTACATAAGCCATCATCCAAGAGATACAAGTATTTATTAACAGTTGTCTCTGCAAAATACTTCGGATCTGTTGGCCAGACAGCATCAGCAACAACCTACTGTGAGAGAGAACAAACCTTGTGCGGACCAAGAAATCAGGAAGAAGCGCTGAAAGTTAATAGGGCACACATCAAGGAAAGCACCGAACTGCATCACAAAACAAGCCCTCAAGGTCTAAGGAGAAGAGGGAGGCCAAGGAACACATTACGCAGAGAAACGGAGACAAACATGTGAAAAATGAATAACCATCGGACAGAACACGAAAGGAAACCGCAGGACAGAATAGGTTGGCGAATGCTGGTCGGCGGCCTATGCTCCATTGGGAGTAACAGGCGTAAGTAAGTAAATTGATATAACTTAATAGCTACCCAAAAGATTGAATTACTGATGAAAGTTTCTGACATTCCTTTTCAATCACAACTTTTACACCATACTTTCCCAACCCAACTTTGGGCTTTAATACTGGCTTTCAAATCCCATGGTAAGACCTAAAATTCATGGACTCAACTAGAAGATCTTCAATCAAATTCATTGCCTTGTGTCAGGTTTTATTTTAGGAATTTCAGCATTTCGAATTCACGATCCTTAATTATTATCGCCAGCTAATATTTAAAGAGTATGGAGTCGTTAACTAACTTTAACTTCTTTTACTGGACTCCCAGAATTATTTCAATTAAATTCTAGTCTTTCTACTCAATCAGGCTGTTTGCTAAGCCTAAAGGAATTAAGAACAAAATGAGTCAAATCTAAAATCAACTTACGTTTTTGTGAAGGTATAAAGGGTAATACCCTGGTAACCTTTAATTTCTATTGACACATGTCTCATAGGTTTCACTACCTCTCAGCTATTTGAATTACCGAAATTAAAAGCCTGAATTGTATCCATCCTGTTCCATATGTCTGACTCTTTTTACCATCATAAGCTTGTTAGAATCTAAGTATCGCTCTATTCATAATTCTTCTCATTTTACTAGTGCCATTATCGTTCAGTCTTAGTTCTCTATTCACTGGTGTACCTCAGATATGAACTTTATTCCATGATTCCTGTAGTATAGATAGTTGTTTGCAATTTAGTTATCCGAAGGAACTTTTGTAACGTTGCATTGTTAAAAGTCAATCTGGTTTTAATATAAATGAAAGAATGAATCACAATAAGATAATCCTTTTCCCCGATTCTGTTGGAACATTTTTATGATTGGAAGAAAATAGTAATTCAGCGAAGAAAAATTCCTTTTCGACAATACAGTTGTATTTATCGTTGATCTTATTTTCTAAAATAGTGGTTTGAAGTAAAATAGAGTAATGTTGTCTAATTCAAAATAAACTTAAAGTAGTGTCATATCATGAATCGTTGAAAAATTAGATGCTAAGCCCTTTGGACAGAATCAACGAATGTCTATCAGTTTACTTACTTAAATGGGACCGGTTATTCTGGCCGCTCAAATCGAGGTCTTTCTAAACGCATCTCTTAACAATACTCTGCCTGGATACAGAAATCAATTAAAAGCCCGACCCTGGAGCATGTAGTCAACTCACGAGAAGCCTCCCTCAGAAGGATTGGCTCAATGGGAGTGCTGATGAAAATCTAATGTACAGCAGAGACTATTGGTATCTTTCAGTTAAAGTCTAACCTTTGAATACAAAAACGGTAACTTCAAGCTCCCATTCTTCCTTGCTCTTAACCTTACTTTCTATAGTTTTTAGGACACTTATTTATTATTTCTACTCCTTTCCTTTTATTTTCACAACTAATAATTAATCATTATTACAACTTTTAATTTTTCTGTTTTTAATAGCTATCAAATGGATAATTATCTTCAACTTAGCACTTTTCACTAACCGATTATTACATAGCTTTCATAATATGACACCGTTTACAGTTTATTTTCAATTATCTAACACTATTCCATTTTACTTTAGACTACTATTTCAGCAAATAAGATTAACTATAAATACGATTGCACAGCTCTAGTAAATGACGTTGTCGAAAAGAAATTTTTCTTCGCTGAATTGCCTTATTTGTTCTTCTGTGACACAATGGGTTTCTTCGTTATTTGAAAACATGTAAGGAATGTTTTATATCTGAACTTGAGAGTAGAGAATTTATTCGGTTGTTGGAATGTTTCATAAAAGATGTTTAGACAACATATTTGTCGGCATTTGTTTGTTACCTGTCATCCAGGTACCTAATTGACGATAGGAATTAGAATACGTTTCCTCTATGTCATTCCTTGATATGATTTTTACGAAGCGGGTTGGTTTTTAAAATGATTATTCTTAAAACAATTAACATGAAACGAGCAGCTAGCTAATTTTAAAGATGAGTTCTACAAATTAATGTTTGTAGTCAAGGTGTTATTCAGTCATAGGGAACTTGAAGCTTAGCACAAATGTGCATCACTGCAAGTTGCTACACCACATCGACTCAGGTAAATAAAATTAACAAAATCCATGGTGAACGTGTCTCAGTTTGGGCATCCAGTTCACACAAATTCGATTCCTATCGACATTTGGGTGCCCTCTTGTACCAATTTTTATGTGTTAAAGTAAGTGAACGTTGGAAGAATAGTGGTAGTTTCATTGGCCGCGAATACAGTAAGCCAAAACCTGGTTCCCCAAGAAACCAGTGACTGGGAATGTCTGTTACGTTCATTTCATTAATAGAAACAAATGGCATTCAAAATAAGGAATGCAGGAATTTTCCCTTTATCGAAAATATTTTCGTTTGAATCTGAAATTCAGGTGTAACCCAGGGTCTTCTGTGGAGTAATTACAAAGACAGTTTGTGCAGCTGAACTTTGCAAGCCGAGAATTGTCTATTTGTATTCTCGGAAGGTAAAGCTGCTCTGCAAACTTCTGTACCTATATACCAGTTCTCTTACTTCTATCAAGATAGGTACGTTGACCGTAGCTAGTGTTCGCTTTCGACACCGACCCGAAAAGACGTTTCCCCCTGTTTCTTCAATTGTGAAAGAAAAGCTATCAGTCTTTGAAAACTTGATTGACCTGATCGATTGCCCAGCACTATTTGAAGGTTCTTTGTAGGATTCCGAGTAACCCGTATATTTATTGGTTTTGGGTTCCTTAAAATATCAGTTTTGGTTGTCCATGACGTAAAACCAGAACTCTGCAATTAAATGTTCAATCTGTACCCGTACATTGAACTTCATCTGCTTTCAGCAGCATCTACTAAATATTTATTTTAATTTGTATTTTATGTACTTCTGTTTTTGAAAGATCTTTTTCCTTCCTTTGGTTATATTTTGTGTTTTCTTGATTTTTTTTATCATTGGTAGTTTTCTTCCGATTATTATTCCACGTAATCATCCTACTATATTTATCCCTAATTATAAAGATATCTTGATTGATCTACTCTCGTCACTTTATAATGCATTTCCAATTTATTAGTTTGACAGCTCTTTATTGGGGAACCTATAAAGCTTCTAATCTGTCTGACGGTTGGTTTTAGTGAGATTGGCCTTCAAAAATGCAATTCCACTGCAGTGCAGTTTACATTGATTAGATTCGTCAACATAATCTAGTTGTAACTTCCTACACTTTATACTATATTATGCCTGTGTATCTATAATCTGTAGACGAGCTGAATAAAAAGTAACTTTATTCATTCAAGACTTCATAGTTGGCACCACATGAAAAGATTAAGTGCGTTGTTCTGTAAAGTTTCAAGCTTAAAACCAGTCAAAATGATGCATTTATGCATTTACTGCTTACTACTTTCTCTTTACTTACCCATAATATCCTGTGTCTGAAAAAAAGTATCAAATAACTTTTATCTAATGTGAGTTTCAGTTTAATCAATTAAAAGCTTGTGAAGTATTTCTTCAAATATGTAAACAGCAACAAAACACACCTCAAGATTTTAATGGGAATCTGTAACAAAGTCATATAGTTAGTTTATTGAACTACTGAAATCGATTTAAATTATTTTACATTATTATTACCATAAAAGTTTAACATAGCATTAACAGGTATCACCTTTCAGCTTATTTATCTACACTTAGAAAATTGCTATTTTATACTTTTTAGTTTTAGACTTTTAGTCGATGAAGAGGATGATAAAGAATCAATTAAACCTCTTTTGCCTACCATTACTACTAGTTCCATGTAAGTTTAAATTGTATAAAAGCCCACACTTATATGGTATTTAAAATTAAATTCATGTATTTAGTTGCATTTTATTCACTCACTGTCAAGTTAATGCGATAATTCATTATTTAAACAGTTGAAAATTTCATCGCAACTAGTTAATAAGTGTTAATAAGGATTTTCCTGGAATGAGAATTCTATATAAAATTACGAGTATCAGTGACTCGGTTACATAAAGGATTATCCTTTAAGATTTCGTTGTATGTATTACAACGTTATTCAATTATCATTGATGTCACTGAAAAATTTCTGTCGATTGTGGTTTTATCTTGACAAATTTCGATAAGTGTACGTAAATAGCTACATTTCGTCGCACCGCTATTTTATTTTTTCTAGAATTAGTTTATCTACATAACTGATTTAACATACAGAAATCAAAATCAGAATTTTTTCTACATATTATGTATTCAAATATCTTAACAGTATTTGTAATCAAGAGTCTTTAAAAGTAATAAAGTAAATTATTAAATCTACCTTTTAATGTACGTGAATATGCCACTAACTACGTGAGTTTGTTAAACATTTTTCTTTTTTAACTTCAGTTCAAACAATTCTATTCCTCAACCGAATCCTCGATCATCTACCTATCTTAGTGACATAGAAGCTGGACAGGCATCGTTGTTTCACTTTTCCACTCGCCATATGCATGTAAATCCGGATCATTCTATGTCTCCTATTCCGATAGCTAATAACTCATCCGTTTCCACAAATAAGGTTGTTAATACAACTAACGCAGTAAGTTCTAAATGCTCCTCTGTATCTACAGTGAATTCCATCTCCTCTCCTTCTGCATCAGATTGCATATCATCCATATCCAATTCTCCTATATTTGTAAATTCAACTACAAACTCTCAGACCAAGCATTTTAACAATACAACTGCAAAATGTTCTGTTATCAGTGACCCAGTTCCATCAACATCTCACAATTATCCAAGTGAAATTAGTTCTTCACATCGTGATTGGAGCACTGAATCCCTGCAAAGGGTAAAGTCCACCTTGAAACACCATTTAAAGGCATATGTATTTTCTCATAGGATAGATAAAGAAACCTGTCGAGATATTTTTCAACGTTCCTTGAGCAAGGTAATCATATTTTTATTTTATTTTCGTAAACGTCTGAACTTCCCTGTTTGCATAATACTTTCATTTCAATCAGATCAACATGATTTGCATGATGCCTTATTTTAATATTCAAAAATCTTTTTACATGTTATAGAAAATATTTACATTATGTAGTTTTTCAGTGTAATTCAGTAACTTCAGAAAAAAACTAATCGATGTAAAGATTATCACTAGAATTGGATTCCTTGGAATTAATTCGTTTATTTAAGTGATAAATAATAATAATAATAACTACACTTTTTCCATATAAATGGGGATGCAATTAGTGAATACGTTTAAGCTATCATTTGTGTGCACTATTCGTTTGTGGTTGTGATCTACGCAATATCAAAATTTATTTTTAATGAACGCTATAGGAATTTGCTAAATTTCTCGACACTCGTAATTATTGGTGTATTGGGGTTTTTCGGACCATGTTAGCAATTCTTTTGAAGATGGAAATTTCTGCAGTGTTTAAAATTAGATCACAGTCATTTTAACTGATGTTAATAACATCATTTATTTAACATTATTTTTATAGTTATACCTTAAGATTTTTACTTGTTTTTTCTACTTTATTTACCTACAGATTATCAACAAACCATCGCATAAGGTTACGGATGAACGTATCGCAAAGTTGGTTGATGATTATGTTCAGTATTGTTTGAGACATAAAACATGAATGTTAGTGTTTTTATCAATGTATTATCCCTGTAAAGCTTACCTATTGTTCACTTTTTAGATTTTTTTTGTCTTTTTGTTTGTATGCATCAAATATTATGAAATTTATTGAAATTTTCGTTACGTGGTTTTGATTGTTCTTAGTATTAAGGCGGTGTTTGGTTTACATTATTTATAGAGAACAGTACGTGTGATATAATCATTTAAGGACTTGTTCGCATCCTGCAACGCAGCGCTCACAAATCTTTTTAATTAACAGTGCCAACAGTTACGTTGCTTAGGCTAAATAAAATTAATGATTTTGCAGCTTATAAGTTTATGTCATGTTTCCTATTCATAACGGATGTATTTAATAACTAATATACAGAAATAAACAAGAATTTTATGCCTATTAAGTATGTTGCAAAGGTCGAGTTAAAAATAGTTGGTAATTTCACGATACTCCTTTCATTCCCACATCAATTTATCTAGTTATTGTTTGTTAAGTAGTATTTAGATAAGCGACGCATCTGATCATCAGTCTATATTCACTTTCTCAGTCAAACAATTATTATTCTTTGCATACAGATATTGATCTGTGAAACAAACTATCGTTTCAGTTACTTTACTCACGGTGTAAATTTTTTAAATCGTTTCAATAATCAAAAAGCTTAAGTCCTTAGCAAAACTAGTTTGGATTAGATGCGTCACGGAGTGAGGTTCACTTGTGGGTCATTGGTTATAAATTGTGTCTTTTAAATTAGAGAAGCAGGTTTTTCAGTTGATTTTGATGTCAATCTGAATTGGTGTTTCAAAATTACGCGTTCACTAAACGTGTCATCGATATAATTGTGTACAGTAACCAGTGGAATTCCGATGCCTAATCTGACAGTTTTAAGAGGCACTTTGCTGACGGCACTCGATCACGCATCATGGTCATACTCGGATGCTATTCATTTTAGACCTTTCTCGTGGTATTCAAAATAGTAGTTTCGAAGTTCAACCCTCTTAGTCGGAAGATATTATTTCCACCAACCATCACCGTACTCGTTTATGTTTGAGATATTCTATTCTAAGCAGTCAGATTTGGAGATTGTCACATCTTATCGTATTTAAAGTACTTAACCAAAGCTATGAATTTAAAGGGTTTAAATTTGAACCAAACTGACAAAATGTGGGTAACAGATCCATTAATTTGCTGATGCTAGAAATTCAAAAATCACTTATCGATCCTTGTCCATTTATAAAACCAGTCGTTAGAAAATAAAACCTGTATTTCCTCCAACCAGCTAACATTGCTTTGAACAGTTGTTAGTTTGGTAGCTCTATATACTTGTTTCAATACTAAACAACATAGTTTCGTGGAAACAGCTGTCGACAACCCTGAAATAGGAAAGTGCAGTAACCTACAAGCGAACAATGTGCTGAGTGAAGAGAGATGAAGCTCAACAAAGAGATTGTTAAATATGAAAAACTTCATCAAAATCCGTGAGAACATGCTGAAACTCATCAGCATTGTTAAGTTCGTGCTATTAATCCCTCCTGCATGGCCACTCCAAGTGCTACTGAGGTTAGCAAATATTCTTGTGTATATGAGTGAACTTTCGTTAGCAACGATTACCTTTAAATATGCTCAGCTCTTGTAAGAAAATCAGTCTACTTCTAAGATTTTCTCACCATTCAGTATAGTAATCGTTCCTAATTTAACTATATGGCCCCAAAGGATGTCTGGAAACATACGCCCTTCTAGATAATGGTTCAGACACCTCTATTGTATGCGAAGATTTAATTAATCGGTTAAGTCTCAAAGGTAAGGAGACTTCAATAAAGGTGACGACTGTGAATGGAACTTCTACTTGTGAATGTCTGGAAGTAAATTTAGAGGTATTTTCATTAGATGAACGGGGTTCTATAAAGATCAACAAGGCCTATACGACCAAGAAACTTCCGATCGATTATGCAGAACCTTTAACCGAACTCCAGCTGAGAAGGTGGAAACATTTAAAGGACATAACCCTACCGAGGTTGCAAAGTAATCTTGTAGGAATATTGATTGTGTGTGATGCTCCAGATGCACATTGGGTCCTTGAACAACGCCTGGGAGACAGGAAGCATCCGTTTGGTGCGCGTACTCATCTGGGTTGGATGATTTTAGCTCCTAAAGAAGTATCGAAGTCTTTACATGAAGTTCAGTGGTGTCATTGTTCTACTAATGATTATATAATCATGAGTTCGAGGATGCAGATGGGTATCGTAATGGATATTCTGTCGAAGATAAAAGAGCTCTAGAAATAGTTAATAGTTCCTTTAGACTGGAGGGTGGCCATTTCCAAGTTGGTCTACCCTGGAAGTATGATTAGCCAAGGCTACCGAACAATTTGGAACTAGCTGAACGTAGACTAGAGTGTTTAAGGAAGAGGTTTATGAAGGATAATACTCTTCTGGAGAAATATCAACTTGTAATGAATAAACATTTAAGTAAGGGCTACATCATTGAAGCTAGTAAGGAGGAATTCGACCGTAATGCTGTTTGTTGGTATATTCCTCATCATCCTGTTATAAACCCTAAAATGCCTGGAAAATTAAGAATTAGTTTTGATTGTGCAGCTGTCTATCAAGGTTGTTCTCTTAACGATCAGCTTTTGAGAGGTCCAAATACTGTAAATAGTTTAATTGGTATACTTCTACGATTCAGATTATGCAACGTAGCATTAGCCGCTGACATCTAGGAGATGTTTCTTCAAGTAAAGATCCCGAGACGAGATAGGGGAGCGTTTCGACTATTATGGTGGGAAGACGGTGATATAGGACGAAAGTCAAAGGAATACTGTTTGACAGTTCATCTGTTTGGAGCCGTGTCCTCTCCTTTTTGCGCTGATTTCGCTCTGAGGAAGATGGTAGATATATTCGGATAGGAACTGAATAAAGATGTCCAGGAAGTTGTAGATAAGAGTTTTTATGTCGACGACTATTTAACTTCAATTGATAATGTGCAGGATGCAATCGAGCTTGCAAAAAACCTTGGTTTACTCCTCAGAAAAGGTGGGTTCAGACTTACCAAGTGGGTAAGTAACTGTTTACAGGTTCTCGAATCAATTTATCCAAAAGAGAGAGCAGAAGCCGTAAAAGAGATTGACTATGAGAGACCTCCTACGGAACGCACGTTAGGATTATTTTGGAATACTATGGTTGATGCGTTTGAACTTAAAGTTTGCATACCGAAATGCTTTCTCACTAGGCGAGGTATATTGTCGAGTGTAGCTTCATTATACGACCCCTTGGGATTTTTATCACCATTCATACTTCCTATGAAGCAGTTACTTCAACGTTTAGGTGAATCGGGACTAGGATGGGTCGAAGAGATTTCAAGTGAGGAAAGCAAACGCTGGTTAGAGATTTTAAGCGAATTTCAGAGGGTTGAGAACGTTAGTTTTCCACGCTGTGTATTGTTTCCACAATCAGATCGCTCGCTCCGGGAACTTCATATTTTCTGTGACACCGCGGAAACTGGATATGGGGCAGTGACATACGTCCGCTCTCACATCCATGACACTGAAATATGTTCTCGTCTTATTACGGCTAAGGCAAGAGTAACCGCGTTAAGATCTTCGAACTATACCCCGCTTGGAACTTACGGCAGCAGTGTTAGCAGCGCGTATGGGGTCCTAGCTGCAGTCCGAGTTAGATATTAAGTTTGCAGAAGTTATGTTTTGGACGGATTCCATGATTGTCTTACACTATATTAGAAATGGGAAAAGCCAGTTTAAAACATTCATAGCAAACCGGATTTCGACTATCCACAGTCTTACAAAGGTGGACCAATGGAGATTCGTACCTTCCAAGGAAAACATAGCAGACTTTGCATCCAGAGGAACCAAGTTCAACATTGATGATGTCAAGGTATGGGAGGAGGGACCACATTTTTTGAAGAAGTCAAAGGAGTTTTGGCCTGATGCGGATGTACAAGGTCCTGAACCCCATCTATTGGAACTAAAGAAGGTAATTTCCACGCATGTAATATTTGGAGAATCCACTGTTGATGTACTTATTAATTATTATTCAGATTGGACTAGATTACTTAAGGCTGTTGCATGGTTGATCCGATTTAAGCGATATTTATTATTAATGTATACTGGCAGAAATGATCTGTCTCTACAAGTGGGTATGCTCAGCGTTGATGAGCTAGATTTAGCTTGTTTAGATTTAATGCGATATGTCCAAAGCATAGTATTTCGGAAAGAGATTGAAATGTTGTCGTCTGATACCATTAGCAAAGTGAAAATAACAAATTCACCCTTACGAACCTTAAATCCAATAATTATAGACGGATTATTGTGTATCGGTGGCCGACTTCAGATTAGTTCCTGGTCCGAGTCGAGGAAGCACCCTATAATATTACCATCGAAGCATACAATTACAGATTTGATTCTACGGTATTACCATGTTTTGGAGGGACATATCGGAGCTACACAGGTAATGGCAACGGTCCGAGAAAGATTTTGGGTGCTGAGTGGTGGTGTATCCATGAGGAGTGTGATAAAGGATTGTGTTTATTGTAAAAGGAGGAACGCCCATCCCATTCAACAAATAATAGCACCATTACCTGCGATCAGGATAGGTGGTGACTACCCGTTCTTATCAGTTGGGGTAGATTATTAAACATGGTAGAAATACTGAGAAACGGTATGGTTGTGTATTCACTTGTTTAAAGTTGAGAGCTGTGCATCTGGAGGTGGCATATAGTTTTGCCACCGACTCATTTATCATGGCTGAAGATGTTATCAAAAAGAGATTTATAGTGATAATGGATCAAATTTGGTGGGAGCTGAACGTGAATTAAGAAAATGTCTTCAAGGTTGGGTACAGGAGCGTATACACTCTGATTTACTAAGAAAGGGAATTGACTGGCATTTTAATCCTCCAGCCGCTAGTCATTGGGGAGGAGTGTGGGAGCGCATGATTCTCTCTGTACGTAGGGTATTGGGTGCTCTTGTAAAGGAACAAATTTTAACAGATGAATGCCTTGAAACTTTTATGATAGAGGCGGAGCGTATTATAAACAATCGACCTTCGGTTCCCGTTACAGACGACACGAAGGATCTTGATGCAATAACACCAGAAAAACTATTACTATTGAGAGAGAATGTTGCGAAATTCACTGACACTCTATCTAATGACAGGTATTCTAAGAGATGGAAGCAAGCGAGTTACTGTGCGCAAGTATTTTGGAAACGTTGGTCTAAGGAACATGTTTCGCTGTTGCAGCGTAGATACAAATGGACATAAGTAGAGAGGAACATACGAGAAGGTGACTTAGTAATGATATGTTCTGACTTCTCTGAGAAAAACAAGTGGCCGTTAGATCTAGTACAGAGAGTGATACCAAGTAAAGATAGACTAGTGAGACAGGTAGAACTGAGGACGAGAAAGGGGATCCTAGTGAGAGATATACGTAAACTGTGTCTTCTTGAAGTGGTAGATGGTAGGTAGCTACTCGAATCCCTAGGCGTACTGGTGTAAGTCATAAGGATCACGAGATTGTCGGCATAATGAGTGTTTGTTGTTGATTGCTTGTGATGCACATACTTGGATTGTTGTTACCTATTTTTGTCGGTGAAAAGAAACAAGGTTCTTTTGATCGGGAGTGTTACGGGAGAAATGAAGACATTTGGGTGATCAAAACCTTTATATAAATATCATTAATTTCACTGTGTTTTTTGGGTATATTTGTTTTACTTAACTTATGAACTTGTTTGAATTATTATTTTCGGCCATTTTGGACTCCCGTTTCTCTTGGTTGTTCGTTTTCAGTTTTTTGCTCCAAGAACCTATAAAATAGAAGGTAATTGTAGTTATTATAATTAATGTTGTTAGAACGACATTTTGGTCAAGTATTTGTGAATTGAGAACAGACTTTGGTACCTAACTTTGGAGTTTGGTTCTGTTGTTAATTTGGGTTCGTGAATTGCAAATAGATCGACATACTGTACTTCAGTGACGAGAGGGAGCAAAACTTGGCCGTAACAGTATGGCATTCTCACAGTTTGATGGACAAATTGTCGGGATTCTGGAGTTTCCCAGACCTGAAGCACATTTAGTTGGGCTGCTTATTAAATAATGAGACTGTCTACACTATTTCTTTTAACACTCGCTGTCGTTGTAATTTTTCTGGCATGTCATCCACTGGGATGTGAATTGGATGCTTGATTTACCATATTCGGATTACCGCCTCACTAGGGACAGCCCAAATAGATCTTAAGTTATTTTCGCGGAAGATATATCACAATGCAAGGTACCTCAAATAATACGGACCTTGTAGAATAGTTTACATAATTCAAGAGTTGTAGTTCATAAACCGGCTCTTGTAGCTTAGGTATATATCGACTCAACAGTGTCATGGGATAGGTAATCGATAACGATGAACGGAATAGTGTTCCTAATGGAACATAATGCTCATCTTTCTCTACGCTTTTAGGTTCTGTCGGCTGTAGCTTTTGCGGAGCTTTCAAAAAAAGTATCATGCAGTATAATAACTGCATTGGCCGAGTTTCTGTAACTGCTGTTACGTACAGCTTGGTAGAATCGATCTGTTTACTGAACTCTGGTTACTTATTCAGTAATTTCTACGCATTTTTGTAACAGACCAAAAGACCATTCGAATGTTTCTGTGTTGCACCAAAACTGGAACCAGCGTCATTCTATGTCGAAGCCTCACCCCCAAAAAATTTAAGACTCTGAAATCTTTCCCGCCAGCATCTTACGTCAGTTCAAGTATTTTCAGCTCCTCTTTTTTTATACGGACTCTAACAAGAAGTCTTCACGGATAATAACTCCTGATCTTTTCAGATTATGCCCATTCTCTAGTACGAGGTTCCCTACAATTGGAATTATAACCATCGCTTTCAGCCAACGTGATTAATTTTTTCGCCAGCCAAAACCATAAAACTTTATTAAGGTGGCTCTAAAAACATCGAGCTTAGCGCAACCATTATTAACAAGGTCAGGGAGAAATACACCACCTATGGCTACTTCAGTGGTTGTGACTAACATTAGATGGCCTCTGAGGAAATGTGAGTAATATTTTTCAGAATCATAACTTACAGAGTGTTCCACATGCAAATCACGAAACTGGGAATATAAGGTCAGGGTTTAACAAGCGTAAGCAAAAACAGGAGCATTACCTTTGTTAAGAGTCCCTGAAAAGCATCTACACCGCATTTCTTATCTGCTACTGAGAATCGAATTCAGCGCCAAAGTTCGGGGCGATAGACGACACTCCTATGTAACGCTAACACTTTTCAGATCAAGAATACCCAAAGTCAAGCCTAATCAGGTGGCAGAAATAAAGATAGACAAGTGTATTTTTTCGAATGATGGTTGGGATATAGAGTAGTGAGTGAAATTTTCTTGCTACTTGATGAGAAGATACGTGTTGCAAGGTGTACCTCGCAACGATCTGGTGCATACATGTGACCGAGCGTCTCCAGCTCGGGTGCATTCACTAAAACCAACACAGTCAGCACCACAGTCAAAGATAAACAGATTTATTTTTCCTTAGGACTCAGAGGCCGTTACGTTATTTGATAGCGCCTTACAACATATTAAGTACCATATGTTATCCTAAAGCAAATATCCTACCAGTACATTACCACTACGTGCCTCAGACTGATGCCCGAAAATCTCACATAAAGAAGCAAACACCTGGGTACGTACCCACTTCTAGCCTCTATATGGATTTCACTGCCAGACAAAGTGACCACAAGTCCACCAGTCGATGACTTTCAGAAGAAACTTCATAAGCACAGACCCACATACAAATTGCAATCTCCCTCTTTGACCAACTGTGCCCAATGCACGTTTTAAAATACATTTTCTGCTATCATTACCACCACTTTATAACACTTACTTGTTCCATCTTGTTTATTATTATTTCTGTATCTTCCGTTATCCTCCCACATTTCGTACACTACCAGTCTAGTGGCAAGAGTACTACACATTAAAATATTACCAAACACGAGACGAAACGACAAGAACAATGTGCAAAGAAAATAAACCATTGGTAACAGCCGTTGAAAAGATACTGGATAACCGCACAATTAGACAATGACGTTACACAAGGTTATGAGTCCAAGTGGATGGTTAGAAATTTTTAATTAGTTGTCTCAGTCTTTAGTTCTAGTATTATCAGGAACAAGATTAATGAAAGAACCTAAACTGTTTTTAGCGGATGAGTAGTTTGTCTGTTGGTAGACAGATAAGATAAAAATGTAACACCATGGTGGTTGACAAGGTCAACAATGAAGTCTGCTCAATGAGTCTCGAGAATTCAAATCACAGATTCCATAGACGGATTTCTTACTAGATTATATTACATTTCCAACGTGACCACTGATAATTACATCAAAAAACTAACCACCTACGGAGGGTCTACTGTGTTGTTGCATAGAAGTCGCCTGCAAATAAGTATCACTGGGTCTACATATTCCGAACTTTTAGCTCACAACCTGCTGAAATCTCACCTACGCCAACTCTGCTGCGCAGAATCTGGCAACAGTTCGGGGCTTGTGTACAGAGAACAGGAGGCCTAAAGCATATTGTCCTCATATAGTAAGTTTCTGAGAGTATCTAATCTCCCCTCAAGCGAATCTATCGATAGTCCTGACGCCAGTTTTTTAAATAACAGGCCCAAAAAGCTAGTTATTATTGACTAATAACATTGTAATCAGTTATTTGTTTATTTCCCACTTATGTTAATTCCCCGTGCACCCTATTGTCAGAAGCACTTTTTGCATCGTGAATTCTATTCCCCTGTTTCGGCTGATAGTTAACTTGTTATATAAATTGAAAAACTCAAGAAATAGGTACTAACGACTATTCCCCACTAGCCGCTTTTTTCGACACTGTTAAGCAATTATCTGCAGCATATTTGACTCACTAAGATCCTCACCTGAAATACAAATATGTTCATACTCCACTCCGCAACGAAATTCAGTTCATTGGCCCATCAAGCTCCTTCGAATCACTCTCAGTCCATAGTCATGTACGTGTTATAATCTTCACTTCTCCACAATTTTGTATTTGGCAACTATGAAGCTATTTATCTGATCATCTTATATTTAACAGTTATAATTTTAATCTCCCACTATCACGTCCTCTCACTACTTTTACCGTTGTATCTAAGCGATTACCGCTTTCCGTTAATGCATTCTCCCGATTACTCAATAATTTCGCTGGTTTCAATCATCGTCCCTATTTGAAGGTAGCTAAAGCTAGACGCCATTGTAGAAACCAGATTGTAGCGAGCTTTTATTTGATATAGTAAGATGAGCAGTAAAGATTGATGTATTTGGAAGCTTAAAAAAAAACAAATGTAGCTTTAGCTGATGAGATACAGACGTTTACTGTCATCAGAAAATACATATAAGTGTTCTGCACTTACCACCAAGGCTGAAACGTTTATTGGTTGTAACATGCATGTTTTCTTACGTGTATATAAATTGGCGATTTTCTAAATAGCTGTCTTATTGTTTCAGATGTCCTTATAACACTAAATCCTTCAATGAACTTGGTTAAAACCCTCAAATTATTTACAATCAGATCAAAGATCTCGCATTACCTAATTAAAGAGAATGTGATTGCGAAGACTAAAGTGTCCCGATTTTCAAGCAAATCCGGATCAATTTCAAATTCTGTCAAGACTACTGCGCGATCAAAACCATCACCTCTTGTTGGTAAACATGCACCACTAACTCTTACAAAGTCAGCTGTGGCTCGAGCTCAAGAGCTTCTGCGAAGAAATCCAAAGGCCACAGGTTTACGCATTGGAGTTAGAACCCGTGGATGCAATGGTTTGTCATACACCTTAGACTTTTGTTTTGAAGGACGCCAACCTGGAGATGAAGTTGTAGAACAAGATGATATTCGCATTTTCATTGATCGCCGAGCCCAGTTGACATTACTAGGTACTGAAATGGACTATCAACAAGACGTACTATCAAGTCAGTTTGTTTTCAACAACCCTAACGTCAAAGGTACGTGTGGATGCGGAGAAAGCTTTAGTGTATAGATTCAAATGCTATTTGTTACCTAGCATCCGTGTGTACTTTCAGATATGTATTACATTTAAAACTTTATTTCTGAGTATCCGTTTTCATTTGACGAATGTTTTTGTATTCTACAGTATGGAATTCATGATACGGCTCATAAGAATATCTTGACTGCCATTTTGTAGATAATTACATATTTATCAGAGGTTCAATAATTTTATGAGTATTTCAGTACTTTTTTGTGGAGTAGTAATTTATTGTTTATAGCACTAAGTTGATAATCCTAACTTCGCACCAACTACCTGGGTTTACACAAGCAAGTAGCATGACTATCACACCAAGAGTTCGATGCAGGGCCAGTTTCTGAGTCTTATATTTTTAATTTTGATAGTTATTAATTACTTCCTTCACTCATTTGATAGTTACAACTTGTCTACCACTTAATTAAAAAGTCTCCTTATTTCAACCATGAAAACATACCTAAGGAAATATTTCAGACTTCTATAGATGATCAGCTTGCTTAACTCGATTTTTATAATGAAGTATCGGCATCTGATAATAATGAGTGAAGCAGTTGAGCGTGTTGACCGCTTCGCTTATCTCGCGAGTCTCACTAGTGCTGATGGCCTGGCGATTGACGATATCTCAGCAAGGATACACAATGCTTGATTAGCTCTTGCCAACCTGCGTCATTTTTGGAGTAGACGAGATATCTGTTTGCTAACCAAAAGACGAGTTTATTGTGCAGCAGTTCGCTCCGTCCTACTTTGTGGCTGCGAATCATGGCCGGTAAGAGTTAAGGACATTCGTAGGTTATTAGTATACGATTATAGATGTCTTCGAAGCATTGCTCGTATATCCTAGGACAACCGAGCAAGCAATGCAATTATCAGGAAACGAGTACTAGGTAAGGATGGCAGATCAATAGATGAAGTGTTGAAACCTCATCAGTTGTGGTCAAGATGTGTTACGAATGCCCAACCACCGACTGCCTCTACGAGCTATGTTTTGTGGTGTAGGAGTAGGTGGAAAGGAAGCTAGGTGCGGCCAAACCAAAACATGGCATAAATCCATGAAGTCACCGCCAAGTGGATTGGGTCATGTTGATAGGTGCAGGCTACCTGGATGGGGTCCGCGAGACGAAATTTACCAATGGTTAGAGACCTTGAACGACATGGCTCAAAATCGTTTGCAATGGCGCAGGTGCATCCACACTTTGTGTTTTGTCAAACTGTAACCTTCGGACTTCCTCATCACCTACCTTTATCTCTTTCTGCTAAGTTTATTTCACTAGATTCTACTTCTTGAATAATATTGTCGAACCCTAAAATTTCCGATTACTTCTAATACTTCTACTATCTTTACTACGGTGGAATTGAAGTGACAATTGCATCTCTGTGCTAATGTGGTATGGCGACTTGAAAATATGTACGTAGCTGTATGTTGTTGTTGACTGAGTGACGAGTTACACACGAATAAGACCTGTCGATTGGACACAAGCTATAACTTCCTTAATGGCTTCAAACGTTCTCATTTAGAAGCTTGGAATTTATATCAAGAGATATTTTTATTTCTGCCGTGTTTACTACGAAACTTGGTTGTATCTGTTTATATTACTGATAAAACGTCTATACGTCAGGTTTTAATTATTGATGCCTATTTATATTTATCTATAAGCGAACGAGCACTTTTCGTATATTAAATATGCACCTTCGAGCACTCAAAGTAAGACATTATTCAAAGTAGACAGCCAACAGCGTTAAGTTATTCAGAAATAAGGTTGAAGTGTGCTCATACTCAACTTGTTGTGACTTAGGGTTTTTTCACCCTATTATATCGGTTTTGCATTTTATTCATATTCATATACTTGTTAAAATACTCAGCATAAAAAGCTGGTAGTCGCTGATGAAATTAGATACGTATGACTTGGCGTTGTATTTGACAGCAACGCGGATTTGTAGTGTGAAGAGTTTAACGAAATAGTTAATTGCACTTTTATTCAGTAAGATAGTTTACTTACCAAGATAAGCAAAGTCTCATAACTTTTAATAAGAATTATCTACGTAACACATCTACCAAAATGATTATTGCATAACGCCCAACAAACATGATAAAAACCCAGTAAATTGTGGTATCGCCCGGAAAATGCCTGACTTTTTAGAATTATTATAAGGACTTTTGTCTAAATTTGAGCGAATAGTTTCACAGTAGTTTGGCACCGAGTTAACGTAAGACATTAAAGAGGGAAATTATATTTTTAGGTCTAAGCAATTGAAATAAAAAACCTCGAGGTTACATTTATAAAAAGAAAAATGCATGTCTACCCGGCAGAAAATTAAAAAAAGATTGAAATAAGTGACGAGACGAAGCCCTCAAGCTGGCAATAAAATCATTTTCACGGCAGTAAATTCGGAGAGCTTCATGCACCTAAAATATCAGCTGCTGGACCGGCTGGGCACGGTCGAGAGCATTTACGTTGCAAATCTGCGAACGAACGCCCTTGTAAGAGGCAGACCAAAACGACAGTCATGTTATCACAGCCCAAACCATTTGTATGACAGTCGGGTGCTAGACATCGCATCATAAGTTCTTCACATACCTAAAGACAATAAAATTGTAGTTTTAGTCAAAACAGTCAAACGATCCGTCACTTGTGATTCAAAAATCCCTAAGTTTACAACTACCCTAGAAACATACTAATTTTCAAAGTACTTGGGAACAGAATAAACAATGAATTCAACCGTCGTAATTTTTAACAGTTTGAAATGCATAAACTTTTTCACTATCAAATGTATTGTAATCCATTTATACGTGAAAAATTCCAGTAGGACTTTGTTAGTTACAGATTTAAAAAACTTGGAAACAACATCTATAATACTTGAAATACCTATATTTATTTTACAGAAATATGCGTCTTGGTAGTGTATTCATTTAACTTGAGAAATATTTGCTTTAAGAGCTACAGTATACTGAAAATGAACAGTGAATTTATGTAGAAACTAAAGGTTCTGTAAGAAATAATGTACTCTCATATCATTTCCTTGAACTCTAATCTCTATTAATGCTTATATTCCTACTACCTCTACTACTATGCGATTTGAATTGACAGTTCGATCTCTCCGTGTTAATGTGGTATTGCAATTAGAAGTGATGTACGTACGTACCAAGTTCTACGTTTTAGCTGACTGACTGAAGGCACTCATAAAGAGTCTGGAGCACATAGATGGCTATTCTATTGCGATTTTGGAAAAAAATTGAGAGAAATAATTCTGTTTTCAACACAGTATGGATTTTTGTTGAAAATATATTATCATGCAAGATCTTACCTTAGACGGAAGCATTCCATAACTGAGTCGCAGGCGAACAAAGCTTATAACTTCCTGACTGGTCATTACATCCCATATACCATCGCAACATAATACAATGAATTCATCATCTTCGACCGAAAGTCGTCGAACGAAAACATCCGGATTTGCAGTTACGATTTGATTTTCGGCAGACTGACGTGGGTTACGCTTGAAGACAAAGTCTCCGAAAGCTCGTGATAGTGCAAGATTCCCATTCACACGTTTTGCATCGACCCAACCACCAGCAGCAGAAATACGTTCTTTTTCGGCACGTAAAGTTGGTTTGTGGTCCGTCGATAGAGGCTCCGCGACTCCGCGTCTGCTACATACTGCACGGCTGTCTCCAGCATTTCCGCAGTAAAGCATTTGATCTTTTAATAGGACTATTATCCCAGTAGATCCAGCCAATTCATCTCCTGGATTCGGGATTTTCACAGAGAAGCTTGTTGGATTGTCATTATGCATTTCAACAGTAGTACCCTTTGCAACCGAGCCAGTGGCTGTTGGGCTAAGTGATCTGTCTGATTTCGGTGTTAACGATCTCACAGAGTATGTAGTCATTTCAGATTGCATCTCGGCATCCATAGAAAGAAAAGCATGACGAATAGCCTCTTTTATATCGTTTCGGCCTAAAAAGGATAAGTTAATGACTAGTTATGTGTCGAAATCATTCTAAGAATATAGTGATATTCGATGACTAACTATCGTTTTATTTCCATCTGTTTAATGCCACTTATTTAATAAGGAAAGTCACAGAAAGCATTTTACTTAGAGGTATGAGTTTGTATGAACTGCTTCGTAACTTTATACCAACTAATTATTTAATGTAAAATCATTACTTCGGTTTTTTCGTGCGGGCTACTTCGTCGTAGTAATATTAATATCAGACGTATCCTGACATCGTTTACTTATTCTGTGGTGAGAAAATATCTGTGTAGATGGCTTTTGTAACGCTTGCCATGAATTTTAGTGACGTTTACACTATTAATATGAGTGAATCCCGAAAAATTCAGGTAACTAATAACTGATTGGAGAGGGTAACTTCAGTAAATAAAATGGCTACTGATGTAGCTAATACAGAATTAGTGTTTATGTAGCTAACGCGAAACAGTATAGATATCACTATCTACAAGTAAGTAAACCAAAATTCTCAAGTAGTTATATGAAGCATCCACAAGCCCGGTAGGTATGTGTACTATGATTCAAGTGTTGCGAAAGAATATCAAACTATTAACAAAAACGTTATAAAATAGAATTAACATTCGTTCAGCTTCACACATGAGAAACAGCTTCCAACTAACCAAAAATATCAACGTTTATGACAACTGTACTAATTTCAGTAGTTTGTAGCGAGTTAGAAATTGAATTAATACGAAGCTAGCACCACATTAAAGCCTTAGCTTGACCCCTTAGGGATATTATTTTTTTGGGGAAATTTTAATACGGCTATAAGCAGTGACGGAAAATTACAGATACGACTGGATAGAATAGCCGGAACACAAAGCCTGACTAGATGCATTTACGTCAGTGAGTCCTTGGGAGAGATGTATTCAAAGTTTTTCTGAAGTAAAAGTAGCTTTCTGTGCACCCAACTAAGGTATGTACTACCCTGAATGTTTTATACCTGATGCGTTCGCACGTTATTGCTAGTACTTAGTAAACCTAACCCCAGTATAATGAACAAGACCACTTCTAACCTTTCTTCCCTACCCCGTCAACAAAGAGTGAGAAGTTCGTCTTTGTAATGGAAGCTTTTTTGATGATAACCCTAGTGTAATCAAAACACATCTCAGTTAGCCTATTAAACTCTTATCTATTTAGCACCCCTTGGTTAACTTGGATTTACATAAAACTTACCATATTCACTCTGCTCAATAATTTTCTCGTGAAGATGACGACTTGCATGATCGGCTACTCTTGTACCTCCATGTCCATCAAAAACTGAGAAATAAGCAGCCTTGGGATCACCAGGAAGCTCTAGTAAACACATATGGGCATCTTCCATATGTACACGCCACCCTTGCATGCTGGATACTGCAACACTATAATTTTCATTCTGCCAGCTTTTTGTTTCCTTAGATAAAACAGGAGCACATAAAGACTGACCCATTTACGCCAAATTAAGAAAACTACAGTCACCGTTCATACTGTTGCATAGAACTAGCTGCCGTTTTGCAGGAGTAGACCTTTTGCACCTACACTTTCTAGACTTGATGCTTGTGTGACGAAAGAACATTTAGTAAGTGAAAGGACAAAATGGACATGATAAATAGGACGAAAAATCTCAAATTTTTAGTATAATAGTAATAACGAGTGAACATGACAGTTACAGATGCTTGAAAGATGAAAATTCTCATATTCTTCACGGTGATCTTTTCATAGTTAAGATCACGAATTGATCTAAGCGAAACCACTATCAGGAATCTAGAGACACTGTACGACCATTTCGTCCTAGTTTGGGGATCCTCAACTGTGTGCGTTTACGACCCCCATACACGGAAATTGAACCCGGGACCTTCGGTTTTGCGTAGAAATGCCTAACGTTTCGATCGCTGAGTCGGCATCCAGTGGTAGTAATGTCTAACTTCAATCAATCCATCACGTTGCCAAACTTCCGCCATTGCCTGTGGCAGATAAGTGTCTCCTAAGCAACACGAATTGAAGTCTACTGGTCACTTCTCACTAGAACATCGGAAATACACCACGAAGTTAGTCACTAGTGAGCACAGTTGTTATTAATGAAGGACAAAATGGCCCTCCAGTGCTCCTACGTTGCTATGGTGGTCTAACATAGGTTTGTTCATGATTTCAACCATGAAAATAAGTGTCCACAAATTATCCTTATTATATACATTATTGTTCAATATGTTATCTTGGATATTTTTTAATCTTATTTTATTTAAAGAAACATTAATTCGACGAGCCACCTAAATGTTTAAACGCATCATATATCATTGAATTTGTGATTAAGTTGAGATACTGCTGAGGTGCCCAAACCAAAGCAGGTGGTTGCCCTAGGATGCCACTCCTCGAGGCTTTGACCAAGATGCCCAGTCCATAAAACAGTGGAGTAACGTCAGATGTAGTCAAATGATAGCCGGAGACCAACGATAAGATCATACACCATTCGTTCCCCCATGACTTTGAATCCAGTTTGCCATTTGTTTGTCATCAGGATCTTCCAACCACCCTAGGTGTATCTTTGGTTCCCAACAAGCTGTTCGAAGTACTCAATAATCGCTTTTCATCCTTTTGATTTCTTAAACAATACCGCTTCCGAGAAGGAAGTTAGTATGACTTTCATAGCAGTGGCTGTAATAGCGTAGCCTTATGAAATAATTTAGGACGCACTCTTCTGACTCTCAACTGTACCGGACATACTACAGTAACTGTTTGAGACCAATCATATCCAATATTTTTTTCACGAGCTAGTTTAAAGCAATTGTTTCCTTTTGATTCTTGTTCTTTCAGAACGATCCCAGGTATCTAGTAGTTTTACGACTATTTAATCAATACTACGGCAGGTAAAACTTCGCAAGGCAACCAACGGTTGTTACTGCTGTATTCGGTGAAATGATGTGAAGTATCTATATTATCGAGACATACGGATATGTGGTCAGTCATCTTGACAACATTTACATTTGATCCTCAAGAGAAAACGCTGATACAGGTACGAAAACATTGAGGATATTGCTCAGCGTATCACTGAAGCCTTAGAAACCTAAAAGTCGCAAACGTCCTCCGGAACCTAGAGGTCCAAGGTTTGTACCTAAACTAAATGTTCACTGGAATTGAGTTACAATGATTGCACTTGTGATAAGAAACCAAGATCAAAGTGTAACGTACATGTCAATCTCTGCGCTTCCGAAGTTCAATAACTTTATCACTAGACAGTAAATACCAAATGATTTTTTTGCACTCGATAACTGTTCTTTCGGTACGGTACAAGGTATTCGGTAGTTTCCAAAGCATCTGTATATATTTAATACAAGCCGGAAAAAGACTCGTCAATGTATTTGTATTGAAAACTCTATATCATTTGTACAAGCGCGACAGCAACCATAGTTGTAATCAGATACTTAACTATCAGACTCTTAACGCTTGCTTTCCCCTATCAAGTGATGAAGATTTGGAGACCCCAGAAACATGTCTTCCACAATAAAATGTTAGAGATTAATCTGTAAGTTCACCTGTTCATTGGATAATCCATTCATAACTTAGATGGCGGAGTTGTGAAAATGAATGGAAGACAACCTCAAATTCCGATCGCATTGTACGCCTATCTCTGCTCTTTCGCAAACAATCCGACAATCAACAACGGATACGGTATAGGACTTCATTCTCATACTACAGGCATCCTACACCTTTCTCTTTTTCTTTCTTTCTTTTTTATCCTGAACCCACATCTACGATCATCTCGCTGTTGGTGCTGTCGACTTCAGTCGATGTTGACGAAAGCTGGCCTGATCACTCGCGCTCTTGTTAATACACTCAGTCGATGATTCGGTTCCGAATATATCTGGCATACATATGGTTTAGAACTTGGTCGTAATGGTCGTTTCTGCTGTAGTGAAATGCTTTTACAAAGAGAACGCGATCGTTTCCATAGAAACATTCAAATATTAAAGCCAACCAAAGTAGCGCTAAAATGCCTACCTGCTGCATGACAGTTCTCAACGTATTAAATTAAAAGCTCTTGAGATCAATGAATAATAAATCACCAACCTTCTGGGGTCAACTTTAAAACTAATTATGAATTTTCATGCAGCAGGTCTCCGAGACCAACACTAATCTATGCACTTGTTGAAGCGATGACATAGATGAGACTGAAAGAGTAACATCAACGAAGTCTTGCAAACATATCTGTCTGGATTTGTGTTTGAAAGAAAATAAAGTATTTACAGGTGCAATCACCAGCTAACTAATTAATACACAACATAGCATGGACATCTTGAAGGTGTTAAAAATATCTGTCAAGCTGAGAACAATTTTACTCTGCTAAGTAGAGCTCAGCGTCATCAATCTCATTTAAACTGACCATCATATGATGAAGTAAATGTGGTGAGTCCCTAGTTATCACGATGAAATAGTTATACTACTTGAAAATTCTACTGACATTTCACTTTTGGAGTTAACTCTAAATTTATTTCATATGGTCAATGATTTATCGACAGTTTGTTTTATTTATGATTTCTTTATTAACGTTCATAGCTTCCTACTCTTCTTTGACCAACTTCATCCTCAACATATAAATAATGATCAATCTTAGTCATCATATTACATATATTGTTTCGTATTTTCGTTTCTTATGTCTTACCGATCTAAACTTAAGTAGTATACAACTTGGGAAGGTGAAATTGAAATTTCTAATTTTTACCTTTTGTAGCTGATGAGAGGCCGTGAAATATAATGATATCATACCATAATTGGTTATGTTTCAACAAATTAGAATGAGTCACAACCCAAATGCATTTAACAATTAACATTTTAAATCCAAATACGATCGAATGCATCTTGTGGTTCCTATTACAGTCACTATAATTCGCAAACAAAAGAAAAACATTTTCGATATGCCTTAAAATTATGAGAAGCGAATGTGAGCCACCAGGTGTGAACTGAATTATCTGTGCGACATTCGAAAAATAGTTTCCTCAGTCAACAATTTCAAGGAGTAATAACGCAAGGCACGCGTTTTATACGTAAACGACTATCCGTATTAAAACATTTCTATTCTCATGCTCAGTAGATGAGTTTGTGAAGAATCTAAAGATTTTCATGACTTCAGATATGCTACTCAGTCCGAAATATTGAAGAGAAGAAATATTTTTCTGCTACAAGATAGCATTGTAAAACATTGTTGAAGCCTATTTGTATAAATAAACATATGTATATATATATAATATATATATATATATAATATATATATAAATATATACATATATTCCCTAAGAAATCCTAATTGAATTTTAGCACTCTGGAAATCGGGATTCATTTTCGAGTGTCCAGTGATGGAAAAAATAGTTATTTCTGCGATCCAGTGCTAAATATTTTAATTTACGTACATTCTTATGCCTGTTATCCCCAATCGAGCATAGGCCGCCGACCAGCATTTGTCAGCCTACTCCATCCTGGGGTTTTCTTTCGAGTTCTGTCCAATGGTTAGTCAATCTTCTCATGTCTGTCTCCATTTCTCTGCGTAATGTGTTCCTTGGCCTTCCTCTTCTCCTTAGACCTTGAGGGTTCCAACTGAGGGCTTGTTTTGTGATGCAGATAGGTGCCTTCCTTGATGTGTACCCTATTAACTTTCAGCGCTTCTTCCTGAATTCTTCGTCCGCCTGAATAAGGTTTGTTCTCTACCAGAGTAGGTTTTTGCTGATGCTGTATGGCCAACAGATCCGAAGTATTTTGCTTAGAAAACTGTTAATAATTACTTGTATCTCTTGGATGATGGCTTATGTAGTTCTCTAAGTTTCCTTCCCATACAGTAAAACTCTCTTAATATGTGACAGATCGTCCAGCTGAATGCTGACCGACAACTGTATACCGTGCTTCCTTACAGATACTGACGCATAATCCAGTCAATCACCAGGAAAAAGAGAAAGAGTGAGGGTAAGGAACCTAACCTGACATCTCTCTTTACTTCGAACGAGTCTATCATTCACGCTCCATGTGCGATTTTACAGTCTAGTCCGTCAAAAGAGTTCCGTATGAGGTTGACTATCTTCTCAGGCACGTCATAGTGTCGAAGAAGTCTCCATAGAGGTGTCCTGTCCACGCTATCAAATGCTTTCTCGTAGTCAATGAAGTTGACAAAGAGTGGTGTGTTCAATTCAAATGATTGTTCCACAATGATCCGTAATGTTGCATTTTGGTCAGTACACGATCGATCCTTACGAAATCCGGCCTGTTGATCTCGAAGTTGGCATCCACGAAGTCCTTCATCCTGAGTTTAACAATACCCTGTTGAAGACTTTGCCTGGTATTAAGAGAATAGTGATGCCTGTGTAGTTCTCACACTTGTTGAGATCGCCTATCATTGGTTTTTTGATGAGGTATCCTCCTTTTCACTCTGTTGGTTTTGGTGTTAGCTTTTCATACCAAATTGTTTTG